ATGAAGTAGCATCATGCCGACATTCTTACTCAGATTTTGCGATGAAGGTACCCAAGTTTGTCCCCTTCTGCCTCCCTGGCATTGGTATGTATTCGTGAATGGTCAAAAATGTGTTTTTATCATCTGTTTAATACACAATTTCAACCATTTTCAATATTTTTAGAACCTCTCGCGCTTGATTCAATGTTAACCTGAACAGCAACTGTACAGATGATGGACTGTTATCAATCAATCATCTTCACTATCAATGTACCACCCTGCTGTCCTCTTAAGGACATCACATGTCACGGAGGTCCTAGAACCTTAGTACTTCTCTTCAAACCCTAAGTGAAGAAAGTTTGCTACAAACTTTGCTCAAGTTGAAACGTGTTACAACTTTTGCGAACTTGTAGATCAAATGTTTGATCTCGCTTGAAAAAATGGCATTCGTGTTTGCTTTCTCACCAAAAATGAACATGCATGTATCTTTCAAACTGGTCATCACAAACACAGGCTTAAAGGAACAGCAAATCTGCTTACTTAATTAAGCAAACTTAGCAAGAAACCAATCACTAGCATGTACATGGTACTAATGTGGCCAGTGACCCCAGTTTTCCCCCGATCTAAATCTCACGATTTCCCTTCTACTTCTGCCGGATACTACCAGGCATGCAACTTGGACTATGACAAAAAAACCGAGGAATTTCCAATCTTTACAAGACTTCGTACAGTGTGTTCTGATTTTCAATGGCATGAATGTGAGGTGAAAAACGAGGAAATCAGCTGATCCGAGGAAAAGTTGCATGCCTGATTCAATTTCAAGCGCCACTAGAGGGGTGTCACAGCCCATAGGTCAGGTGTGGCCGTGGTGATCTGAAAACCTATCCCTCACTGCATTGGACGTGCATACCTCCACTCTCACAACCAATTCCTGCATCAGTGAAACACTGCTACTTGCAACAAACTGCGATGGTTTTTAAGAACTTACTTTGACAAGCTCATCTTCCACTGGTTCTAGAACCTCTTCATCCTCAATTTCTCCTTCATCTTCCTCCTCTTCTTGGGCCGCCTCTTCTGCATCCTCGTCTTCTTCCTCCTCGGGCTCCTCTTCCACCTAGAGATGCAACAATCCATGCATTAACAGCCATCAGAAGAGAGAAATGTCTACCGGCATAAAGCCAACACAGGAAGTAACACCGGCACCAAGGAAATAGATTTCTTCTGACTTAGTGTCCAGTAGGAGACAGCGTCACTGTCTCAATTTTGCCAGACAATCATAATTTTTAGATCCTCCATCTCGATTGGAAGCAACCTCTGGAACTAAAGGAAGATTGCCATGGTTCCTGCAAAGACCTCCAATTGCAGAAGGAACCTGATCCCATACTTGATTGACCTGATAAATATTAATATTGAGGGGTTTTCCAAAACTGTTACCTTTCACCTTTCCATTCTGTTTACCCTGTTCAGTCTAATTCTGTCTGTGTTAATTGTTTTTTTTTAATGAATTCATGTCGTTGTGGTGTACACTCTGCAAGGGCTGGTTCATACAGGCTGCGGTGTACACCCACAGCGTGTACACCGCATTTGACATTCACACTTTCATCTTTTCTCCAGTCTTGGCTGCATGTGCGTATCCGACAAAAATTCAAAATTTCCCCAAATACACATACATTTGGTGCGTGCGCACTATCCATTATTTTCACAAACTACATGCAAGGGTGCGCATTTTCATTACGCACTGCGCTTTCGTTCACGCACTGCAGACACCTCAAAATTGACCTTCGCGCTGCGTACACAACGAATACACAGTGAGTATGAACCAGCCTTAACCCCTTCGAGCCGGGAGATGGCAAACGCTGCGGCTCTGTGTGAGGATTAGTACGTACCACACACACAGTCTATTCACCATGCACCTGCTGGTTCAATGTGGGCCTGCTGCTGGACGGAGCTTTGCATACTGGGCATACCGCAGCCCAGCAGTCGCCGTCAAAAGAATCCCGGTGTGAACGGGTTAAAGGTGGTGATTTGGTTGTAAACATGCCGTTGTTTACAATTAACATTTTTCCATTTGTTTTTCATGTTCAATCTCTTTTCATATGTAAACCATGTACATATTGGCCTCAGGGTCATGACACAGGATGGACAATAATTCTTATCGTCTTTGATATACCAGTCCCATGTGACCAGTCCAGTATTGTTAGCACCATTTGAAACATTTGCACATCAGCTTAAATGTGATGAAACCAACAGACAAACACCAGAAGTCTCCCACTGTATCAACAGGCATGCAACTTGGACTTTGACAAAAACAAGGAATTTCCCATCTTTACAAGACTTTGTGCAATGTTTTTCAATTTTCAGTGGCACGAGTGTAAAGCGAAAAACGAGGAAATCAGCTGATCCAAGGAAAAGTTGCATGCCCCTGTCAAGGACTTGTTCTATAGGGCTACACATTGCGTAATGTCATATGGTTCACAGCATCAGATTTCCCCAAAATGCGAGCAGCTCCTGTTAGTGCCTCACGGCCAAGGTGGACTCGAGCCACTCATCACTCCTTGTTAGTGCCTCATGGCCAAGGTGGCCTCGAGCCACTCATCACTCCTTGTTAGTGCCTCACGGCCAAGGTGGACTCGAGCCACTCATCACTCCTTGTTAGTGCCTCACGGCCAAGGTGGACTCGAGCCACTCATCACTCTTTGTTAGTGCCTCACGGCCAAGGTGGACTCGAGCCACTCATCACTCCTTGTTAGTGCCTCACGGCCAAGGTGGCCTCGAGCCACTCATCACTCCTTGTTAGTGCCTCATGGCCAAGGTGGACTCAAGCCACTCATCACTCCTTGTTAGTGCCTCATGGCCAAGGTGGACTCGAGCCACTCATCACTCCTTGTTAGTGCCTCATGGCCAAGGTGGACTCAAGCCACTCATCACTCAGTGCTCACCTTCTCATCCAGGTCCACGTTCATTCCCAGCCGCAGCATCCTCTCAATCCTGCCCGCGAAGCCAGAGGAGTCCGGCAGGGCAAAGCCCGAGCGCAGGACAGCCGTCTCAAACATGACCACGGCCAGATCCTTGGCGGTCTGGTCTTCAGCGTCCTCCTCCACCTTAGCTAAGAGCTTCTTGACCAATGGGTGCCTTGGGTTGACCTCCAGGGTCTTCTTTTGGGAGGCGTAATAACTGAAGGAATAAATAAAAACACACCAATTCAAAATCAGACAGTCAAAAGTCATTTGACTGTTGTTTAATAAAAAAACCTTTAAGCTGTTCCTTTAAGAATTCCTGTTCTGTGAGGACATTTTTCTACTTTGAATTTCTATCCTGCAAAGACTTATCTGCAAAAAGGGTTCGCAGGTTCAGAACCAATCCATGTAATAATGCTCAGAAAGCTTATCAAGGAAATACGGTGACATACACTTCCAAAAATAGAATACACCTATCTCTGATATCATGAAGACAAAATTCAATTGTCACAAACTTCAAGAACATAGAATTTGATACACTGCTGAGGCATTCCACCTTTTTTAAAAATAAATCCTGTGTTTCTGACATTTCACTGAATCCCCATGCAGTGCATGTTTCCATGTTTCCTGGAAAATTTATCTCAATGAAGGGGCAACACAGATGGTCATTTGTGACCCGCTCCAGGAAAAGGTGATATAGGTCGCGCTGTGCCTTTCCATGCAACAGCCTGCTCAACATTGAGAGGGTGGAATTTCTTGTGGAATTCAATTGTTTTGTTTTCATCAGAAACATTTTCAATCATTTAAGTTTCAGCGTAGTGCTATCACAGTAAAAAATAGCTCCTCGTTTAAGTCCGAGGCTGGGCATCAGCTACAATTGGTCCGAGCGTTCCTAAGATAATAAACTGTGTCCAAAGCACTTGGCTACGTCTTAAATAACACAGGCAGCTTGTCTTTCCCCAGCCCTAGCCACGTCATGCGGATGTAGACGTGGCTAGGGCTAGGGAAAGACAAGCTGCCTGTGTTATTTAAGAAGTAGCCATTGCTGCGGATGTAGCAATGATTGGGCCCCTACGGCGCGTTTCACCACTTGCTATTCAGAACCAGATACACCATGGCCTACCTGTTACTGCTGTCTCCTGCCTTGGCGTAGGCCTGCGATTTCATGATGCGTTCCATGTTGCCGGACCATCCGTACTGGCTGGCCACCAGGGCGCACGGGGACTCTGTCAAGCGCTGTGAGATTTTGGCGTCTTTGATCTGGATGATGGAGGAAGACAAGACAATCACTGATTTACCAGAGAGTAAATCTCAAATCCGACTTTTACTAATGTTTCATTGGAAATACGTTCCAATTGACAACTAACAATACTCTCAAATGAAAGAGTTCATGAAATGTATGGTGCCCTCTACTGGCCTATGTATATCAAATTTCCTTCATAAATGGCAGTTTCTGGTTGGCCTTTTAAAAAACTATGTGCTTTCTATATTTGGCAAAATAATGTTCCAACTGGAAACAAGATATTCCCCCTCACAGAAGTTCAAAAACACATTGCATCTCAAAAGTGAAAAGTCTGAAACTGTGAGTCTGGTAATCAGAAGCTCAGGGACTGTGACAAGGAGAGACATGTTAATCTTTTATTGCAACGATGCCAGGCTTCTTCAGCGTATGGTACACCGTATCACAGGCTTTGAGAGATCAAATGCAACTTTGTCTTCACTCTACCTCATCCTTGAGGGCAGTCTCCTTCAGCCAGTTGGTCAGCGGCTCAAACTTCTCCTCCAGCTCCTCCCGCCTCTCTTTGGCTTTTTCCGACTCCTCCCCTATCTTCAGCCCCTCCTTGGCCACGTTCTGGAACTTCTTGCCTTCAAACTCCGGCAGGGACTGAACGGTGTACTCGTCCACCGGCTCCGTCAGGTAGAGCACCTCGTAGCCCTTCTTGATGAGTCTCTCGGTGAACGGTGAGGTCTCCACCTGCACAGGGTGACACAAAAACAATTCCCATGTCGGTAAGTCTACTTCTCATCAGCCTACTCAAGTTCACTCACATCTGTTTGGGATTGGCTGCTTGCCCATTTTATCTTACAGATTTGTTTCAACTTCCTCGACTTTCTTTTCTTAACACACTCATATACACTTGAAGATTTTATCCTACACATATTGAGCTACTGTACTTTAGTCTTGAAGAAAACCTTTGACAATACATCAGAGCGTACGAAACCTGAAAATTTTCACGGCTCTTCAGCAGGCCTTAACCCATGCCCCTGCAGCTTCTAACCGCATCCTTAACCCAAAGAGACCCCCTCCCCAACTCGTATCCATCCCAGTCAAACCAAGAAATCAACACCACACAACTCAACGACAGTAAACTGTTGCCCAGTTTGTCTGCACTGCCCCAGGATCCAGTGCGTCAGCTACGACGATGAAATCTCTGAACCGGACCAAAAAAATTTGCCATGCGATCTGTCTCTACCTCTTTCCTGCTGCTGCCGGCCATGAAGTAAATATGTTCCTGCTTGTCCTTCATCCTCTCCTGGTACTCGGCCAGGCTCGTCAGCTGGTCCTCTGAGTTAGAGGAGTAGAAACGGACCAGCTTGGCCAGGCGGGAACGGTTGCTGTGATCCTCGATAATGCCCAACTTGATGTTGGTACCGTACTCCTTCCAGAACTTGTCGATGTAGTCCTCCGAGCTGAGCTTCTTGATCATGTCCAGGGTCTGTCCAGGGAAGAGACATAATCAAGTCATCAAGGGAGAATATTTTATTGGTACCAGCCATAAAAGCAAAGGTGATGATTTCAAAAATTTCACTGAGCTGACACTTGGCAAAAATCAAAACCTGGATTATAGCTTCCATTTTTTTGGCGCAAGTTCTTACTTACTGAAGAGTCATGCATCCAGTGGTAATCTTGGTGAACCAAGAAAAAAAAGGGAAATTCAGGATAACGTCAAACACTCATCAGTGAAATCAAGGACCCCCAAGCCTTCTTTCTCCCAAACTGCACCAACCAACTGCACAGGGCAAACTTTAAATTCAAGACTCGGTTATCCATCTCCTGAAATGACATCTTTAACCTGACCACCTGTTAGGAATGCCCTAATACTGTTGCTGTATCCAACAAAATGTAACAAGAGATGCAAGATGCAAATAGAATCCAAGCAATACTGAAGTCAATCTCACAGTGCACAAGACTTTCCATTCTGTTCTGAGCCGAGAGCCACGAGCCGAGAGCCACGAGCCGAGCTCTACGGAATTCTCACCTTGCGAACCAGTTTCTTCTTGATGACCTTGAGGAGCTTGTGTTGTTGCAATGTTTCTCTTGAGACGTTGAGGGGCAGGTCGTCCGAGTCCACAACTCCCTTGACAAAGTTCAGGTACTTGGGCATCATGTCCTCAAAGTCATGAGTGATGAAAACTCGTCTGACATAAAGCTGAAAGTCAATTGGGCAAAATGATAGCAAATTGGATGAGTTGCTCTAGTTGGTGTACCCTCTCTGTGCACGTGCAAAAGAACCAAGCCATAGTTTCCATATATCAAACTTATTATGTTGCATTTTGAACAAAGCTGATGTAAGAACAATTTCTACATAAACTCAACTTCCAACCCCCAAATATTGAAAGCTTCTAAAATTCATTTTGAACACTCAACCCTTGTTCTTCACACTTTTGAGTGCATCAGGATTCAATTCATTTCAAAGTGATATTGCTAGACACTGCAGAAAAAATCTGGAAGAAAACTTCTTTGCTGCAGTGGGAAGGTTAAGGTCGTAAAGAAATCGCTGTGGTTTACTTTCGTTGCAAATTCCCAATATTGTCTGTAAACGATAAATTACAATACTTCGTTTTTATTTCATGACAAATTATACCAGGTTAAAAAGCAAAGTACGCCCAGCTCTACCAAGGATACCTATCACATGGCTCCTCAGAAAAATCTCTTACAAAATCTCGGTGTTTGGGGTAACATCGATGCTGACAAACATGACCCCAAACAAGAAATCACACACTGTGCACCCCCAAAGGACAAGTCTCCACTCACACTGATATGGTCAAACTTCTTGCCGTAGTCAGCAAACATCTGAGGCGGGGCCGTCTTGGGCACAAAGAGGATGGACTTGAAGGTGACCTCCCCCTCAGCGGTGAAGTGGGTCTTGGCCAAGGGATCGTCGCTGGCCTTGGTAAAAGACTTGTAGAATTCCGAGTATTCCTCATCGGTGATTTCTTTGGCTCTGTGCGAGGAAAAGTCCAGGTCAGGTCAACATTTATCAAAGTAAATCTAACCATTGGCTACATTTCTTTTATCAACTGTAACAATTGCAGATATAGAGTTACCATCAGGATTTTAGATGAAATTTGAAGCTCTTTGTGGCGGAGGTAGCAAGTAAACTAGACAGGTTTGCGGTAGCACCATTGATGTATCTTTTTTGAGTATGTGGGCTTCTGAAAGAACCGGTGGTACTCTGACAACTGGCAGTCTCTTGATGATGGACAGAGCATACTGTCCGATACGTTGAGCATCACCGGCTCTTTTCAGAACCCAACATACTCAAAAAGAGATATATCCATGGTGCTACCTCAAACCTATCTAATTTATCAGGATTTTACTTAACAAGTACACAACAAAAGAACAAACCTAACATATTTTTAAGCTTCAATATAAAAAACATAATGTGTAAACAGGTTTTCCAAAAAATTAGGGGTCCATTTGTTTAACGTCTCTGTCATATCGGATTTGTAAATTTAGAACATGTTCTTTAACTTCCAATTAAGTAATGCAAATTACCTACCAAACAAATAAAATCACTTTGAAATCAATTTAAACCATATTTTCCAGTTAAATAGCACACGTCAAACAAATAAAATCACTTTCAAATCAATTTCAATCACGTTAAATTTTCATGTTGAATTACACAGGTGTAACAGGTTCACCCAAAAATCCCACTTCTGGACCCCTAATTTATAGAATGCCCAAACAGGCAAACCAATGCCAAGATGCAGAGTTCTTACGGGCGAGTCCAGATGGGCTTGTTGATGTTCATCAGCACCCAGTCCCACGTTGTCTTCTCCACACTCTTGGTCTTTGGCTTATCTTCCTTCTCCTCATCATCCTCCACTTCCACATCTGCAGAAAGGAGAGGCACACATCTTGTTACGTCCCACCCGACGGGCATCCGTGCCACGACACCAAAGTCAGAATCAAATCCTCACGAGTCACCCAGCCTCGGTTCAAGTCTCAAACAGCTCAGATGAACTGTGACGTTACCTTGTCACTGCTTATAACCTGTAATCTGGGGCCCTCCCTGTGATTTGACTGGTGACAATCTCGTCACTGACTCAACTACCACCCTACCTGACTCGATCATTTACGGAAAGCCACACTTCTTCAAGTCAAATGCAATCTGCTTCTGAAAGCGAGGTAACTTGCCAAGCATCATAAACTTGTAAAAGGAGTCTTTTTTGATAGGATGTGACTGCCTCGACTCATCACTTTTACACTGTGTATCATTCTACAACACCTCAAAGCCCTCAATGAAACAAAACTGCAACTTTCTTTCCACTCTAATCCATCACAAGAAAGCCACCAACATTGGCTCCTGGAAGTTTACTCTCATATCAAGGATACAAGGTTCCTTCCCCACTCCCCGAAGGTGATAAAGACCTGCTCTTTTACCTTCATCATCTCCTTCAGGTTTCTCCTTGGTTTCGCCTTCCTCATCATCTTCGATCGGCTCCTCAACTGTCTCAGTCTAAATCAAAGAAAAGATGGAACGACTCAAAGTCAAAGCAATGCATTTTAAGGAGCAGCAGGTTCTTTGTAAAGTATTCGTCTCTATTTTTGTACCAATACACAAAACAATTATTACTGCTCGATGTTTGTATCAGATTCCAATCTGACGTGCATTTTAATAATGCTCAAGATTAAATCAAATTCAAAACCTGGTTCGAGAGTGTAACGCAATGCGAACCAAGACCCACCAACTTACATGGTGCGGTATTGGGCAAAGTTGGCATATTAGCCAGTAGGTGATAGCAGTAACTACTATATTTCATAAATATTCATGACGAATCACCAAACTCTCATTGGTGCATTCACAGTCACGCGCCAGCCGCTATTTTTGCTGTTTGCCAAGCACACAAGCAATTGTCCAAGCAAGGAGTAAACACGTACACGTTTATAACTGTTGCCCGGGTGCACCGTGCACTCGTGGTGGTGCCAACCTAGTAACAGTATGCAGCTCATATGAAAAGAGGGGGGCACAGGGCATTTTCTTCAGCTGAGCAATGCCAAACTGCAAACTATTGTGGACAATATGGATGCCTCCTCCATCCACTAAGAAGGTTGTCCAAAATGCGGTGGAAATGGTAACAAATTGCTGTGTAACAAAAGGATTGGACTTTTCTTTTCTTTCAAGATGATGTTTTTATTTTCAGAGGTTATGAACTGAAATATGTACGATGTATAGTGAAACAATTATAACATTGTTTATTTTAGTTGGACAACGATGTTTTCAAGCTCCCCGAGGTATTGGGAGTTGACAAACTAGGCAATACCTCAAGGAACCCACATTAACTGTCCAACTTCAAACTATGTTATATTTGTAGAGCAGAGCATGACCATGCGTGATGCAACCATTATAATTTGTTAATGGACAGTAATGGTGAGAAGATAGGAATGATGATTGGTTGGATACATGTTGATCCGTGGGTCTACCAAAACCTTCACAGCTCTCTTAAGCTACTTCCTGCCTATGCCTAGAATACACACTGCACATCCAGCAGGGGCCAATTACTGGGCAAGACTGTAAGTTGAGCATACCTTGCTGGACCACAGGTAGATAGGGAAGTTGATGAACTGAGAGTACTTCTTGACCAGCTTCTCAATGGTGTCTGGCTCCAGGAAGTCGTAGGCTTCCTCCTTCAGATGAAGACTAAATCAAGAGAGGAATCACATTCACGATCTGATTTCCCAAAAACTAACAAAGGCAGAAGGATGGACATGACTAACTCAACATGTTTAATATCTTTTTCTGCTCTGCTGTCACTATGTTTAACAGACCTCCAATCCTCCAAAATCCGCCACTAAGCGATGGCACGTTCTTATTTTGTGGCCTTTCACATCCACAAGAAATCATGCCCCTTTGTAAAATAATTTGGGCTAAACACTTCTTAATCTGGCCTAATCTTCTAAAACCACCTTTAAGAATTTAAAGAAACTGGGAGGGTAGGAGGTAAACGCTATACTTGGAAGGTGAAAGAACAAAACCAGGAATTCATTTGATCTGAGGGAATGTTGAAGATTAAGAAAGGCAAACTGCTGGCCGACTACAGAGACAAGAGACATGCCAGTGTAATAAGTGTGAGAGCACGATGTTTCATGAAGCGTGAACTTTACCTGACTGTGGTTCCACGCTTCAGGGTGTCACCTCGAGGGTCTTCTGTCACCGTAAACTCGCCGGCGTTAGATTCCCAGATATACTGCTTGTCTTCATTGTGCTTGGAAGTCACAATAACAGTGTCGGCAACTGCAGGTCGAGAATTACAAGAACTAATGAATCAAAAATACAAGGAATAACCAGGCATGAAAAATGTGGCCCAACCTCACAAAATGAGTGGCTTGTTGCCAGGGTCACTTTTGAGTTTTGAATCTTGCACAACGGAAATCAATAGGAGCCCTTAACATTTAACACCCACATAATGTCCATTTTCATCGGGACACCAGACTGAATGATACACCAACAGACAGAGATGAGTTTGCTCTTTCCAACGCAAACTAAAATAACATTTCTCCAATAATAGCCTTAAACCTATACAAACCCCCCTAGGCCTTTTTGCATGGCACCACCCTGAATCCTTTAAAATCTTCCAATTGTATTCAGCCTCAATCCTCCAAAATCCTCTAATATTTCTTGAATATGCTCCTGTGAGGAGTGCCCACTGCCTTCATCTTTCAAAATTCGCCTGTATACTGTAGGCATGAATGTACGCATGGCTGAACATAAACAACACAAGGTCTACCCTACAACCTTAACACAATGCCACACTTTTCTGCCATTCTTCCTCAATCCTCCAAAATCCTCCAAAATCCTCCAAAACCACCCAGAGGATTTTGGAGGATTGAGGAGGGGCTAGTGTGACTTGTTTCAGAAATTCACTCATGAATAACATGATACATGACACGGCACCATGCCATTTCGTAACAATCATTTTAAAAACACCCTAAGCACATGTAGCTACTAACTTTGTTTCTAAAAACAGCTTGTGGGATGAGCTTACCCAAGAAAGACGAGTAGAAACCGACACCAAACTGACCAATCAGATCGCCTGCATCATTCGAGTTGGTTTCCTACAGATAAAAATTGACATTATCAAATAAAAATATGAATGCTTTTCTCCAGCAACATTCAATGACGGTCTGTTATCGAATTGGTGGAGATGGACTTTAAGAAAAAATTAAGTCTGTCAATTGAAAATCAAAATTGACTTGGGTGTTAGCAATACTCACTGTCACAAGAACTCTTGATTTGGTCAGGCTGTGAAAGCTAAATATTCATAAACATGTGAAATGACACAAAGGTGCCTCCTTACCAAAAGTTTCTCAAAGAATTCACTGGTTCCCGACTTGGCAATGGTACCCAGATTAGTGATGAGGTCTTGTTTTGTCATTCCAATCCCCGTATCAGTAACATGCAACATGTGGTTATCTTTATCCGCCTGAAAACGAAAACAAAAATTGAAACATTCAACTCAATACACTTTTCTTTTCTTAATTATTCATTGACAAAATCCAATCAGAAAGTGGACATCTGTAAAAACAATCTGTAGACTGTAATCTCAAATCTGTAAAATCTACAAAGTGACAGCGATAACTTATGGTGTTGTCTCAGGACAATAAGCCACATCAGATCATCTTGGTGGGGAAGTTTTACTACACCGCTCAAAGCAGCCAGTTATTTGTGTATACTATTATCAACTGGGACGGCTGTTACCTTAATTTTGATGACAAGTTCTTCTGTGGCGTCTAGTGCAGATTTATCTGTGAGTGACAGTAACCGAATCTTGTCCAGGGCATCGGAAGCATTGGAGATCAACTCCCTCAGGAAAATCTGTGAAGTAAACGTTTCGCAGTTAATAAATTCACTAAAATTCAGGTAATGAAGTTCAATGAATGAACACAAAGAAAAAATGTAATTACTTTGCCAGAAACAGTAAAAATTATCTAACAGACCAAGATCTTGAAAATTACAGAATAAATCACAACTCTCCAGCTACTTTTGCTAAGGATATGCAACCAATTTGCACCAAAATTCTTTGTGGTATAACTTTCAAGAAATATCAAGGTAAATACATGTACAAGTAGAAGTGGCTAGGTTCAACCTTCCTTCATTCTGCATGGCAATAAAAACAATCCTTCAAAATTTGATGGTGGACTTTGAAAGACAGAAACAACCTCAGGAGAAGCACAAGGAAGATAATGCTGGAAGGACGGGTGAAGACTACTCACCTCCTTGTTTCTGTAGAGTGAGTTGATGATGAGTTTCATCATGCGGTTGACCTCAGCTTGGAAAACATGCTTCTCAGCAGATTCTCGCAATTGCTTCATTTGGGCAACGTTCAAACCATCTAACTTGATTGCCTCTTCTTCCCTGGATATAAGCAAGGAAGACACTGGACATCAGACTCCACTAAGTCCCAAAGGGCTTCTTGGAAATATTACAGCGTTTCACAAAACTTCACAGACTCAAAATCTTTTATATGAATGAGTATCAAAGCTGAGTGACCAGTAACTCGTCCACTTTTTTTCCTGTCAGTCTGCAATAATCAGTTACACTCCAGATGGGATGCGAGTCCACAACTACCAGTTCATTAACATTTATTGTGATAACATCTGCCATAAGTAGATCAGGACTGTGCAATCATCAACTACACGTACGTATTAACTCAGAAGTGGAATTATAATTCAGCACAAGCTGAGAGACAATCGGAAAATGTCCGCTGCAAGTACATCTATGTAATTACAAACACATGATTACAAAGATTGTTCCTATCCACAATTACTTTTGTTATTAGACAGCGGGTGATGCAGGAACGCTTTCAATCCTCTTTAATCATGCCCAGACATGACAATCATAGAGCGCACGCGTGCTTATGCACGTGTGTAAACAAGCAGCTCACTCCTAAATCATTTTACTTTCATTTCTTATCAACAGCCGTACTAATGACAAATTCTTGTGGTGACGTGTAGATAAAAACCAATCGGCAAAATCTCAGTTTCTTTTATATCTTTTCTTTGTTATTTCCTCTCCCCTTATTTCTCTCAACCGAGTTGTATGCGATCACCAATCCAAGAACTGGATCATGAATATGCAGTACCTTTCCACAGTTTCATCGTCTGTCTTGGACCCGTCCCTGCTTTTGCCAATGTCTTCCTCCACTACCACATCACCATCTTCGGTTTCCTCAGCAGCAGACACAAATGCTACAAGGCAAACACATGACAAGATTGCTGTGTGTGAGCTGTGAAACCTTCAGGCTTTAACAAGTATGACAAGGTTGGTTAGCTACCAGTAAAGTTGCATCGGTACGTGCTGTGAAAGACCACACTGAACAATAAGGCAAATACTAGCATGCCCAGCAAAACAAGTGGTGATATTTTCTTTAAGCACCAAACCTAGGTTTTTTGCATTGCCTTACATTAGGGAAATAAAACAACATGAATGACAGTTTTGTCTCCCACAGCCATTAGCCTCTTAGCATGCTTAGCAATGTTGGTTAAGTGTACGAACTGACACTTTCTGCAGTAAGCAGGAGCCAAAATCTTACTGAGTCGAGCCAAGAGACCCATAGTTATATGGGTACCTTCCAATGTCTCAACAAGATGACGCCAAGTGTCCACTCCTACACAACCTATACTGTTACCAAACAGGCCATGGACCACGAGTAACTCATCTTGAGTAACTTCAGCGTAAACATCCAAGGCTAGGAAATCTTCAAAGCACATTTTCTTGTGTGCCATTAAAATTTGAAACTGCAATTTATACTCGAGCTAACGAGGTCTGGGGCAGGAATACCACTATAGAATTTGTTTTAAATAAATTATGGTTGTGATTCTACCTCCGTGGTTATAGTTAGTGATCTATACAAATTGCTCAATCATGCCACATGACAATTACCTTTTACTTGTACCGCAGGGCAAGACTGTTGTTTAGATTTGGAAAAGTGAAGTAAAGTACATGTAGGAGATTTCACGAATAGCTCAATGTGCATCACGAACTGTAGGTTGATATTGATAACTCTTGCCCTCATGCTCATCACATCAAATTCTTTGAAAATTTTTCGATGTCTTGATCTTAATATAATAAGTTGTCACTGATCAGCTCCCACTGAAGCAACACTCAGCCAAGAATTAGGGTTGGAGTTTAAAAGTTAACCCAAGAAACCACTTGTCAATTCAGACTGTAGCCTAACATCTTTTTAAATAATCAGATAATGTACAGGCCTAGGCTTAAATCCAGTTAATTTATTCTATTAATACATACACTGAATTTAGGGATGTGTACGTGCGTCTTCTGCTGCTGAAATAGGAGGGACACAACGATTTCCAACACTGAGATGTTATGTTGTAGGCCTAGCACTGCCATGACTGCAGGCTAGGCCCTACATCATGCAATCTTTCTCAAGTTCATCAACAGACAGACGGATGTAGCTTGGCGTACACTTTCATGTCTACATGTGGAGATACGTCTTATATTTGCCCTCCAGAAAAAAGAACAAGTAAGGCCTAGCCGAAGACATTTTCTTGAAAATTTCCATCCATCTTCACACATCATCCATGTCATCAGACTTTCTACCAAATTAAACAAATTCTGCGCGAAATAAAGTCATAACTACATCAGTTTTACTTACATGTTGCTAGAAGCACGGCAAAGAGCCCGATTATCCAAAATTTAGCTGACATTTTTACGGTCAAATCAGCAAAACACCTCGCTATTCTTCACGTGTTCTTCGCATGGACTGCACACAGTAGAATGCACGGCACTTGCCATGAATTAAAAAATACACTAGTGCTACACAAGGGTCACACGTGGAATTTAGCCAATCAGGGCCGACCACGATAAAAGCAACCAGCCAATCATGTTTTCCCAACTCAGCTCGGCCGACGGCTGAGCGTGGCTCTGTGTGATTGGTATTTAGTTATTGTGACGTTCAAGAGATGAATATACATGTCATGTAATCACAGTAGTTTTTCAAGATTACCGAGGAATGACAAGCAAACATAGAAGTTACCCCAAATGTGCCTGAGTAAATGTTATAATGTCAGGCTATTCGGGAAATATTTGAAAGATTCTTTAAGTTTTTCCGCATCCTTTCAATTTTGGTTGTAGTAATAATATGGTTCACTCCCACTTTTCTTTTTTGATGTTTTGCCGATCTGAATGAATTTTTGAAACTTAAGAATTTCAATGCAGTTTTGAATGTAACTCTGACATGGGAGAAAACTGGTAGAGAGGCTCGTTTTATGGGTGTCCAATGTTTTGAAAATATAAGACAAAAGTGCGGCAGAGGCATACACTTGGGCCTAATTCCCGCCCTTCCAAAGGGGTGAAATTGCTCCAATTTAGCCTCACTCTTCAGACAGGCCATAATAAAAAGTTACCCCTTCCCCGAAAACTCGTTTCTGGATCAACCTTTGCTTATGTCACACTGCACCAAAGAAATGCTTGGAAATAAGTAATGCATATGCCAGCTGTCGCTCAGTACTTGGCAGTGATAGCGCCGGGGATATGTATTGGACTCTCAGGGGAAACAGATGTTGTTAACAATTGTGCCCAAAGGTTTCCCGATTTATGGCATAATGTTTTTACCCAAAAGCAGAGTTGCACTGGCATGAGTTGCACTGACATGGTAATGTCATAAGTTACGAATACTAGCACGTGTACAGCGTGTAGTCCACGAGAGCTAAAGGCATGGTTTATGAACAGAAAACCGTGAGTATGGTAAAGATACTGGGCGTATCACACAGATGTAATACATATTTCTACATAACGTCTGTTCCGTGTACATATACTTATTGGGCGCCTTTGAGTCCAGATGGTTTTTGTTTGTTTTTGTTTTTTGTTTTTTTATTATGGTTGCACTACACCAAATACGCGCCCATAGAAAACAGTGCCCAACCGAAATAGCGCCTGTTGACTCTCGTGAGGAGGTTGGCCTCCGTTTATTCACTGGAAATTCAAGATTATGGCCAGAAGATCACTTTCGTTTCAATTTCATGGGGGTTAGCCACGGAATTTTTTTTATTCCCCTTTGAACGAAGATACCCCCGCTCATTTCTGAATGAAGGCGCCCGCCTCTATCCAAAATAGGTTCGCAGTTTAATTGGGGCGTTTGTGAAAGAAATACCCCGCACTGGAAACTATCAGTCATAAAGTGGGGATTGATAAAAATATTTCTATGATGCCTCCTGATTATGGCTTGTCTTATTGTAAAAAATACCGTAGGATCACAAAATATTAATGAGCTCGCGCGCAGAAATACGATTTGGTGGAATGCACCTTTATGATTCCGGTCCTTGGGGATAGCGTGATGCACAAAACAGTCTTTGGCAATGTAACCTCTTTCAGAATGTTGTATTTTTATTTTAGGTATAACTAAATTACACGGATTAAAATCTCTGTTTGTCATAACAGAAATTTTAAATTAGTGAAAACATTTATTTGAATTAATTATTTTAATTAAATGTGGTACATTTTAAAGGAAAATTAGTCATAAGAAATCATATGGTGATTCGGTAATTGATTGGCAGGTGAAATCGGTCACCTGCGCTGCGACACGGTGAAGTGTAAACAAACCAGCTTTGAGGCTGTGTACGCTCTGCTACGGCGAACGTGCAGTTGTTGCACCGTAGAGGAAGGAGGGTTGAACCCGGTACCCGGAAACCACTGACATAACTGACTTTTTTACTCCCTAGGAATGATATGCTTGACTTTGTTTAACACACACCAAGCTAGAAGCATGCAACAAAGAAATGCCATATTTCTGCAGAAATCAGCCTGACGCTTCTTGTCAACCACCATGGCAACAGTTTTAGGTTTGTGACATAATGCCATGTATGTATACGTTGTAAGTTATTCATGTGGTCAGGGTGACGTGGAGAGTAAATGCGCCAGGCCAAGCATGCCGGCGATTGCTGATTTGGTTTGTTGGCTGGCTTTTACCTACCATTCAACCAGACTACGAAGCTGTATATTAGAGTGATATAAACTCAGTGTGTACTGTATTAATTAATTATTAAGGATATGGCACGGAGCACGTTCAGGCATGTCAGGTCGGTAAATACAAGGGCAGTAGCAGCTGTAGATCGGACGTCCGCAGGACTCCTCCTGGGAGTGCCTCGGATGGGAATGGAGCTTGGCAGGCCATGTATTCATGTAGCTTCAGCTGACTCATGTCACAGTTGGATGGAGATAAGACAATACTTATCTCATACTTGCAACTTGTGAATTTTAACTCATACGTTCCATTTGTATCTCATATGTAAAGCGTACGAATCTCAATGCATGCTTGAAACACTACAACTCCTAGTCATACAAATTTCCCACAGTAGCATATTCAGTGCACAGAAACCCTACCCCCCCAATCTTCACCTCCCTTTGTGCTTTATCCCCTACAACTGGAATTTTTTGGAAAAGGAAAGAATATAGATTCTGAAGATAAAAAGACATGTTGCCTCCTCCCCTGCCCCATTGCATCTGGTGCCCCCTTCCCCCATTATGAAAATGCTGGCTACAGCACTTACATTCAATCACCAGACTTAATGGTCAGGACTTCTCAGTATAATTAAGTCGCACTGGGCAAATTGTTAGTCGGGCATTACTGCACCAGGTGTATAGCTCAATTTTTTCCAGGGTAGGTGACACACTTGCAGGCATCCCCTTGAAACAGCAATCCTGACAAGTTGCTAGCTGAGGGCAGCACGCTCTCAGATTCTACGTGTACATGAGTCATTTAGGATTAACTTTCAGGAAGTAGGATAAGCAACTAGGCATCTGTCGGCTTGTGTCTGTCAACTTGCGTCAGCAACTTCTAAGGGCATACATGTACATGTCTGTGCAGCCTGTTGAAAATTGTGATCTTCCTGTTTGTACACGTTGTTTGTACAAACATGTATGGTACATGTATCAAAGTTACGTGTACATGAACCAGCACATGCATGTACAGGTCGGTCGTTTGTTGGTGGTGATCTTGGCTTCAGAAGCTATGGAAGACAAAGGAAAGTTTATCTTCAGGGTGCATGTCAAAGTCCACTGTATTGTCATTATCGTGAGATATTGATAAACAGCAGGAAGGTTTCTTTGTACATGTTGTCATATACATGTATCTTACCAGTTGCGCTGTGACAGTGGCTTGTATGTACATGTACATGTAGAGTGGAGTCCCTAACATGGTGCTTTTTGATGGCCTACGTGTATTTTGACTTCCCTCAAATAATGTTGCCTGACTGGTTTTAGTAAGTGAATTCAAGATTTTTACACTGGTGTATGTTACCTCACCAGAAGTTTACTGTGTAAGGTTTGGGTACTACAGCAAGGTGTCTCCTGAAAACCCCAAATGTACCATGTGAAAGAAAGCACCAGTCATAGTGCCACCGTATAATTCTAAAGTGATCTCTCCTGATGTTCCACGTCATTTTGCATCTTCCATACTAAAGCCCTGTCATTTTTCACACAGATGGACATAAAAGGCCTGTGTGGTTGATCTGGTGAAAGTTGTCTCTATTTGGCCTGTCATCATGCCAGAATTTGGTCGGTCACCCCTCAGACGCAGTCTGAGCAGCATCGGACGTCAAGTCTCCTACCGCCAGCCTGTCCGACCCTTCATCTCCTCCACCTTTTTGGACTTCTCCGAGGAGCGGGATCACCTGGTCAAGCGCATCTTCCCCCAACTCCACAGCCTGTGCCATCAGCGTGGCAGCCACTTCAGCCCTGTGGACCTACGCTGGGGCATCAACGAGGAGCAGTCCCAGTCGGGCCATGTGATCTCGCTCTGCCTGGACTACGTCAATTCCTGCAGCCCCTTCTTTATCTGCCTCCTCGGGGAGCGGTATGGCTCCCACCGGCCTCAAGACGCCAAGCCACTGCAGCCGGGCACTGACATGGACAAGAAGGACCTTACTTGGTTGGACAAGAACTACCTCGTAGCAGCAGCCAATGGCCACAACTGGGTCCTCCAAGAAGCATATCAGTGTTGCAGCGTGACTGAATTGGAGATAATTCAAGCAGCATACCTAAACGACAGTCAATATTGCAGGTTCTACTTTAGGGACGTCAGGCACATCGAGGACAAGTTCACTGATCTGTCACAGGTAGAAAGAGAGGGCCAATTACAGGTAGGAAACAGCTTGGATTTTGATGGCTGACTTTATAATGAGTTGCACTTATTGCCAGCTTGCACCCACTCGAGGTATTTAACATTCATATGCAATTAAAGTCCCTTCCTTTCCTCTGTTGTCTTGCTTCACACATTCAGGCATATCGCAGTGAGAATGCAAAGACCGAGTTGCTTGTGCGTGATCTTAAGAGGAGACTCGTCAACAAGGGCCTACCAGTGCGATTTTTCCGGACGACAGAAGAACTGGGCGAGAAAGTGTTGCAGGATTGGAAGTCCATCATTGACCAGTTGTTTCCCCCACTGCATGATGTCACAAGTGATGTAGGTAAGAATTAAATGCATGTTTCAGTGAATGAGGCTGAAGGTATCCAGTTTTTTATTTGTATTTAACTATTTTAACAGTTTCTGCCGTTGTTGTGAAGGTTGAGGTGAAGAAATGTAGACATGGTGAACTAGTTTCCTTTGACACTTTGAAAAAAAAAAGTTCTTACAGGGACTTAGGTATGAACTTCCACAGTCCAACATGACTTACCAATAAGTGACTGCCTAATTTAGAAAAATCAGATTGAAATGGAGATAAACATTGTTTTTTCTTTTATATTTAGTTGAAGCAGGCAGTCAGCTTAACATTTCATTAAAAGATACAAGCAAAATAAATTTAACATCTTAAGCATTTGAAAAATGTAAACAATAAATTTGTTACAGATATACTAATGTTATGGATATGAATTGGAATTTTTTTCCCCATCTATTTCTGATATTTTTTTAGATTTCTCTCACAAGAAATATTTTACATAAAGGGTAAGACTTTGAGTTACTTAAAAACAATACGGTTGATGTGACAGCTTCACTAGTCCTCTTCTTTTTGTCACAGATAGTGAGCAGTTCCATGAATGGATGGCCCATGAGGCATATGCCGAGACACGACGCCGTGTCTTTGTCCAAACCTCTCACATCAGTGAGTTATTTGAACAGCTAGATGCCCACGGAATTCTGGCACTTGAAGAAGAACTCAAGGATTGTAAGGTGCAACAAGAAGGGTGTGGCTCTGTGAATGGGACAGTGAAAGGAAGAAAACCCATGTAAGAACCCAGTGAAGATTCCTATTATAAAACACAGGGGTGTCGTTTCTCAGGATTTTTCCAGATTTCACGATTCTTGACCAAAAATGGAGGATGATTAAGATGTGATCAGTCACGTTTTGCTATGTTTTAATATTTGGGTTTATAAAGTGTAAGATTCATCACATAACCATATAGACATTTATGAAAGAAAGAAGTTTCTAAAAATATATTTTTTCATAAACGGAAGTTTAAAATCTCATGTGGCAACAACTACACGTATGTTTACAAAAATATCAGCAAGAAAAAAGAGTTGCGAATCCATTCACCATCTTGGAAAAATGGTAGCCATCATAGAAAAAAGAAAGCAAGAAGGGTTGCCTCTTACACTCAAAACCCTGAGGAGAAGCTTTTTATACCCAGCCTTATTGTATTGAAGTATAAAGCATGCACGCCTAGACCCTTGTCACTGATGTACTCCAAGCAGAGAGATCCCAGTCTGATTGGAAATACAAATAGACCGAAGGTTCAGTTTATTACCATGACTGTCAAAGGCAGTACCAATCACACAGGTTTCCACACTGATTACAGAATCAGAAGTGATAAGTTTAGCACAATTCAAACAGTGTTCAGAGGTTCCGTTGAATTTGCAGGTACCATGTTAGAAATTAATATGAAATCGTAGAGGGCTTGCATTTTAAAAAATGTAATATTTTCAGGGAGAATTTGTAAAACTTTAGGTCGTGCACAAAATAGAATGCATGAAATAAAATACATGCTGCGGGAGAATGTGCTTGCATGGGGCAGATTTGGCCTGCTACCCACTCGCCCCAAACTTTTCCACTATTTGACTTCTTAATCACTTGCCGTTCCTTGGTCCCATGCATTAAGACACTAATTCATAAATCCCCTTTTTTCCTCATCAGTGAATCAGTTCAACCAGTCCGTTCATCCATCCTGACTCTAGTCGGGGAGCGAGGTTGCGGCAAGACCGCCATTGTCGCCAATTGGGTCCAACATTTCAAGAAGAGCAGCCCGGGACTGCGCGTCCTCGCCCACTTTGTCGGCAGCAGCGCCCTCAGTACAGACATCACCAGTTTTCTGCGTCGAGTCACCTACGAACTTCGTGGGGAATTCGTCGGTGAGTACAACAGAAATAGGAAGATCCATCTTTCATGTGAGATGTGCCTATTGACAAATGCCAAGCCAGGTATATCCGAATCAAGTGGCTGCAATTGACAATAACATGCATGTCTATTGACATTGGATGTAGGTACTAGCTAGTAACTTTCGTAATTGCAAGTGTTTCCATTATTTCAGCCGTAGCCGTAACACATTTAGACGTGGCTTCTGGTACTTCATTGGTGCATTTGCCAAGTGTCTAAAGCCATACAATAAAATACATCTTCTACTTTGACGTTTTCTGTAGAAGTTATGCAGTCAAGTCACTGGCCCAAATGACCCACAAAATTTTTTTACGGTTGTCATCAGAAAAAGCACTGTCATTATATCGATACTATCGATATGGTTTTGATATCAATATCGCCAATGTTAGTTATTTGGTAATATCAATATATTGGAAATATGGGATTTGCGAGAAATACCAAAACTTAAAAAAAAATCGATATTGAAAAATGTATCAGAAATATCGCTACCGAGGAACTAAATGTACAGCGTGCTTTATACACACGAGTTTGTACAAAAAACATTGTACCGCACTCTACATGTTCGTAACGATGCAAAAAATCATTGTACACCACATACATGTACATGTATCTTTTTACTTTTTCCCACATTTTATATGCTTTTGCAAGGCTTTGCCCTTAATTTTTTTTCTCACTTGCCAGCTGGACCAGCAGTGATGGCTTTTTACTAGTCCGCCAGCATTTTTACTAGTCCGCGTCTTCCCCCAAATTTCAACATTCTTTTTGGCACTTGTGTTTTCTGCTCCAACATCATGCATAAGTGTGCACTCGGTGCTGACTGTTGTTTAATTGTTGATGAGTAATCATAAATGGTCATGGGAATCCGAGTTTCCAGAATATTCATGAGTATAACTCTACTCAAGCAGCAAATTAAACTCACAAAGTGGTTACCTGCTGAAAATGGTTCGTTTTATTCACAATGCAAGAGACAGAAAAAAAATATCATTATTAACAGTTTATGTACATGTATATGTACATTTTATGCAGTATGCACATGTACATATGTACATGTACGCCCGGTGAAATGTACATACATCATTCTCAAGTGTGTCCAGTACCCGTGGGGTGCCTTCCACCAAATGGTTGTATCTTTCTGCATGTGGACTCATCAATATTTGGTGATCCCACGGGGTTTTTACAATAAGACATGCCATAATCAGGAAGGATCATAGAAATATTTCTGTAAATCCCAAATTTGGGACTGTTAATTTCCAGTTTGGGGTATTTCTTTCAAAAGTGGCAGGCGGCTAAATTCAGAGCTGAGGGCATAGTTTTACTACTATTTTGGAGGTATCTTTGGGGAAAGGGGAATAAAAATAGTTTTCGTGGCTAACCCTCATAAAATTGAAACGAAAAGTGATCTTCTGGCCACAATCCTGAATTTCCAGTGAAAAAAAGGGAGGCCAACCTCTTTCCAAGAGTTAACAGGCAGCACTATTTCGGTCTGATTTTGCAATGGTTTCTACTGGTGTGTATTTGGTGTAGTGCAACCCGTAGCGTGCGAACCAAACACGAAATCACAACCATGATATCGCTGGTGTCACAACTACCAAGGACAAATCAGAAAAATCAGCACACCATACACAATCCGCACGTTATACGCGTGGGATGCATATTCATGACTTCCATGTACCTCTACGATGCAATGCATGAAAGCACGTGCTGATTTAGATCTTGTACGCAGAACCGAGGTCAAGTCAGGGGTTGTTGAGATGTACCGGCCACATACGGCATGTCATACGCGCGATTACGCCGCAAAGTCGTTGCGGAACGAAGTTTCAGACGATTTACTGCCGCTGCATTCGTAGACTTCAGCATTACTTCTGCTGGGCTGGTGCCAGGGACCAAACTATTCTTGGTTGCAAAAGGTTCTGTTTTATTTGGTTCAAAAACCAGCAGCAGCTAGAGGGCATGCATCACAATCAATGATTTCGCTGCTTATTTCAGAATATTGTTTTACTAGACCGCCGGACTACTCAGACGAGGGCTTTCGCTAGACCGCCATGGTTTTTACTCAAATTTGGCTAGCGGACCAGCGTTAAGGTCGAACCCCGTTTTGTGAAGAGTAAAATAACAAATCAAAGGTAAAATTGCTGACTGCTATTCTTAGCCTCAAAAATGGACACTTTTATTTCATGTTTCTAGTTGTATCGCAGCAACTGCGATTCATTAAAAAAGTGTGTAGCAACGTGGCTGAAAATGTATCGCGAATCGCGATGCAGTGCTGGCAATATTATTTCTTGCCTTGAAAATGAAATAAATGAATATGGATATATCGATATTTTTAAAAAACGATATAGCGGTATCGGCCAAAATACGATATCGACAGTGCCTGCAGCAGCACATGCAATAACAGTTGGTCAACTTATGTATAACTGCCATTTTTTTGTAACTCCAATTTGTAGTATATATCTTGGAACACATGTCAGTAACTGAGTATCGTAATACGGGTCATATTGTTAGAAAGTGTCATCTTCAGAGCTCTTCCTTGAACAGGCATATCAGTCCCATCACTGTGTCCTTTTTTATCATGGGATATCTTGTTGATAAATAAACAATTTTCGGTTGTGAACACATGGATTGAGAAAGGACAAATTATTCTCCTAAACAGACATGTATCTAATAATCATTTTCATTATTGACTTCAAGTTTTTTGATGCCATCTGTTTCGTGACTACATGTAAATCAACAGGTTAGAATGGTGTTACGAATGTTTTCTGTATTGCCACACCCAGACCATTTCTGAACAACATTTTGTTGTGTTTCTGACTCAGCTCTGTCCAAAGAATTTTTTAATAAGCCTACATGGTCCAAACCAAATGTAAAACTCTCAGCCTTGTCCTCATAGCGAAGAATTTGATGTTCTTTAAGCACAGCAATGAAGGTTGTTGAAGCAGAAACACTAGTACGAGTGAGCGGGATTGTCAAAGTCGGGGGCCTCAAATTTCCTGGACACAAAGACGTAGAGGAAGCTAATGATCTGTAAACCCCATATGTAGCTGCAGACATCTGTCCTTGTCTGTAGAAGATCAGTTGTGAATCTTATCACAATTCCAGGAAACCAGAATGAGACCTCTGGCGACACAGAGGACATGTCCAACTTCCACCACATCTGTGAGGCCTTTGTGGCAGCCGTGGCCATGGGCCCTTGCGTGCTGGTACTGGACGGCATTGACGAACTGAGCGGAACTCTAGGGCAGAGCATGCATCAGGTATAGATTGTTGCTGGGATTGATATACAATGGTTTCATGCAACAACTGTTGAGGGCGCTATGTGGTCTAGTTAATGGGGATACAAGGAGGAGGTCCAATCCTCAACTTTGTCTCCATGATTATTACATTAAGCAATATAATCGTAATGAAACCACAAGTTCCTCAAAAGTATTGAGGCACTGTAACTCATAAGCCTTAAGTAAGCAGTAAGAGAGGAGACAGAGGCAGTCAAAGTTTTAGAAGTGGGAGGAAAACGTCAGAGGAGAACTCTAGAGAAAACCTATCAAATCCTGAATATGTGGGCTGAGCTCGGTATTTGGGAATCCGGGTCACAGAAGTGAATAACGAAGAACGAACCATTGTTCAAAACACACTTCCTGTGACTCCCATCTCTGACTGCAGACTTCATTTTATGAATTTATCCCCCCGAGCCTCCTCAGGAAAATAAAGCGTCATTTCCTCATCTTGAAAAACATCAATTTATCTGATCTAAAAACAACTTTCTGACGAGACAGAGGAAGCTACATGTATAATGTATCGACCCCAAGTGTTTGTACAAACCGTATACTTTTTGTCCAATCAGTAAGAATTACTTCAGACTGAATGAATGGTAACATGCTTAAGTACATGTATGTATCATTACTCCAGCAAAAGAAATAGAATGCTTAGAGGATGCCCAGCAAAAGTCAATTTCATACAGAATACACCTGTTGTCTCTTGCTGGTAAATACATGTATAATGTGGTTGGTTTGTGAGCATTGCATTGGGCATGTCTGTTGTCGTGTAACCATTACCAAGTTTTTGCTGTCTTCTCTCTATACCGTAAAAGACTGATCTATTAAGCCATGCCCACTGCATAAAGCTTTCTTAATTGTTTCCAATGTTCATCTTTGAGACAAAACATAAAATGGTTAATTTGTGTCGTCCACAAATAGGGACTTCTTTGAATTCAAAATCATTTCAATTTTTGGCAGCCAAGTGTTCATCTCAAAAACTTTTTCATTTCTGGTTAAGGTGAAGGAGATGTCTTGGCTACCTGCTACAATGCCCCCGCAGTGCCAAATCATCCTTACGACCGTCCGTTCTGACCTGACCTACAAGACACTCTCCCAGCGTGGGGACACGCAGGTCCTGCCAGTTCCACTCTTCAAGGACAAGGGTCAGAAGTCTGCCATGGTGGCCAATAACCTTGCCATCCACTGCAAATGCCTTGACCGAGGCCAAATGGAGAAAGTGGTCACGTCCAAGCTGAGCGACCGGCCACTGTTTCTGTCCATCCTGGCCAATGAGCTGAGAGTGTGTGGAACGTACAGAAATCTGGACAAGGTCAGGGTTCAAGAAAGAAATTATCTCAGTGACTGGTCTTGTTGATATCTTAGTAACAAAGTCTGCTTTGGCTGGCACACGATGTACAGATTCAGTTTTGTGTGGCTATAAGCGTGTGCTTTTCTAACTATAGTCATGTAATTCAGGCATAGCCTGTTATGTCCAGTGGTGCCAAAATTGTTGTTACAAGAACCAAGTCAAGGTCCTGTTCTTGAATTGGGGCTCGGATATCTACAAGGACAATTAAGAACAACTTTGTCCGGCAAAATCTTAAGCTTTTGACGAGTGTTCAGAAATGTCAGTGATTTTGGGGCCAAATTCTGTTGCACTCTTACATTTGGAGAGGGACTAAGATCTCTTTCAACCCTTGTTAGTATAAAGAGCACCTCTCCTTCAGTGAGACATCTCTTTGGCATCAATTACTTCTGGAAAAATAAAATGATTGGGTTAATTTTTGTCAAGGTGTTGGAGCAGTACGTAGAGGCAGCTACATTCAGGGACCTGTGGAAATGTGTGATTCACAGATGGATACGAGACTATGGATGGACAACAGATGGCCGCTCAACATCCGCCTCCAGTGATAGTAGCTTAGAAGGTACATGTACGCTGATGTTACCCTGTTAATGGTTAATATGTGAACATAGTTCAGAATGGTGATAATATCTCAAAATTGATAGATCAAGGTCAGAAATGGCCTTTTTTTACCTGTGCTTACAACAAGGACTAAACATTCAATGTTGCGGGGAGTACTTTACTAGTATCCCACACGTATTTTCCATTACTTCACTAGTACTCCACAGGTATTTTCCATTACTTCACTAGTACTCCATAGGCATGTTCTATTACTTCACTATACTCCACAAGTATTTTCCGATACTTCACAAGTACTCCATTAGTATTTACCATTGCTTCGTTAGTACTCCACAGGTAAATGTATTTACCATTACTTCACTAGTACTCCATGGATATTTGCCATTACGTCACTAGTACTCCTCGGGTATTTACGATTGTTTTGTTAGTACTCCATAAGTATTTTCCATTACTTCACTAGTACTCCATTGGTATTTGCCATTACTTCACTAGTACTCCACTGGTATTTACCATTGCTTCGTTAGTACTCCACATGTATTGACTGTTGTTTCACAAGTATTATCAGCTCTTCATAAGTTCCACAGTCTTACAAGCCACAAGCTATCTATATGAACTGTTTTGATATTGGTTTGTAAATGTTGACGCTCTTTCAGTTGTAAATTTACTGAAGTAGTGATGATAAAGATATGCATAACACCTACATATCCGGGGTTCATTGCACTGGGGCTCAAGGTGATATGCATCATCACTTTTCCTTTTCAACTGGCTCAGAAACATTCCCTGAAACTATTTCAACTCCATGTGGAGTGCATAGCTGAATACTACCAACATTTGACAAGTGGCTGATCAAGCGCAGTAACCCTCTCTGACTATACGTTTACCCATTTGTACTTCTGCTGAGAGAGAGAGGCAAGTCAGGGTTAAAAGTGACTTGCTTAATGTTGCTTTGTATGCCCCTCACTGGATTTGAAGCCCTGAATTTGTGATAGGGAGTTACAAACCCTAACCACTTGGCCACACTTGTGACAATGCTCCTTATAACTGTTTAGAATACTTTTGCTACAACACAGATTATTTTCTGTTTGACAGACATGTCTGGCTGGGTTGCTGAGGTTCTACGGCTGATCAGCTGCTCCAGAAATGGCCTGAGCGAGCCCGAGATCCTGGAGCTGCTAAGAATGATGGGATACACGGGTGAAGCCAAGGTCACACCCTTTGACTTTGCCCTCTTCCGGTCAGCCACATTTGATGCCTTGGTTGAAAGACCGGGTGGTCTGATGAGCTTTTTCCATCAACATCTCAGGGAAGCCGTGGAACACTCCTTGCTGGGTAAAAAATATGATCTCCAAGAAATAAAATAACTAGTCTGCCTACTCAGAAGTTTTCTCGCTCACCCTGTAATTACAGAATCCGTGGTTGTGAGATATAGTTTCTGCAAACAAAAATCTTTTTTGAGAAATAGAATTTTCCTCTTCAATTTAGCAAAGATCATTCACTTACATGTATAATACAGTGAGCAGAGTCAGTGAAATTGTTTCCCAAATTGTCTGAGTGAGTTATAATCTCTTAAAGATAGAGTTATTCAGGCTGAAATTGCCAAGAGTGTGACTTCTCAGGATTGTTTTCCAGATTACGTGATTTGGGACACAAATCATGGATTTTTAGAGGTTCATACAGTTTTGTGATTTCTTTTAGCCCTCGGGACAAAACATAGCCATTTGGGAGGAACCTAATGTTTTTTAAACTCTTAAGGACCCTGAAAGGTCAGTATGTTAACGCTGTAATTACTAAAGCCATCCACTGAAGATATCTGAATTTTGTTCTTGATCCTCCAATGTCACCTTAGAATTTCTTGCTAGATTCCTTTGTGAGCAACATTTTTGTGACACACACTTTCCTTTCCTCTGTCACACTTTTCCAGGCATGATTAGTGGCACGGCAGGCCTGCCGGACTCGCCTAATGCCTCAGCCGTCAACTTCCTCACGGTTGGCCTGAACCGACAGAAGAGGCGTTGTCATGAGGCTCTGGCCAGCTACTTCCTGAAGCAGCCCCACAGCCTGCGGAGAACTGGGGAGTTGCCCTGGCAACTGGAGAAATGTGGGGACATTCAGAGCCTATATAATATCCTGACTGAACCGCAGTGAGTATTATTGATGTCAGCTATAACAATTGTATGATCGTTGTTCACAGGATGACCATTTTGGATCATGCTCCCTGAATCCACTGTATTTATTGAACACTCGGAGATGGGAAGGAGTCCAACTGTTTTACTGTTATAGTTTCACCCCAAAAGTACTGTTTATTCGCAAGTTGGAGTTACCCATTGGAGCCCAAGGATTTGTACCCCATTGCATCAACTTTACTTTCACACGCTCTAAGATTTCAGAAAATATTTACAGGAATTGCTTCATTTTCAATTCAAGATGGATGCCTTGGCAACAAGATACCATACACAAACGTAAGAGTACACTTGATAGTGTCCTGTTTAGTTGAACTATGAAGGAAAAGGGCATCTTTAGTCATGGGAGCAGGTAACCTTTTTAAACGATCTTTGCGTACTGTTGTGCACAACTCAAAATGGTGCCCATGCTGTTGCCCACTTTTACAGTCCTCTCCCATTTTCAGTGTTATATGCAGTCTTTGTGCAAGGAGTCCGTAGGTTTACTTGAGGGCTAACTTCTTGAGATGTGGTGGCTACACTTGGCTGGGTAATACTAAAGTATGGAATAATGAATACTAGCATTAAGCCATTTCTTTTAGCATCATATCTCAAAGACATTAATGGTTGCCCGTTTTTAAGTTGAACATCGCCCATTCAATTAAAATAAATCAGACTAAGATCAGTATAGATATGGTATTTTCCTGAAAAATCATGCCAACATAATACATCTTGAAACAATAAAAAGAATCCATATATTATAATAAATTAAGAACTGACAATACCCCCCTTAATGTTCCTTGGAAGTTAAAGTACAAAGAATGTGCCGTTGGGTTCTGCTGTAGTTAAGGATTGGATAGGATTTTTAGAAGAGTAACAGGAAATAAATGTCCATTGAGCTAGGGTTTTTGGTGAGATTTTGTTTTCAGTTTGTAGTTCACATTAACAATGAGATTTTTCTTGAATTTTTTGATCCAACGTGCAGAGTTTTCCTGATGATGAGTCAGGACAGCATTCAGAGTGTGGCCCTCAAGCTGGACCTCTTGCGCTACTGGCAGCGGCTAGGGCGGAACGGCTACAACATTGCCGAGGCTTACGAGAAGATGGTTACAACAGCAAGAGCTGCGCAAGAGTCTGCACTGAATGACAGCGGAGGGAATTCCACCAACGGGACCATAGCTGTGGCAAGCAGTGGCAGCAGTAGGCCTGAAAGTGGTGAGAAATGAACAGGTCATGTTTCAGTCTTACCCGTGACCTTACATAGCCAAGGGGCTGGGGTGTTACTCCCTCTAAATTCCTTGGCCGGTCCCACACACCCCTCAAACGGAGTAATAAAACCCCTGAATAACCACAAAAGCATGAACATGTAAATGAAATGAGATGGAAACAGTAAAACAGGTCTTCCATGAGATGGCAGTATGTGTCCCTTATTCTCACAGAAAAAAAAATCATTACTTTGTGACAACCAGCTTGTTCCAGACCAGAGAATAATCTGTTTTTCATTTATAGATCCTATAATTTTAATATCTGAAAACTTTAAATCAGGTAGTCAAGTCGCATTTGGTACAATATTGATTACTTTTTAATTGCTAGGAGGGAAGGTGTTACAATCACCATTCAAGAAACCACGTCCCAAGCTTTCTGTCATTGAAGAAAGCGTTGCTTCAGACTCACCAAGCCCTAGCCCAGTGAAAACAAGTGAAATGTTCATCTCAGAGGTCACAATTACATGTGAAGCTGATACCACGACTTACTCCAGCATCTCGGTAGAGCAAGACATGACTGCATCTGCTGCTTGGAATGTCAAAGAATCGATGGTGTCAGCCTCGCAGAAACATCCAACCACTGCATCATCTTCAAAGAGATCCAAGAACAGGACGACACCCAATGCTGTTAGGGCATCTTCATCCTCGGACACAGATGAGGGGGAGGTCTGGGAGGATGCCAGGGATGGAACCGAACCCCACAGCGATGAGGGTGCCAGGGATGGAACCGAACCCCACAGCGATGAGGGTGAGATTGGCTCTCTGTTTTGATTTCAGTAGGTTCAGGGCAGATCTGTACAGGATACTTTGTTTAGACTTCAGGCCTTTGTTCGGATCCTTGCTTTGATGCCACCTCTGACCTCATTCCAGCTCCATAATTAATTTGAACTATCTACATGTACTATGAGAAATCAAACGAACATTCCTTTAAATGTTTTACACATGCAAACAGATGCCTACATCACAGAAAAATCTACTTTGGTTATTAACTTCATAAATAATGAGCCCATTTGAAATTGTCCCTGCACTCACTGAGCTAAAATGCAGTGAAAGGTTTTTAAATTTTTCTTAACACCGATAACACATGTAGTGATAGAAATATCTACATTACTTCTTGAGGTACAACATTGCAGGGAAATTTAAATTTTAAATGTGTTCCAGATGCCAAAACCCATCAGTATCAATTGCTTACCAGTACCCTCTCATTTATTAGATTCATTGACTGAGATGTAGTTTGCTCTCAGGGAAGCTTAGGGCTCATTCTTCGGTAGACTTGAGCTAAGATCTGAAGGTGTATTGCATCGGCCACATTGACAGTGTTAAGGTTTCAACTTTTTAAAAATTATTTCTTTCAGTCTGTGAGGGAAAATGTGCCATAATGCCTTTATGTCATGTCCTCATTCTCTTCAACGACGGACAAGATGAGCTAGATTCAAAAATACCACCTTGCGGCTTTCATTTTTGCATTTTCCCCCAGATAAAGACATCTTCTATGAATTCAAGCCACAGGACAGGTGCAAGCTGGCTGTGCTCGCAATGCATGCTGGGAAGGTCCTAGCTGAGAAGTCCTGTTTCATGCAGTCCGAAAGGCTGCTGCAGTTGGCTTATGAAGAAATTAAAACGGTAATTATGACGATATTCCAGGAACAGAGGGGGAATGGGTACAGCAATGTAGAAGTGTTTGGAGCAGGGGACCTTGGTTATGACCACCAAAATGCCCCTCTGACAGTTACTTCCAAAATGGCTGTAAACGGCCTTCACATATCGAAAAGAAAACAGTTCTGAAGTTTGGAGAAATACACTACTCAAAAAAGTTAAGGACCACTTTTTATTTTGTGTATACTTTTTATATGAGATATTTTACTGCTGAAAATGTGCATTTGATGTTTCAAAACTTTTTTATGTTTTTCATTCTAACGAGAACACCATCTAGACAAAAAAAAATGAAACAACTAGACCCCACTCATTGCTTAGAAAAAATTACAAGTTAAGAAAAAAGTGGTCCTTTACTTTTTGAGTAGTATATATGGGAGTCATTCCCACATGATCGACTGCATAACCTTCAGTTATTGCTTGTGACATTCAGCTTCAATATTTTTCCTTAAAAGCCAGATCATCAAATATTTCAACAATGATACAGGTATGCTGTTCAAGTAATAACTTAAAATAAACACCAACAATATCCGAGCTACATGCATGTTGACAGAGAAAGAAGGCTCTTCTTCAAGATAAATCCATGGGTCATTTCTTCAAAGCAGAAATTCCCACTAAGCACGCCGGAGCATCAACTCCTCGTCAAGGTTGAAGAAAACCTAGGGGATCTCCACCGCTTTCAACTGCACAAAAACGAGGCCAAAAAGTTCTACTGCAAGGCCCTCGATACCCTGAGCAACATTGCAGCCAACAAGTCCGATGATATCTACAGGCAACTGCAGGAGAGTCAGGGTAAATGGCATGTCATTTCATGTTTGCATCACTCATGACTGATGACTGGCAAAGTGTGCTTCAAAACAGATTGCAGGTGAACCCAATAATGATAGTGTTTAATAATACAGTATCCTGCTGGCGACAAAAAAAATGTGAGGCCTCAAAACTTATGTTCTTTGTTTTTCATTCTTGAAAGTGCAACGTCCTTATAATACAATAAGATGTGATTGAGCTAACACAAATAATGGACTTTGGCCTCTGGATTTGATGTGTTACTTGATCAGTGCCAGTGTTTATTCTGGAAAATAGAAGAAGACAGAAGTGCATCTGTTGACATCTTTCATCCAGATCAATTTAACCACTTCCTGCCAGGTGAAATTTGTATATATGGGGGATGAGTTGACGGGTAATTTTCAAGATTTTCTGTTTTCCAAATTCTTCAAGAATTCATAACTTCATGTACTGGATGTTTACACCCACACAAATGACTGTCTGGTGGCTACTCTACTCTGACAGGCAACCTCCATTGATGCCCAAGTATTGCAGCCAGGCCTGCCGCCCAGTATAGAGAGCCCAGATTGTTGGGTGTTGCGTAATTTCCTTTGTTCCTGAAATTGGCCCAGTGCAGTGGTGTCTTTTCAATGGTAGCAGTGTCTTTTTAAATGCAGCCAGATCAGGGTGCAGCAGTACCGTATTGTGCATCGCTGGAGTGCTGGAGCACTTTTGTCCCCGCTGATAATCTGCAGGATTTGAATGCTGCAAACAGTGATATACTGTTTCAAAACAATGACGGATCACCTCCGCTAATGCCAACTGAAAAATGATGGCAATTCCGAGCAGCTCGGTCTTTTGTTCCGAGTACGGTCTTTTGTTACAAGGCCCAACTGCTTTGTCTGATTTGGGCACCCAGGCAAAACGTAAAAAGACAACGTCTCCGATAACGGGCACCCCGGAGGCAAATGGTTAAAAGCCAAAGCACGAAAAGTGTGGTTTGGCGTGCCATGCCCAATTTAATTCTAAATGCTGTCTTCAAAAAGGTTACCTTATGCCAACATTTGTTATGCAAAACTCACATAGTGTAACCAAACCCAAGGAAATCAATTATGGGTATATTTTTACACTCATCACAAAAATGTGTAAAGTCATGACCTAGTCACTAAGTGTTTGACTGTACAAAGGGTTTCGGAGTATGTTTTGTGACTCTGCAGGCAGACTTTTTGATGAATAACTTGAAGAAATTTGAAGGGTGAAAAACTAGGAGAGTTTTAACTACCTTGTTATATTTTTTCCTGTTGTGTTCATTTAAATTTGTTTCTTTTTGTTTTTGAAGGTCGTCTGTTGACCCATCTTGGTCACATGGCAGTCAAGGAATACAGGAGTGGTGCACAGGAAGCTGAGACGATCCTTCAGAAGGCCAGCCAGTGCATGAGGGGAGCCAACAGCATCGCTGGCCTGGCTACGGCACAGTTCATCCTAGGCCTGGTCCAGTAAGTCCAATTTATGGACTATTCCTTTGAAAAAATATCACATCTGTGCTCCTCTGTTCAAAATTGGCTTTGGGAGAAGGCAGGCTTAAACAGGTGCCCACCTAAGTTTTAATTGGGGGATTTTATAAGGTTTAATATGGTTTTGTGGGGTACCTCTGGGTAAAAATTCAGGTTAACCCCCCTCATTTAAAATGCATCGACTTAACCATCGGCTGAATTGAAATTGAAATTCAATTAATGAAAAACAGTAGAGGAGTTCCAAGGAAGGGGTCACTTGGTAATGCTTGATAGATTCACGTTATACATATTTTTTATCAGTTTTCAAGTGAAAGGTGGCATATCTAATCAAAGCTCCAAATATGACATTACTCCAAATACAGAGTTTGAGTAATGACTCCATAGTGGCAATAGGAACATTTCTATGCCATAAATATGACGAAATAAAAATTTCATTGTTAAAGAAAGTGAGTAACAAATGTTGTTATAACGTACCATTTGTTTCTGAAAAGGCTTTGTGAAACATGAAGATTGCCTGTGTTTATCATTTCATGACAGAATTGGAACTGTCCATCAGTTGTAATACAAACAGGTTAAAAGATGTGAAATGGTACCCGTCATTATTTATGCCAGACGATCATTACCAGGCTGTTGGTGTCCTTGTGTGTGGTGTATTATGAAGTGTCTCATCTGTTTGACACAATACAGAGTGAAGAAATCAGATTACCTCGCCGCCGAGAAGTGTCTGCTCGAGGCCCTGGGCACGAGAGAGAGATGGTACGGCAAGTCCCACCCGCATGTCGGAGAAGTCCTGGATGAATTGGGAGGTCTACTGAGCAACACCAAGAACTTACAGAGGTCAGGAGGCCTCTAGTGGCCTTTTTAAAATAATTGACAAGTGACAGGGGTGTGAGAATTCACCTTTTTAGCCGATTTTAGTTTGTTTTTTTTAGATGTTGACCTTAAATTTCTGTTAAAAACCTGTTCTGTGCAAACTTTGGGAACTTTTTACATTTCAGCTTTTTACTAGCTGTTTTCAGCTTTAATATTAAGTGGCCACTCGCCCCTGAGGTGAACAAAAGCCATGTATACCAATAAGGGGGCAATTTCACTAGAAGCCGGTCCCAACCTTCTCTTTTCAAAGTTGCATGACAGGCCCATGTCATTTCTGGACCTGAGACTGTAGTGATCGAGGGAGTCTTCAAACCCCAATTTCCCTCATGGCTTTTATCGTAACTCATGTGCGTGACAATGACCAGGTATTTCACATACTTTGCCTCATGTTATTGACTGTAACTGTGTACTTGGTCAGGCCATAAATCATTATGTCACACGTGATATTTTTCTGTTATAAATCTGTTTACCGACAGATGAAATCGTAAACTATATAAAGATTTTGTGTAATAAATGAAGAAAAGAAAGAAAACTTAGAAGTGGATCTCATCAGCAAGATGGGGTGGCTCAGAAATATAGGGTGTTTTAAGGATTTGGGGGTTTTCATTGTAATTTCTGTTTGCCAGGTATGACAGGATAATGGCCGAGGCACATTTCAGGAGGGCACTGCTCATAAGAACGCAGTCCTTTGGCAGAGACCATCTCCTCGTGGGAACCTCATTGTTCCATCTCGGTGAGTTCTGACTGCTTAAGCAGGGCTTTGAAAGAATTTCAGTTGAGAATAACTCATCTCGTTTCCTCTTTGGAAGCCAGACAGAAAATAATTCTGGCCATGAGAAGGTGAAAGAATAGACCGATTGTGTCTGCTAAGTCACGTGACCTGTAGTGGGTATCAAATATCAACAAACATTGCATCCACCAAAAGCAAAGTGTTTTATAAATATTATTTAACACAAACTAAGCCCAAAGCAGGTACCATACTCGGACTACTGATGAGCTGGGTATTATACCGGAACTCAAAATACCTTGCTATGGGGTTGATACCTACTGTAGGTCACATGATTTAGCGGGTGCAGTGGGTCTATTCGGAAGAGCTTTCCAGTTGAGACATGGCAGAAGTAAAAAATTATCTTGTCAAGTGTCTTCAACAAGTTTGTGTGCTATTTCCTAAAATATAATCTCCGGTATTTTTTCCATTATTACCGTTGAGCACCTCACAGGTACTCACAGTTTTCTTCAAAAGTACATACAGATCTTCACAAGTACTTTACCAATACCACAGTCAGTAAGAAGTCAAAAGCACTTCACCTGAGCCTCAACCTGTTGTTCACCATTGTTCATCTTTTTTTTTTCACTTTTAGATATTACTAGCAGTGGCATGTCCAGTGGGGAAGAGGGACCTAGTGTTTCCAATGTTTCTAATTCCAATTTTCCAATTTTTTTTAGAAATTGAAATCACCAACAGTTAAGAAATGGTTGACCACCTTTTTAGGGAAATGAGGATTCTTTTACGGGTCAAAGAAATTTGTACGTCATTTGAAGAAGAAAATTTCCATTTTTTCCACTTCACCAAAGACCTGGATACACCACTGATATCTAGTGTAAAGTAATTGTGAAGCGATTGTAAAATATTTAACTTAATGGAGGCTTTAATCATCTGGGTTACTGTTTTTGATGTATTCTGAAATACAGGAAGGCTTCTGAAATGTAGCGGCAGTCAGCAGTGCAAGACAGAGGCTGTAACTCTCCTGGGACGTGCCCAGGACATCCGTACCACCCACCTCGGAGCCAATCACTTCCTGACCAAAGCCGTGCGGCAAGCTCTGAAGGAGGTCCAGCAGCAGCTGACCTCAGGCGATTACGACTATGCCCCAGTCAAGCAGCCTGACCGACGCACCAAGCAGCGACCGTACAGCGCCCTCAGCTGGCACGAGGCCGACCTGATGGGTTTTGAGAAGCAGGCGCGTGCCAAGAGCGCCCAGCAGGGGGTGGAGAGAAGTGACAGCAAGGCGCAGCAAACCAAGACAGATAGAAGAAGGACCTCCTCACATGTGGACCTTCCGAGTACTCCTAAGCAGGAGGAATCCAAGAGTCATGATAGTGGGGGGGTTAATTCGAAAGCCAGGTCAAACAGTGTACCGAACATACGTGACGGCGCGACACCACTGAATCGCGACTCAGCACCACCTTTGGCAGGCAAGGGGTTCTGCACAGAGCCAGAACAAGCAGCGAAGTACAACGGTAAGGATAAGGGGGTAAGGTCTGGTCAGGGTGCCGGTAAGAGCCAACGACCAAGGAGCGTCCACGGCACTTTCAGATCAGGGCAACGTAAACCTGGGAGAAAAGCTGCAAGTGCGAATTCTCCCGTCCGGGCTCATCACACTGAAATAATGAACAATTCTGCCAGGACGCAACAACGTGAGAGACAGGGTGATCTTCAGTCTCTCTGCTTGATTCCCAGGCAAAATGCTAGGGGTGACACCACTGCCCCACTCCAAGGTGTCGATTCTGCACCAAATTCAAAGGATGCTTTCAAGCGATTCAGCACATGGAGTGCTGGAACATACGACAGCTGGCCCAGAAGCACTCAAAGCCGAGGGCAAGGGGCATCCTCAGCAGGGGAACGAGGTACCAGCCCCGGCCGGCGACCCTACAGTAGCTCCAGCCAGGTCTCGCATACCTCTCACCGTTCCCGCTGCGATGTGCCAAGTGCCCTTCAGATGCACCCCAGCAACGACAGAACCATACGAGGTCCACACAGCCAAATCCAAGCCATCCTTGGTGAGCCATCGTGCCCCAGGCCGGTACAGCCCAAGGTGCTTCACACCTCGGCGTGGTGGCACGAACCTGGCGGGTACCCTAGGAAACCCAACGACATCTACCCTCCCAGGAGACACCAGAAACGTCCAGCTAGTAGGCCTCCACTGGAGTCGAGCAACAGATTCAGCGTGCTTGCATCAATGGCAGATAATGATAACTGAATTACGCCACTATTGCACTGCCGTGGTCTGCAGTTTCAACAAAAAATACCCAAAGTATTACAAGATTGAGCTTATTCTAAGCCAGAACAAGTTGTCTTGTTCTTTTTAAGCTGTAAACTGAAATATTTGCCTGCCAAAATTAGAGATCCAAGGAAACGCAGTGGGATACATTCAGATTGCTTATAGTGAGTTAGTGATGAGGCATGGCTATCTCTCATAGTTATTAACGGCCCATTGAAAATATTTCTTTCAAAGCAGGTCTCCTGAATGCTTCTTTGCATCCGGTTAAACCTGATTTCCTGTTTTTTTGTGCTTCTTCAAGGGCATTTTGTTGCTTGTCTGATAATGTTTATGCTGATGCAGATTTGCATATTTATGAGCAAAGTGATGGAGTCATCCAAGGCAGAAATTTCACTGTCACTGCAATTTCTACTCTAACATTTATCAGAACGTTGGATATTTTGCTGTCGTAAAGTTTTTTTACATTGGTGATTTGTTTTTGTCGCCGCTCTTGACAATAGGCCAGTGGGCAGAGTTTTCTCATAAATATTTTCTCTGAGCAAATGTTGGATTCACAATTTTCACAGAAACCCCTAAATAAATACTGTCTTCCGGTACTGACATCAAAGAAGCAGTTCCCATGGAAAAATTTGTACATTTAATAAAGTGCATTTAAGAGTAACCAAATACAGATGTTAGTTTTCTTACATTTTAAGAGGATTAGAAAGTTTCACATATGCTTCACATCATGCACCCTTTCAAGTCCTGCTGTACATAGGTCTCAAGTTATGAAGTGTTTGGTGAAATCAGCCTGTGCTTTCAACATTTTCCAAACTCTATGTGCCATATACATCTTTAAGATCAATAGCAGGCGTATTTTTCATTATGTTTCTTATATTCATTATAGATTTATTATCTTTGTCATTATCCCATGCATGCTTTGATTCCATCATAAAAATCATAGAAAGGAACATTATAACCCTAACCATACAAATACTGGTAGATTGGATGTGATTTACACAGCACCTCGCGTGTACTTCGAGAAACACTTAAGAAATAGAACACAAACAGACATTTGTTACTTTCATATGCGTCTTATTATCTTATAAGTGAACAGTCTCATCTAGATTGGTTCACAAAGATAATATAAGATTCTCTTTGCAGTAGTAATATTTAATAAGTTCTAATTGATAGTTAGTGCCTTAGACTGTCAGTTTGCTTCCAAATGATTTTCCATGGGGGGGGAACTGAAGCAAATGAAACTTGCTGGAGAGCCCTTACATCCCTGTAGAGAGGTGACGGATTTACAAAGCTGTTGGCGTTTACTCTGGGCCAGATGCTTGTAAACAAGCAAGTGCATTTGCACGTTTTGTTACTGCCCTAAGCAAGGATTGATCGCAGGATTTGTGATTTTTGGTCAAGAGACAAGGAGGCGTAGATTTTTTGGCAAAACAGGGAGTTCGTCATTCGTTAAATACAGTATATGCAGCCACTGCACAGTGAGACTTGAGGAAATAATACATATAAAATATGCTCGTACATGTTTGCCTGGTAATGATAACATGCAGTACATTTATTGTATTCAACTAGATTTTAGGGCGTGCTCTTCAGAGTGGTTCTTGGCTAGAAATTTGAGGGAAAAAAACTGTGTTCAGAATCTGATTTTCATGGGAAAGAAGAATTGATTGTGGTTTAATAGATTTGATGATGGGAGAGAGACACTTGAGGATTGCAGAGGACCGAGGATGATGTCCCTTTTAAGGTAACAAAAGCGGAGCTACATTTGGGCTGCAATCTAGCCTATTTGCTCCGCCCCCATTGAACCACTCACTTGAAGTCCCATCAAATGGTATGATTGTTAGATATTCTAAATGTCTGCAAAATGTAAGCAACAAATAAATGAAAAATAGCCTTACGAACTGAAATAAACTAGTTAGTGTCCGCAAAGCTGGTAAAATACTTTTATGGTCATCTGGAACTATTTCTCATCTTTATATTTAAGAATTTTTCAACGTGGAAACATGGTGTATATTTTGGATGTAAGCTAAACTTAACTTTCATGACAATCTGTCTGCTGCCACTCGGGTAAATATTTGGAAAGCCTTTTGAACTCAATTTTTTAGACTTTTTGTACTTTAGAAATGTTTACAGTGTGTGAGGTTAAGTTCTCCGTTCCATAAAGTAAGGCCTTTAATTGCCTACCTTGACAAATGTGTAATTGCACCTGTGTACGTGAATATATTTTTACACCATTATGTTTCACATGGTACCAAAACCAATTTTGTGTCAGGTAGGCAGGCCTTCACGAGACAAGGTGGCCCCTTTCATAATTTGTATTCTTAACTGTCGTTTTTAAGTAGTTGGATGTGATACAAAATGCAAACTGCACAATTATTTTAGTATCAAAATAGTTGCCTCGAGAAGATTGGTGATTCTTTTCACCCAATAAATCACCACCGAAACCATTAGTTTTTTCCTCGTTATTAAGCAGTCACATACATAGGAAAATTTCTGCGAAAAAGTCTTTTTCTTCTGCGATTGGAAACCTGCCCAGGCACAGACCATGGAGGTACGGAACCAACAAAAATGTAATTAAGTTTTTGGGTGGGGGTGGGATTCTAGACGTTTATCTAGAGAGCCTTTTGAACCTATTTCACAGTTTTCTCAAAATTCGGGAGGTATCCAGTCGCTTGAAGGCGAGAAGAAGAAGTAATCGTCAATTGTAACAACCGAGAACTCGTGAGGGGGGAGGCCACTTCCAGTAGCAGACTCTTTCTTTTGCAAAGTAGCACCTGAAAAAACAATGTGGAGGGAGGTGACACGGTTCGTGTTGTGTAACAAAAACCACCAATATTTAAAGGGAAATGATTCTCGAAACACAAAGACAACGTCTGCTTACAAGAATAGCATCTCTGACGAATTTGTTTAACCACCTCAAGAAAAGGCAATAAGGTGTTAAGGCAGAGTCTGAGGCTATTCTTTGTTTATCTTAAGTTAATTAAAATTAATGCACAGAAGGTTTACGCGAGGCTATCTTAGAGGAAGAAAGGAATTCCCTCTAACGTGACGTCAGCGGGTCTATTGAATTCCTTAGTGGGCCATTCACGGCCCCTGCTGACAAAATTTGCGAAAATCAATGAATCATCCGTTATGCCTGAGCAACGTGCATATGGCAATAGACGACACGGAAATGCTGTTTTTAAAGTGTGGCGCTTCCCTGCCTGGAGCTAATTCTCTGCTCACCTTCTCGGCAGACCACACCCGCATCTTGGGTGTGGTTGCATCGCGTACCCTCCCAACAGAGCGAAGGGCAGTCGGTGATCCTGCTCTCGGACCCATCACACGCCAGACCGTCCATGTGCACGGGACCCACTCCCTGACCAAAGTGGGCACCAGACTTGGCCTCCTCGGCGCCTGAGAACCCTAGCTGGCGGCAGACAATGTCCGCATCCGTCACGTCCCAGTACGTGTCGCATAGAGTGCCCCAGGTGTTGTTCTGGTAAATCTCAACACGGCCGTTGGTTGGGCTCGAACCACCAACCAGACGAATGACATCTCCTATACAAATCAAGAATTAAAGGAAACTAAATTAACTGGCCGCTAATAGGCGGCGAATCAAGGGGAAACGGGCAACATTAAAAACACGAAAAGGAATGGCTGTAGGAAAAGGGAACGAGAAACTCCATAATATTGGAAACCCAGCCAATGGAACAATTTTCCTAGACATTTCTTCCGCGATTGGGGGACGTTCTTATCCGCTGCTAATAAAGTGAACGGAAATTGGTAAAAGGGCGCCGCTCACTGGTTCAGGACGGAGGTGTCGCCCGTGTGCAGAAAGTAACCTACGATTCAGAGTTGTGCTAGGGTGCTTTTATCCGTCTACACATTCTTACAACGTATATTTTGTTCTATCTTCAGATTGGCCCAAAAGTAAAGTAACTTCCATTTCAGACGGGAGCACTAAAGTGATGCATCACACTTAAGAACAAGCAGCTAAAAAAAAGAACAAACGGGGAAGACATCATGTGGATTCGAATCCGACTTGGCATTTGTTGAAAGTTGATATCTCTTCCGACCTGGCATTGACGAAACTCGGCCACTCTTGATCAATACTTTTATATTTCCCAATAGGTCACTTGGGAGACATTTTGTGGTAAATTTTTCAAAATTAGGGAGACATCGGTCATTAGCCAACTACCAAAAGGAAGGAACTTTTTAATGGTCCACATTTTGAGAGATGATAGATTAGGGTCTGAAAGGAAAACTTGCAAAGTTTGGTTAAGATCAGATTAGGGAATATTGAATTATGGGACGGTAAAGTTTGAAATAATTTGTGCACGTTCCTATGGGAGTGTCTCCCAAGTGACCCATTTTCGGTAATAACTGTGATTATCTAATCTCCATGATAGATCACACTCCTTTCGTCTATTTCTTTGAATATGCCAAATATTATCAATGCTGCAACTAGGATTTGTCGTGGGGGGGGGGCTTGGAGTGAAGTTTACCCCCCCCGGCTCATGATGCCTAAGCCCACCCCACCCCCCTTCCCGTCTCACTGCCACTGTTCAAATGATTCTTACGGGGTGGTTTGCACGACACGCCTGCCGCGCGTGAGCTGTTACATTGCAGGCTTTCGCTGCCGCAGACAAGCGGGCAGTCCACCAGGCGCGTCTCGGTTCCTCTGCAGGTTACCCGGCTCATGAGGAATGGAGCCTCTTCGCCCTCCCCCAAGGGTAGACTGGTGGCCTCCCCCATCTCGTTCAAGCCAAACTGCTGGCAAACGACGTCAGCATCTTGGTCATCCCAGCCATTATCGCATATCACACCCCAGATACCGCCCTTCAGAACTTCCACTCGACCGGAGTGTCCATCACCCCCCACTAGGCGAAGCATACCATCTATGTCTGATATTACAAGGGGGAAAAATTAGGGGTTTTGATTTGGAAAAGTTTTTAGTCATTAGACAAAGTCCAGTAATGTAGGTCGAACTACGGTTTGCTATTGCGCAAAAATAATATTTGATCGCACTCAATTTTATTTTAAAACTCTGTAACCAGCCTTTCTCCTAAATTTTCCTTGATAAAGTTGGAAGTGCAAACGATTCACCATGGTTAACAAATTTCGGTTTACATGTTTCTTCTGCAGTTTAGACTTTGAAAAATACGGGGATGTCCAATCTTACAAAAAAAGTTCTTGCGGGCTTCTGTTTACTGTTTAAGAGCACCTGAAAAAAAACAATCAGTATTTTTTGTACATTGACTTAAAAAAAAAATAGAACTGCAGAACAGAAAGCATGAAATACAACTTCAGGAAGAGATTGCCTATTCCATAAAAATTGAAGGACTTCCAATCACACATGGAGCCAGATTGATATATGTGTTTCACCTCGCCTTTTACCTCTACGGACCGGTTCCGGCTACAATGCCTCTGACACTTCTGAGTAATCCTTGGTTTTATTACCAGAAATGTTTACAATAATCAATAATAACACTGTTAACTTATTAATTATTAATCGTCAAGGAAATGAGTCTGTCTACATCGATGAGGAAAGGTCTGAGTCATTACCTCGACACCCCGTGAACTCCATATTCAATCGAATATGGCCAACCCAAGCAGTTGGAGACAAGCGGATGAATCTTGTAAACAGCGCATCGGGAAATGAGATGACGGTCATTCCGTTCCAAAATTCGCTGCTTACTTCAAACTATTAAAACAGAACAAGAATCGGTTAGAAATAAACCAACCCCGTAACTTTTTACTTTCTAAAATTTTATTTTGAGAAAAAACATCGAAGGACGTTTAAAATACCCCCAAATGTAACCTAATCCTTCAGAAGAAAGGAAGGAACACTTTTGCGTTAACTGATTGCACAAAACACAATAATCAAGCAGCGACTCAGAAAAAAATCTTAATATCTTCTCTCTGATTGATTTTTAAAAAAAATCCTGTTTTTATATCGACGAGGGCATGGCCCTCGTCCCCAAACCCCGGATACCGTTCTTGGACCGGGAGATAAATGATATTATTGCCGTGCATAAAAACTTGAGCGATTGGTTAATTTAAAGATTTCCCCGGGCCCAGTGCGAGTTCACTGGCCAATCAGCGGCCTCGTCAGCTATGGCGTCATGGCATGTCCTCGATTCCTTCCAAGGAGGCGCTATCGACTATCCTTACAGTGGACATTCTGCAACTAATTACCTTGAGGGCAGGGCTGGACTTGAAAATATCGCGCGCGATCATTTTCCACTTTTTGCTTTCCTTTACCGCTAGCCGAGAGTGCAACTGGGTTCTTTACGACCGACGCCACATCAGGTCGGCCCCGCTTTACCTGAATAGTTTGGCCGACCTCATCAGTCAGGTTCTGCCATTCATTTGCTGCTCCACTCGTGCTGTGCTGAACGGTGAAGGTTTTGATGTAGTTTACCTCACCAAAGTCACTGTATATAATGACGCCTGTGATAGCAGCGAAGACACCCAGATCTACCTGGATCCACTGGTTCTCATTGACTCTCGGCGACCAAGAAGAACCTGCAAGAGATTGCAAAGGGCAAGTTTAGCCCCAAATCATCAGTATTATTCCAAATTCTCTTCAAAGGGTGAAATCAACCAGGCTTAAATGATGCCAACAATTCGGTGAACCCATTTTAACTAAATCTCTGTTGAAGCAAGATGATATCTACTGGACAGAATTTTTCTAAACTTAAATTTCAGTTTTCCACGAGATTGGGTCAAATTTAATTCCAATTATTTACACAACTGTAGGGCACACGCATGTTGGCGATAGTTTTCCACTTTCATTAGTATTGACAAAAGGAGGAGTTTCAAGTGTTTCAAACCAATCCTTAGTCACAATCAAATTTAGCATTAGACAGAACAATAATTATTTTTAGCATTTATGACAGTTTATATTCTTTCAGACAATATACTAGATCAATCAGTTCATGTAATTTATCTCTACAAAGTCTCTGATTTAATGAGTGACTAAGTTAAAACTTGATTTCTTTTCAAAGTTTCATGCTTTACAGCGAAAACCTACTTCAGTTTTAGACTTGAGTTACATTTCGCCTAGTATGTTGTAGCTTGCCAACATGCGCGCTCGTGAACTGGCTCCTTGGACTTACCAGAGAAAATGCGAACACTGGAGGCGGAGTAAGAGGCGTTCCACGAAGACGAGGCTGTGATATCACTGTCTGGTATAGCGCCACTCATCAAGCCTAACAGCTCACCAGAAAAGCCAAAGTCGCTAGAACACGGCAGTTCTGGACAACGGTTACAAACCATCAATGAATCAGCAATTATTCCAGATTTCAAGACAAATTCAAATTAGCGAACCACTTTCAAATAAAAGTGGGCTATTTACGAATAACGCAACATACATTATACCTGACGATGTTAATTATCATTAGACCTGAGGGAAATCGTTAACTATAACAATTTGCAATAATGTATTTGAATTTTGCTGCGTGGTTCATCAATAGTGCAAGGTACTGTGGCTAATAAGCCTGTAAATCATCTTTTATTACAACAAAACCATTTGCAAGTATTGCATTTTTTTAATTTGAACTTATTGAAACCTTCAGTTTCGAGGTTAAAACACGTCCATGCATGTATTCAGACACGCATCACATATAGGACTTTCCTTTTTACCTGAGAGAAGGGGCCTTTGGACGGTTCGCGCTTCGAGGGGCTGAGCCGAACTTGAAATCACCTCTTTATTAAGGGACGAAAAGAGAGAAACGAAAGTTATGTTCCACAGTCCGCCCAGTATGGTTTATGACTGGAAAGATTTCCCATAGGATGGGACTGATGGGAAATTTCGAATTCACGAGGTTAATACAAGAAGATTAGCAAAAAGTCAACTTTTTTGAACACACATTTGCATACATCACCTTACAGCATAGCTGTTTGTCTACTTTTCTACGAGTGGTCGCGGTTGACCTTTCATGCTTTTAAACAGGTTTCTTCATTCTCTCTCGTTCATACAGGTACATACGGTTGCCACGAGGAAAATCGTTTAAGTAGAATTATAGATCGTATTAAGAATGCCATAATGATTTTGAATTTTAAGTCAAAAACGGTAAAAGATGGGGAAACGATTCAATTCTGGGGTGACATCACTCGGAAAAATAATATTGGCATCACTGATGTTTCAGTGGTAGATATAAAACACACATTACATTTTACTCCACCAAAATGACGAATTTGAGTGTGTGATAATAAAGCTTCTAAGGAGACCTGAAAGAAAGCTAAAAAAAAGACACCCCCTCCCAAAATAAAATGACCTATCGGTTGCATGCAAGGTCTACTTACCCAAAAGGGCAATGATAAACACCTTGAGAGACACCAGAGATGCCATCGTTGCAACGTATTCTCAGCTTGCTTACCCAAGTGATACTGGGCTATGTAGTATCTATCTGGTATGCCAAGTCGCGCTGGTCCACCTAGCTTTATAGGCTTATTTTATGGCAAGAGGTGATGATCACGCCGTTATTTTTGAGATGACCAATGTAAGGTCTCCTTTAGTGAGGCCAATAGCCGAAGCCCAGGGGCCAATATTATAAAGCATCATAGCTGCTAACCACACACTACTTGCTTAGCGAAAAGGTTACCAGCCAAATCTGTATAGAAATAACTGTTTCTCGTCTGATTCCTGCTTAACACATAAATTTACTTATTACAGGTGTCTCTTGGTGCCTGGTTCTTTAGAGTGGCGTCATGGCACCTGAAACCACGCCCACGATAAACTGTGCAGCACTGGAATCAGTTCCTTTGGAAGTGGTGGGAAGTTCCAGTTGCATTAAATTTGGGCTGAGCGGTAAGGAAGTTTATGACGAAAGCGCTCTGTTGTGCAATTTGGAAAAAAAATTGTGGGCCGTTCCACTATAGCACAGGGATTCCTAACCCCTACGTTGTTACAGCAACATTATGATTACACAACAATTTATTACATTTGAGCACATATTGACAGATAAACTTTTATAATCCGAGCTAACTTATGAAAACTACAAGAAACCATTGAGTAAGAACTTATCGAGTACTAACATCGAATGAAAATCAAATTCAAGAAAATGCTCATTATTCTTTAAAGGGGCATGGAATAAAGTTTCAATTAAAACTTATTCATGACACTCTCCGATTCAATTTTCACTTGAACTACAATTTTGCAACCATGAACCTTAATAGAATTCAATATTTCCGGTGTCAGACGGTTAGTGATTAAAAAAATAAATGAGAGTGAATCAGCAACTTTGCTGATTTCATAATTATTTTACAGTAAAACTCAGCTGCACTTCCAGCGACTTTTAATTTCATTGATAAGATACACGTATGTAGGAATTCAGCTTATGGGCTGTGAAACGGTAGCTCTGAGTCACGGTGCCAGTAGGAAATAAATTGATTAATTCAAAACGAGCCAATATGACAAGACCAAGACCAAATCTAGGTTTGTACAAAAAGGAAACCGAATGGAATTTGTATGTCAGAGGATAAACAAATTTCGAAAATCATGTACAAGCAAGAAAAAGGGAGCAAAATCAACGAGTCTGGACCCTCTTTTTTTTCAAAATGGGCTGACCCATAAGGCTCCTGGAGCGGCAGTGAAATCGCGCAGGTTGCATTTCGCTCGCATCATTTCCCCTGTAATATACACCAACTTCTTCCTGCTGCATGTGTATGTTAGTCAAGGTGCTTCTGATCATAGCTCCGTCGTCTCGTATCATTACGTCCATGCGCTTCGCTTGCATTTCCTTGTAATTCAAATCAACACCTTCCTGCTTTACGAGTAAACTTTATCCCATAAAACTATCAAGTGTTTTGGTCATACTTCTCAATGTGTGAAGCAACTTTCTCCAGCTTAATATAGAATCTTATGATCATTTGAAACCATTTTTAGTACCTGGCGAAGCTGTAACTTCTGCAAATAAGTATTAAGGTATTGTGCCAAGAGGAGAAAATTGCCTCTTTTTTCCTTTTTCCTAAATTAGGAGTCTTTCACTTATTTTTAAAACGTTTTAGGCCAAACAAACCGTTGCGGACATTGGAACAGCAGCGTTGCACTTTTCGTGACTTTTCCGCAAGAGAATTAAAGAGAATTACATGTTTTCGAGAAACTAAGAGGCAAGGAGTTAGGACTGACTTATAACTTACATTGAGTATGCAGCATTACAAATATACATCGGTAAACGAGTTAAAACACCCAGTATAAAGAATAACATCTTCTGATGCTAAAATTGCAAAATTTAAAAGAAGGAAAGACATTAATTAAAAACTGACCAAAATAAGATTAAATTGATTTTTTTTAGAAGTCGAAGCTAGTTTGTTTGCGGTGGTTTCATGAAATTCTCTATTAATCACTCTTCACCTCAGACTTTGACAGAAGACAAAGGTTAATTGTTAATCAGTAAATAATACTCCTGTGGTGCGGATATCAACATATCCCTAGTTTCAATCTAGTTTTTGAAATTAAACTTCTTGCTTGCCTTAGTCCTGCTGAATATTAACTCTACCTGTCGTGTAGGATCATGGTGCTGGGAAATTATTGTTCAAAACAACCACAACGGAAGCTCAAATTAACCTTTCTTGAAAATCGAATGATATAAGTTGATTTTAAATTAATCTTTGCTTTAACTTTCACAGTAACTGTGAAGTTTTCCTTTAGTATGCATCAAAGGGGCGACCCAAACATGAACTGGGCGAAATTGAGCAATACAAAGGTATGTGATGGCCTAGACCGGACGCACTTTTGTTCAGCGGATGTTCCGATGTTGTTGTCCCACATTTTGTGTACGTTAAGGGAAGAAAGTGAGAGCTCCTAACCTGGATTTTTTTGACCCGATAGGAGTCCAGTATAATTGGTTCATTTTATTACCACTTGCGCAAATTTGACAGAGTGACATTACAGCGGTTTGTGTAATTCCAGCTCGTGCAATAAGCATTTAACAATGCAAGGGATTTCAATATTAACTAGAATAATGAGCTTCGAGGTCGGTCTTCAAGCATTTTTGTAACTTCAGTCTTAGGTAAAATGGGTTGAGAGGTTAGACTAGTGTCATGGTCAAGCCAGAATGAAACCTCGATCCCGCGGTCCACCTGAGAATTTGTTACTCTGAAGTGTGTTCTTTTGAATTTTTATCAGGCATTTTGTCCCAAATAGCTGTAGCATGCACAGTTCATTGTTAGGTTGGGGTTCAAGGAGCATTAAGGCTAGGCTCGAGCAGGTTCACGGCAAGGGGAACGGGTTAGCGTAGTGGTTCTTTCCTCGCCTTGCACCGATGAGGCCCGGGTTCGAGTCCCGGCATGGCCCAAGCTTTAAGTGCATTTGGTTTCCAGTCCATACTCGCTCTCGCCGGTTTTCTCCGGGTACTCCGGTTTCCTCCTGCCTCTAAAACTGGACCTTCTTCCTAACTCCGTAATGTGATGCTGTTTAAATTGCTTCTCGAAGGGTTTTCTGATTTTCAGTAAAGCAAGATGATTTTTCTTCCTTTAACCACTGAGCCCTCGGCTGTAGCTGGCTGTTCTATTCCGCTGCCTGCATTGTCTACATTACTACCATACTCGCCTTAGTGTAGTGCGCTGTGGTGTGAAGTTGTGCCGGAAATTGGGGAGATAGGGATGAGGATTTTGGGGGTGACTTGCCTGGCCATGGAAATTTGGGGGAAGGGGGTGCTGACATATGACACATGACACAAGGGGGCGATGTTTTATGATACCGCTGTTTTAGGGGCTTAGAGACGGAATTTAGAGACGAAGAGAACTAAACATCTAACACAAGGGACGTAAAGAAAGCTTCCAAAATAATTTAATTCGTTCAGATCTGTTGCAAAAATAAGCAACACAGTTTTGGCACTCATACAACAAGACTAGGTCTTATCCCAAGGAATAAAGTGCTTCAAAGTTGCTTAATCGTTTAATGTCATATAGGTGTTTTTTGTTTGTTGTGTTGTTTTGTTTTGGTTTAATGGCGCTTTTAGCTACTCAGGCTATATGCGCCAATAACTACCTGTTTGTTCATAACCTTTATTAATCAGCATCACATTACGGAGTTAGGAATAAGGTCCAGTTTTAGAGGCAGGAGGAAACCGGAGTACCCGGAGAAAACCTGCGAGAGCGAGTACGGACTGGAAACCAAATGCACTTAAAGCCTGGGCCAAGACGGGACTCGAACCCAGGCGTCATTGGTAGAAAGCAACGAAAAAACAACGTTAACCCGCTGCCCACTCCTATTATATAGTTTCTTTTGTCATTTGTATAAGGTGTCACTTCCTCATACCCAACACGATGCTCAGGATTTTTTTTAGAAAACATGTTTGTTTTATTGCTCTGTGGTCAAAAGTCCCAAAGAGTGCAGCTGTGTATTTATTCACACGCGGACACTGGGACACAAGAACGGACACTGTATGATGGCGCTGTTCTAAACCAATTATTTTTTTGTAGTGATACGACCGTGATGCATGCATTTCCTTGTCGCCAGTGAACCAACAAGATTCAGTTCCAGCCAGAGGAGCATCCTTTGCTAAGAAAATACCGCCCTCTCTTTGTCCAGCTCGAGGCCTACAGTGAAAGGGTCAGCTGGTTCAAGTCCTCCCAAAGTGGATTGTACTGTGAGGACATCACAATCGATGAACAGTATAGCCGTCAAAAATTTCAAACTCAGCCTTCCAAAAAAAATCGATCGAAAATTTCAGCATTGTATTTCTGTTTGCCACCTTCTTTTGATTCAGATTTGCTACCGTACCATTTCTGTTTTTTTTTTAAGCTTTATAGACTGGACCCAGCGGTGTAGGGTCTTTTATAAATAAATGTTGTGCTTTGAATGGCGCAGTGAAAAAGATGCTAGACCTCCGTTGTTACCCCTTGTATTTTACGCTTTGTTGTGACCGTTTGTGAATTCCAGTGCGATTCATTAGTTCGTTCCTTGCCAAAAAAAGATTTTGCCATTTTGAATATTTTCGATTTGGAACGAGAAATTAGACATCGACAGCGATGAAGTAGACTTTAGCTAAAACCCCTCATTAATTTCTTAGCGTGCTCCACCTCAGATTAGTGTCGCCCCACTCCTCGTTCTGAGGGAGTTCACCTCGGTGATAAAATAGAAACATGGGATACGTATGCGTGAGGGGGACCTCCACGCATGTGTTGTGTAAAAGTGGGCATTTTGTGCCTGCCTATTGACATTCAATTTCACCAGGCATCATGGTGTAATTTCTTTCAATCCTCGTTGAAAAATAACTGACCAGCATTTCCGCCAAAATATGCCAGGACACGTGCTTCAGGCTGAGATTAGGTTTTCTCAAGTTGTTCGTGTCATCCTTGTGGTTTTGTACTTTTCCGTAACTGTTTAAAAAATACAACACTGAAGAAATATGCTAGTGTTTCTAGCGCTCAAATGTTTCTTAATTAATTACTGTGTACACTAATGCATCCTTAAGGCACCATAAGACTCATACTGCAAGCAGCCCTGAATTTGTATGTTATGCACTTTTCTGCAGTATAGACATTTTAAAATCTTTTGATCGTGATCATGGTAGCATTTACTGGGAGAAAAATCGTTGAAATCTTGTTACATTCTGTTAGCTGAACAGTTTTTCACAGTGAAGGAAACGATATGTGACTGCGTTGAAATAAAACAGAAGGTCACAATTAATCCACCTTTACATCGACGTACAACGGGGTGGCTAGCTCGAATCAAGTACATCAGCGGCAGAGCTGTTCGCCTGCTGCCTTCTTGCAGCGCCCTCTGGCTGCTTCTGGGAGCTGCTGGTGCATAATTCGAACTTTAGCCTCCCGTTCCTGACAAACTCGGTGGTTGAATGGTTAAGACGTCGGTATTAAAAGAACTCGTGGGCTTCGAATCCCGTCCGAGTTAGCTTGTAATTTTGAAAATGCGATGTGAATATGTGCATCAGTGCACATACAAAACCTATATAAATGATACCATTTCCCCGATGCAAAGTCAAATCAATATTATTAAGGCCGGCGTTACTAACATAAGACGAGGCATATTTATTATCATTTCGGTTTAAACATGTTGCCCTGTTTATTGAGCGATATATATTATGGCCATCGATAACTTTCAAATTACTAGTTACTTCTAATAAGTCTAAGCTGATTATGCTTAATGCTGGAAGCTGCGATGACTTCTACAGGGTGCTCTTCATCCGGTGTAACCATTTACTAGGGATGGCTTATTTCACGTCTAGAATCATATTCAACATCCCCTGAAACAGGAAGTTAAATCATCAGTAAGATTTGGACAGGCAGATGGTTCAGAGGACGTAAAAAAGTCAAGCTGCTTTGAAAGGATGTAAAATCTGGCCCTCAACAAGTCGGGGTTTCACAGCCTCAACAGGGAACTGTTTTCTATCATAGGACCCACAGTTGATCCGAAACAGCGGCGCTACTTGCAAACATCTATTTTTTTTGTTACACGTAATGTATGGCAGATGCATAATGTATTGCGATTCCATGAATAGAGAGAATTTCTACCCACCCTGTCGGCAGACCACGCCCGCATCGTGGGTGTGGTTACATCTGATATCCTCCCAGCAGAAGGAGGGACAGTCGGTAATCTTGCTCTCTGACCCATCACACGCCAGACCGTTCATGAACACGGGACCCTCTCCCTGACCAAAGTGGGCACCAGACTTGGCCTCCTCTGCGCCAGAGAAACCCAGTTGGCGACAGACAACGTTCGCATCCGTCACGTCCCAGTCCGTGTCGCACAGAGTGCCCCATTTGTAAGCCTGGTAGATTTCGACCCGGCCACTGGTGTGGTTCGAACCACCGACCAGCCGAATAACATCTGTAAATTAGGGGGAGGGTAAAAAAGTACATCAGTATGAGCTCAATCACAGACATCAAAGACAACAGAATACATTGCAAACGAAACTGTCTTATCTAAAGATACGTTAAAGAAACGTTTTCGGAAAGAAACCTATAAAATGAGTTACAGGGAAGGGAAATCGCTTCAAGGATGAAGGAACAAAATAAAGAAGCTGTCCATGGGGAGACAAGCATTCTTACTTGGTTTGCATGTTACCCCGGCTGCGCGTGAACTGTTACACTGCTGGGTTCCTGTGCAGAGGAACGGGCAGTCAGCCAGGCGTTTTTCGGTTCCTTTGCAGGAAACGCGGTTCATCACGATGGGGACTTCCTCGCTTTCCTCGAAGGATACCGCAGTGGCTTCCTCTGTCTCCAAGAAGCCCAGCATGTGACAGACGATGCTTGCCTCTTTCATGTCCCAACCGTTGTCGCATATTGCACCCCAGGTATCGTCGTGGTAGATTTCTACTCGACCGGAGAGTAACCTATCACCGTCCACTAAGCGAACCATGCCATCAAGACCTCAGAAGAAAGCAAGAAGAGGAATAACAAAAGCGTAAACAACAACAATCAACAGCAACAACAAGAACATCAACAAACAACAAACAATGACAAACAGCAGCATCAACATTTGCGTCCACAAAGCGTGTTTCTCTGTCATACTGAAAAATTTAAACCCAGCGATTTGGAAGTTGAAAATGTTTTACATTGGTGAGGTGAAGTTTGATTTATGTGTATAGCGTTCTTTGAGATTGGGAAAAACAGTACTCAAATAGTCCCTCATGCAGTGTATGCTGTAGCCACAAGTGGCGGTCCTTTCCTTCGGTATTTTAACTAAGAAAGTTCGGACGAAAATTACTGTAGAATAAAAACTATTTTGCTTCAGTACGATATCTCAACAATATCAACGATGAATCAACTGAGGAGATGCAGTATCTGTAGCAGTGGTATGATATCAGACTGTCTTATTGGTATTCAGTATTGTGAGAATTATGTCATTGTTTTTACACTGCACAAATGTTTATTGCAAGACTACATTATATGCTTGCTTTTTAGGTTAGCTGAAAACGCGGCATAATTACCTTTTCTATTTTTGTGACGTCATTTTTTTTCGAAGCTTTTACCACAAGACAAATGACTGCTGAATCAATGCATGAAATTCACACAGGACCTTACAACTGTGATTGTCATTTTCTTTTTAAGAATCGTAAATTTGTTACCATCCAGCAGTGTTGTAGTCGAGTCACCAAGATCGAGTCCGAGTCCAGAATCTCAAGCATCGAGTTCGAGTCATTATCCAATGTGACTCGAGTCGAGCCTTGGAAAATGTGACTCGAGTCAGACTCGAGTCCGAGTCATTATCCAATGTGACCTGAGTCGAGTCCGAGCCTTGGAAAATGTGACTCGAGTCAGACTCGAGTCTAAGTCCTGGACACGAGTCATACAACACTGCCATCCAGGACAATACGTGTCTTTGCGACGACGAGAAAAAAATCTGTAATACCTCGACACCCCAGCAACTCCAAATTCAAAAAGATATTCCCACTCCAAGAAGTTGGTAATAAGCGGAGAATTCTTGCTACCACTATCACAGGGAATGTGACGGTCACTTGTTGTCTTGATCCATTATTTCCTGCAAACTGAAACAAATAACGAATACATATAAGACTAATGCCTCAAAGGCGTTTTCCGAATTCAAAATTCTAAAACGACATCGGCATCGGCGAGAATTCGGTAACAAGTTTCAAACTTGTAATTTCTTTTACACTCCGGTCAAATATATTTCTTGTTGTGTCGTTAAATGTTATTTTATACTGTTTTAATCTAAACCAACTTACCGACACAGGGATAAAGGAACTTTCCTTCCGTCCGCTGACCAACCATGCATGGCACTGACCAACAAATTTCATACGTATATTCATGACACATACTTATTACTTGTCCAAGAGCTTTGGGTAGGACTCAAACTTACGACCTCCTGCTTGCTAATAATCATTCGACCACCGAGGTTACCGGGTCGGCTGGTCGGTCTGAGACAGATACAGCTAGCGGGTACCGCAAACCATCAAGATGTACTTGCGTCGGGTAGAAAATAAACATTTCCCGACAAAAGTACACCTCGACACTTCATACGACCGCATTGTTGGCCAAGACCAACTAATCAATCATTTCAACTGCGCCCCACTCACCTGAATGGCATTGCCTTCTACATCAGCCAGTTTCGCCCAGTCATCCGATCTTCCACTTTCGCTGTACAGAACAGTGAAGGTTCTGATATAGTTCCCCCCACTACTGACTCCGTTCATGACCACGCCAGTGACCGCAGTATGAATGCTCAGGTCCACCTGGATCCACTGATTTTCATTGGGTTTCGGGACCCAATAAGATCCTATGAGAACGTGTTATTCAACATCAGGAGTTTCGTACAGACCTTTTGGATTACATTGCACGCTAAATAACGCCTGGTAAATATCAACCTCTTCAGGTGTTCCTAGCCGTTTTTGTGTTTTTGAATTAATTTATGCTCCGTTTCCTCAAACTATGTGTTTTATTTTCAAAAACTGCAGAAATGGTTAACTATAGAAGCTTGCTCTACAGGTGCTTATCTTTTGTAGGTATCGTTTTACTATTTTGGCGTTTCTCCATTGAGAATTTGAGTCCGCAAGATCCAAATTTCACACTTTGACGAAGAAACCGTTAAAATTAGAGTTATGATAATTCATTTAATATACATCGCCACCGTCATTCAGTGAGCAAGTAATCTTGATTTTTTGGGAGTGGTAAAATGCCACGATTATCAATAAATTCAGGGCATCTTACTGCAGCCTTTTTGTTGGCCTTGTGTGATTTTCCCCCGCGCTACTAGTTCTTGTTTGGAGTGCACTATTGAATGACAAGGCCAGAGAGAGAGAGAGAGAGAGAGAGAGAGAGAGAGAGAGAGAGAGAGAGCGAGCGAGAGAGCGAGAGAGCAAGCTACGTTTCGTTATGATTCAAGAGCAATCACAAAATTTGACTTACCAGAATTAGGACGAACCTTAGTTGGGACATACGAAGAGGCGTAGACAGATGAGGCAGTAATAGCACTGTCTGGTATGGCACCACTCTCCATGCCTAATGGTTCAGATGTGCACGGTGACTCTGGATAAGAGTTTCGAATGATTATTGAATTATTTGCATTCCATGTATGCGTTTACCGACAGACTTCTATTGAAAGTTAAATTAAAACGTTTAGGTAGGCTATTTACAATGTGTAAAGTGACATAACCTTGACAACTTATTAATCATTAAAAAAAATACAGCAAGGCTGTTCTGAAGATTTTTCCGAAATATTTCTGATAAAAATGAAACTAAGTATTCCCCATCTAAAGACAACAATCTTTATAGATAGGGTCTTGGAAAGGGTATAGATAGAGCATATTGACAGACCTCTCGGGATGCACACAAGTTTACGACTGAAGGCTTTTTGAATAACATCGTGATACCATCAATTTACCTGAAAGAAGAGGCCTCTGGACAACTTGCTCTTCTTCAAGCGAATGAGCTGAAAGTGCTTCTTGGTTTAAGAAACAAAAATTTAAAAAATGATTTTATTGCGGGATTTAGCGGGATCAAGAAGGGGGCCATTTTCCTACCAACGGAGGCTTCTTTGGTAGGAACCGCATTTCGCTGGTTCGCAAATGAATATAAACTGCGTGAGTTATGGTCGCGTAACTACCAACAAAAATGAACACTCCCGACCAACGTGGCTGTCAACCGATGAAAGGGAGCGTCTGCAAAAGGCTGACTGAAAAATGTTCGAATTTCGAACTGATAATGGAAAAGCAAAGAAAACTATATAGGGCAGGTAGCATATTCGTTTACCAACAACTGACTCCGCAATATTCCAGTTTTGGTTGTCGCTTTACTCTGTTCCATGCTGCCTACTGAAGTGGTTGCGATAAATTCCATTACTTTTTTTTTACCGTGCAGGATTCCAGATTCATTTTGTTCTGTTCGTATGCACGCGTGGTTATCATCAGCACAATTATTTTTGCGGAAAACAGAAATAATGTAACAAATCTCTTCATGTTTTTGGGTTTCAAATCGATAACAGTGCTGTAAAAAAAAGAAGAACAATTATGTTTTGAGATGATGTCATTTAGAATGATACTACGTTGACTTAGAAAGAAAATAAGGGTGTTTTCGATGTTGGAACGAAGGAGGTATTCCATCTATGCAGTTTAGACGACAGGTATGTGTCAATTTTTAAGAGACTAGGACGACAGTAAAATAATTTATTATGCAATCAATGTAGATGTCTAGGTCTACTTACCAACAAGTGCTATGATCACTAATATTTTCTGAAACGCTGAAGATGCCATCGTTGCAGTGTTCTCAGCTGTCAGACGGTCTAGGTACCTGATTGGAGAAATTACCAACTCCCATCTGCCAGATTGCGTCAGTTGATCCAGTTTTCATAACAAGGATTGATTTCATTGGTTTGAAATGGCCAAAGTTGGTCAGATCACGCTCACTATTTCCTGTACAGATATTATAACCATGACGATATCCACGGGTTTTGCAAATCTGTTCCCAGGGAAGCAAGGACTGAATGAATACCATTATTATTTTAAAAAAGTTTTTACATCTTTTTTGTTGAAAAGTAAAGTGAAAATTTGAGACGTATGTTGGCATCAATTATTCAGGGTGTCTCCAGGCATCTGGATTGCAGGAAGGCCTTATCATTTTTACCCAGCAAGTTCCTGTATGCTGAGCAAAAATCAAATTTACGATCAGCTTATTTCAAGGCCTCGGAAATCTCGGGAAAACATGACTTTCAGATAAGATCCTGAACTTCTGCTAAATTGATTGAGCAGATGTGCAGAATTGTACTTTAAAGTGTCGCTGAAACTGAATTTTCAAGAAGCATGCATTTCGTATTTTATAGTTAGCATTAATTTTTTTTCTCACAAGGAAGTTTACTTTTTAAGCTTTTGGGGTCGTTACGCTTATTTACTTTATTTTCAATTGCTATAAATTGAATGAGATCCTCTTTCGCTTTGGTTGTTTAAAGTGTTAGATTAGCGTGCACGTAGTTTTGGAAACTTTCCAGAGAATATAGGAGAACATTTTAAACTTCTCAACAAAATTTGGAATGTGAGGGAACTTTGGACTCAACATTGCTTATTTCACAAAAATGCAAGAAATGTCGTTTGCTTCTAACAGGAAGGTTTGGAGGAAGCAAAACTATCAATTTTAGGTTTTTTTTAGTCTTATCGATAACATTTATCACTGTTCTTGTAGCCTTAAAGACTTTCATATCAAAGGTTTGTTTGAAAACTTACATCTGTGCATGCAAGATATATATTTTGTAGATGATACTCAAATATTGAAAGTTCAGGTCAAACGCTTCTCACCTTTTCGAGAAAGCTGCAGTGTATTCTGATAATGACACACATTGGGTTTTGAAAGATTGAAAAGTGTAAATACCTCAAACTGAACTTTATGAACCAAATTTTAGGTTTAAAATTAAATCCCGGTTTACCTTGACCAAATTCACACCTGCTAACAGCAAGGTCGGGATTTGCAACTTGTACGATTACATGCGTGTGTAGGTATTAGTTCACAAACGAAATAGACGCTCTTGCGGATTTCATTTTAAGCGTAAACAGCGGGTTTTATGCGTTTAAAACCAAGTTTGCGGCCAGTTTCGCCATTTTAAAAATATATCCTTATTTTTAGAATACTGGTAGTAGGAAGATGTTGCATTTTTCCAGTTAATTTCTTACTTTATAAAGCGAAGTCGCACGAGTATAAGCGATTTCACAGATTCAGTGACACCACTATCTTGAGAATGCTTTGTAGACGCGTCGCAGTGGCACTAATTATTGCCAAGGTTCGCAAGTATCGATTGATGTCAGTACCACTGAACACCTACATTCCGTTCATTTAACATAGAAACTTGAAGCCAGTTTGTTTCATGCGGATCAGTGATTTGTCATGAGTTTACTGACTGCACCAAAACCCGCCCAACTAGATGGAGCGAACCAGCGATGGGATCACTGATGGAGATGCAGTAATCCGTCATTGGTTCACTGACATCTAACGTGCCTGAACCAGCGATGGGATTACTGATGGAGATCCAGATCAGTGTGCAACAAACTGGCCCTCGGGTTTACAATAAGGAAGTCTTGTGCAGTTTTAAAATCCCTATTATAGACTGCACAGTGGGATGCCTTGGGTGTTTTCATCTGTGGCTTTTTGACCCTTGACCCTAAAAGAGCTGGGGGCAATTCCACCGCCCCCTCGACATTTTTTCTCATGTCACTGCAGTGCATTTTTGGTGAAGTTAAGCCTTCGGGAGTTATTTGAGTCTAACTCTTTGCGGTCATTTAGACATCACGAAGATGATGACAGTAAAGTTAGTTTAATATTGGACGTTGGACATTCCCATTGGTTTGTACAGCAAATGTTCATGTTTTAGAGATTAGAAATTTACATACGTGAATGTTGTACCGTGAATACGGGCATTTAACAATAGTGCGCCTCCAAAGAGTTTGAAACACGTTAGCCAATCACAATGCGCGGAATCTGTCGACCCAATGCGCGTTTGGAAATGGTCGACAAATTTCACGCGTAGGGATTGGCCAACGTGTTCAAACTCGCGGAGGCACACAATTGTGAATCGCACGTATTGCCAACCAGACATTAGCTGTACAAACCTATGGGAATGTCCAATGTCCAATATCATCAAACTAACTTTACTGCCATCCAAAAATGTATACCTTTTGCACTGTAGTGCTCAGTGCACGTAACGCGGGCCGGCACGCATATGTAGCCTTGAACGTCAAATGACCGTAAACTGTACAGTCCTATCTGATTGGGTTCGAACTTCAAATTTATAAGGGATGTCTTTCCATGCATGCCAATTTTCAAAATGTCGGCGGAATCTGCCTCCCTCGGCTGTAAGATAGGCCAAAATAACCTGGCTCTTTGCAATTAAGCTGTTATTCATTTATTTAAGCATATTTTGAGACAATTCAAGGCAAGCGAGAAAAAGGCAGATATTACTCAAAAACTACTTCCTTCATAACAAATGGTTGTCCACTACAAATAATATACGTTAATACGTTAACTACCGTTTGTTTTTCACGATAAATTTTGCTTTGCACATACACACGTTTTAATATTCAAATTCACTAATAATATTGACTCAATCCAACACAACACCCGTGATAGGGTTGATAAGACTCAATTGTTGGTAGCTACAATTTTCACCCTCACTAGGGTTCAATTTTAACCTCGGAGAAACTTAACCCTTTTCATTACAGTAATTGCTTAGTTCGATCAAACACGTAAAACGCCATAAATTATATCGTTGGAACTCAGATTCAAGTTCACTTTTACTGCAAAGTACCACACTAATTCTTGATTCAATACTAGGCTTAATTGGCTGAAGTGAACAAAGAGCGGCAATCGTGTCACTATAGATTACAATCTTTTCTAGGACCCTGGGCGTTGGACATCTTTGGTCGACATCCTCCGCAGCTATACCCCACTCAACATCCTCAATGCCACACGTGCCACAATGAAGACGAAAGAACCACATAAAGTTAAATGCACTTTAATAAGAGTTTGATGACACACGATTGTTCGGCGTTTCTCTAGGCCCGTAAAAATCACAGGAAAACTCAACAATGACGACAGCTAGCTTTTAATGATGTTTTTACGGTACAAGAAGGAAGTCCACTGCAACAAACACAATGACATTTGGATATCTCCATTTCAATAACTCGAGTGGAACTCTGGGTAGGCGATATTCAGAAAAATACGTCAGTGAAGTGTATATGAAAGTAGTGCTACCTTTATCTGCATGCAATGAAGTACGTCTGATTCTTGAAAGAAAATGCCACTCGACTTACTGGACATAAAATTATAACTACTTTCTTGTATATTATGCAATCTGTACTTGTTTACATGCATTAAACAGGAAATGCAGTCAATTTCAGTGGTGTTTTTAATTATTGTTTGTACTTCAGTCTTAATTATTTGAATATAAAAACTTCAATACTCAATATGACAGCCCTATTATTAAATCTTGCATAGAAGCAACTTAAAAGCTCATTAAACATTACTTTGAGAAAATTCTCTTTACAAATATCAAAAATTACACAGATCATTCATCATCATGCATCATTCGACACCAAATCAACTACCTATGTATTGTTGCAATTGTCTAGTGGAAACATGACCAGATAACTTTTTGAAAGGTTTAACCACTTAACAAAGCAGGTCGATTTTATTTTTCAATAATGAACCCTTGGCTAAAACTAGTCGTTTTCCTTCTCAGCTGGCCCCATTTGAATCGGGCACGATTTTCAATACGGCCACTGCTTGCCACAATGCGTCTGGTGTGAAACAATAAGTATGTTTAAGCCATGGCCGTGAACGTGTCTGTCAAGACCTAGTAGTTCGCTGTTAAGCTGGTGCACTGCCATGTAGAAGGAAGTCACGGTAGGATCAATGCAATGGAACATGACAGCTGTGCACATTGCCTGAATTAGAGAGTACAGTGCTCTCGTCTTCACGCTTGAACAGTGTTTTACTGGCACACCGGTATGAATCAATCATATACCATGAAAAGCTTCAAATGTCGAAATGGCTCCCAGTGTGCCACAAAAACTCATTCGAAAGCTATGCTCCTCTATGTCCCATGCTGAAAATAAAAGAGCTGATGAAAATATGGACTTCCAGTTACACCATTGCTAGGTCACCCCATTAGTTATGATTATTGTGCTCCATTCAAAAAAATGTTTTCACCGCTTGCAGAAGATCAAAAGTTATCTGAAGACACTTTTGTTCATGTAATCCCGACCACCACCACGGCCAGTCACATTGTTTTCGTCGTCGCTGTACGGGCCGTCTGCACCAAAGGCCGTTTCCATCTGCATGGGCACCAGGTAGCTCTCGCGCCTGGGATCGGGCCTTCCGCGTCGTTCAGCCCGTCCCTTCCTCACGCTGCCCACTTTAGACTCCGGAAGGTTGTCAAGATTTCCCGCCAACAGGCCTTCCACCTCGCTGACAATTTGAGTGAAGGTGCAGCGTGATTTGGGGTTGTCTAGCCAGCAGCGTTGCATTATCCCATAGCTGGTTCAATCAAGGAGAAAGTCTAATATTTATCACCAGGTAAGCCTCTCAGAGCTAATTTTGTTAACACCTCAATTCTTAAACATAGTTTTGACCACCTCAGTGAATTTCCCCACTATACACTACACTCTTTATGTCAATAATACATAGGGGGCCTATTTTATTTCCACGTTGACGGAGAATAATGGAATTCAATAGTATACACCCGGAGGCACGTGTTCACATTCCCTGCGTAAAAGAATGACGTTGATCTTATTAACCCAATTCCCTTTTTAAAGTTCAGCCCACATTACCGAGACCAAATTTAACAGCAACACTGGTTACTGATGCAGTCAGTGAAGTTTGATAGAGTTTTGCTTCGTGGAAATGCCAATTCGAATAAATTGACATAATTTATTTAAACACCCTTCGCTCAGCACGTTCCGAAAGTTCATGAAAATACTCATAAACATTCTAAGCTTTATGGGATTCAACACTACGCCCTCCTGCATACTGCAATGACGATTTAACCACTCGTCACCGAGCTTGTAAGCGGGAGGTCTTGGGTTCAAGTCCCACCCGAGCATGGTCTATAAGAGCAAGCTCTACGAAGCACAGAGTATAGAGTGGATTTTGGTAACAATGACGAAACATGAACTGAGCATTTGGTGTGGTGCAACTTTAAGTAGAGTCTATTGGTTTATGAAGCGTGCACATTCTCAGGGAGATTATTGACCCGTTGTCAGACTAAGGTTTGGGATTGAGCTGCTCTCTTTACAGGCTTAACCTGAAGACAAATAATATTATGTTGATTACTTCCTTACATCGTTGGCGGGCAGTTCACGGGGGCGTACATGCGTTGACCGGTCTTCAAGAAATCATATACGTCCCTGTTGGCTAGTCCGGGATAAGGGCTCACGCCCTGGCTGAAAATTTCCCACAAGACCACACCGTACGACCACTGGGAAAATATGACATATGATATTGCTGTGGCTGCATTATAATGACCTAATATTTAATGCTTTTGAAATAATTCTGAGCGAGGGGTTTTCTTTCACATGCATTAATAGTAATCATGATGTGAATATCATCGAAGAAGGAGTTTATTTTTGTTAAACACTTGACAACGTGAGAATTATCTTTCTTTAAGTTTACTGACCAAATCACGCCCTGATTTCTTCTTTGAAGCACATGGATCTTTTCAGAAAATAATTATCTTTACATGACTATTTTTAAATAATCCAAATATTATCTATATAGGCCTTGACTCTTCGTCCCTTTTCTTTAATCATCTTCCATTAATATTATTTATTTATAATTTGTAAAATTTTACAAACCACATCAGTCCTTGCATTGTAAACCTTCCGTTCCATACACTCAGGAGCCATCCACTTGATAGGCAGCTTAGCCAGGGCATCGTCACTGGTGTAGTAGTCCAATTCTTTCAAGTCACGTGACAGTCCAAAATCGGCTATCTTTACCAAAAGGTCACCATTCACCCTAAATTGGATTATTAAAAAACCGCTTATTTTGCAGTCAATGCAATATTCACCATGATAAAATCAGCTGAGCCTCTCTTGTTGCGAACTGTTGGCAATTTCTGTCTGCCTCTTCCTTGAAATTTTGGTTTCAGGGTAGCATATTACTCACAGTGCGCACTTAAAAGTTTTACAAGAAGAATTTTCTTACATGCAATTCCTGGCCGCAAGATCTCTGTGGACAAACTTGTGTTAAGCTAAGTAAGCCATACCGAGTGCGACATGCGAAGCAAACCTCAGAAGGAGAGATGTTGGCAGGGGCTGAAAAAAGTCACGTGCATGCAAGACAATGAAAAAAAAAACACACACACAAAACATAAGCAGAGGGACCTTCAAACGTATGATGGTTAATTATGAATCTTTGAAATTTTCCAGAAATATTACTTCACGTCCGAAATTGTCATTCCATCTTCGATCTAAATTGGCAGGATTTAATATGACAACACATCTAAAAGACATAATTCGCCAGAACATTCTAGCTTGTTCAAACTGATATTCATCATAAAAATCATCACAAAATCCTGTCATGATCTCAGGTTCATATGAACTGTGTGAGCTAGGCTTTCTGTGTAGCTTATCGAACTATCTTTTTTGACAAGGAAGTATAACTTCACCCATCCAGATGAGCCCCTGTGTCAAGATGTAAGCCAGCAAAAGACACATAAGCTTAGATGTCCATAATATATTTTAATCACCTGCTTGGACAAGAAATGAAAAAAGAGCATTGTAGTCGAGTACTTTTCGAGAACTAAATTCACTGTCAAATATAAAAGTGGTTAGGAGGGGGAAAGTACAAGAACATGGGCACTTGACAGTAAATTCATAAAAGTATGATTCTAAAATGAAATTATGACTTCAGACCATTACTGTGTAACAAGAATGAAGTTTTACCACTAAAACACTCGAAAAGTACTCCTCCGAGAACTTTTCGGGCACTTCTTTCCTCAAAACTTTTTTCCCTAAACAGGGAGAGTCTGAAGTCTTAATTTTTTTTGTGATCTTAACATTGTTCATTTACATTCCAATGTCTATGTTCTTCAGCTTTATTTCCTTCTAACTAAAGTACTCGACTACATCAGTACCGGTACAATTGTCTCTGTAAAAAACTCCTGCAATTGTCGAATACCTTTTTCTTCCTGATCATAAACGTCTTCAGGTCACCATTTGCCATGAAGGGTAGAACCAGCATAGGGTTGTCATCCGGGTCAAAGGTCAACCCAAGAAGCCCCATCACATTCACATGGTCGAATCTCTTCATGATCAGACCTTCCTCCAAAAATTTCATGACGAGTTTTGAGTCCGAGGTGTCTGGGTACAAAACAAAAAGTCAAATGGAATTCCTCATCATTTGGATGTCGAGTCACATTCCAAGAAACATTCACTTTGATTGTTATTTGAAGGAACTCATTTTTTTCAGCAGAACCCAAATGATAGGAAAGCAATTATGAAGACTCATTGATACTCATAAAACCCTGGATCTAATTCTCCAAGCCCACTTTCCCCGTTGATTTGAAATCATCACTTCTTCTCTGTCACTAACCTTGCACTGTTTTGACAGCCACAATGTTATCTTCTTGCTCCGTGTTGTGTAAGACAGCCCTCAACACCCGTCCAAAGGCACCTGCAAATAATGTCACCATCATCTTTAATGGGTGTACGGCAAAACATTTTGGCAATGGATAAATTATCCATTGCTAAAATTATAAATTCAACAACTGAGAAGCCATGTTGCACGAGTAGTTTGAATTTTTGCATGTTGAAGTGGAAAACATGAAGTAGGAGATGCCCCTTGCATAATATAGCTCATGATTATGCTGTTTATTTGAACAACTCGAGTCCCTACCTTGTCCAAGTGTCTTCCCAAATTCTAGTCTGGTGTAATCAATGAGGACGTCGCTTGGAACAAAACTGATCCTGCGGTTCAGAACGATGCGCTTTTGTTTGGAGGTTGGCAGTGTGCATGTGCGTCCTTCAGATCCATCCAAAATTTGTTTGTTGGCACTAGAAATCGCTGACGAAAGGAAATAACGGCACAACATCAACAAAATTATCCTATAGCCATGAGAGTTAAGAAGAGTTGTCTGTGGAGTAGAAAACAGGCCTGTCTCCTTATTACAGTTTACATAGGTGTGAATTGGTATGTAGACTTGATGTGTGTGGATGTACTTAGTGTGGACCTCTGCACAAAAGAAGTCCACTTAGGGCGCGATGGCGTTGTGTGGACTCCCACACGTCCACACAATATTTTCCCCTCTCTGAAAAAACAGTCTTAGAGGCATTTAGGGGAGGAACAGTCCAGGAAATCATCATCAAAAATCCAGCTGGAAGGAGTTATCCTAGTTGGAGAAAAAGGAGCATTTTCCTCAAGTTTCCTTAACCACAGGAGAACGAAGGAATGTCCACACTTTGTATGTAAAACAGGTAGGTATGAGTGTGCGTGTGTGACAGACGGTACGCCGATTGGTCTTGTTTCTTTGGTACAAGCGGCATGATTAGATAATATTGTGCATGGGCATTTTCAAACTCGGATTAAGAGTAAGAGAGGTGAGATCATAATTTTCAATATTGGCAGTTTGGAAACACTTTGTAAGGCCAAGCATTTGAGGATACATTTTTTTCTCTCGAAGTAAAGGCCAGTCCATACTTGGCCAGAAAGCGACAATGCAAACGCGGGCGATTCACAATAGAGTACCGAAGTGAATACGTCACGCGCAGATTTAGTGTGTAAAAGGCATTAGCGCGAGAACCAGCGCGTGAACCAACACGCACACGTACTCCATTCGTTTGCACTGCACTTTCTGGTTCACAGTGACGTCACACTTCAGTACTCTATAGTGCGCCTCCAAGAGTTTGCAACGGGTTGACCAATCACAATGCGTGATATCAGTCGACCCTTTCTAAACGCGCATTCGGTGGACAGATTTCGTGCACAGTGATTGGTCAATGCATTGCGAATTCTTGGAGGCGCACTATTGTGAAACGCCCGTATTCTCGACGTCAAATCAAATATTCGCGCAGCAAATTAAAGGGCAAGTCCTAGCGACGACTATAGTTAACCATAGTTCGACTAACACCGCCCGAACGACGAATGGTTTGGACCATGGGCATGGTCGCACCGCTGGCTATCAATAGCCTATTTCATTTATCATTGCAGAGGGAACCTATACGAGATTTCAATGACCATGCCTGCTGTGAGAATCGCAGACAACAGTGAAATGTGAGCATTAAACGATGAGATTTTAAAACTTTGACCAACTACGGTCCTTCGAGTGTAACAGAATTGCGCTTGTGCATTGTTAAAAAGCAACTGACTACCGGTCGAACTATAGTTCGCGTCAGAACGTACCCTTAGCATAAGTCAAACACATTTAAACTCGAGTGAAATTTCGCTGCCGGCTTCACAATCGCCTGCAGTATGAACCGGCCTTTAAACGGATGAGATTTCTCAGCGAACTTGTGTGCTTACCGTGATGAAATTCCAATAGTCTCTCCATGAGTTGCTGTTCGAAATTCCGCTTTCGGCGCATTTGCCTACAATACATGAGACAAGCGGCCAGCAATATTGCCATAGAAAGCGGGATAATAACACTGGGTACGAGGATGGCGATGAGATCTGCTCGGTGACCATAAATCACTTTCCCCAAATTGAAAATCAAATTACCATGATGAACCTGCGGAAGGAGATATAAAAGTCTGATCAAATTTCTGAAGGGTAATCTATTAATCTTTTTTTGATGCTGTCAACTTTCTACAGAAATCGTCCCTTTGGAATGTTCTTCTTTATTAAGTCAAATAATAGTTATTTGAAACCCTTGTTTAATAAATTCGATTGTACATGTGGAATGATTGTTTGAGACGTGCAGCAGTTACAGGGAAAACAGCTTTGAGAAACAAGAATCCCTGGTAATTACTTAAAACCTGTTGATCCCCCTTCTAGTCAAATTTTAGGTTGTCTTAGGACGGTAGAAATATTTCATTAGTAAAGAAATCCAGAGCGAGTCGAGGAATTTTCTTTTGTAAATACTCCAATGAGGTGCCAAAACCAATTGCAATATTTTTGTTCAAAAGGTTTACAAGAACAAGCCTGCATACAGCATAATCTGATCTTCTGTGAAATAAATAATTCAATAAGATAAAATGTAAACAGGACACACACAAAAAGATGTGCAATGCTGTAACTGAAAATGAACTTGACTGCTAAATATTGGCACAGATATTGATCGCAGAACTCACCACAGCAGCGGGATAATAGCTTCCATCGAGACTGGTGGGTTGAATTTTGGGCAGCTTACAAACGAGAATGTTGTCACCAATCACGCTGACTTCACATCTTTCACTTCCTACCGTGACGACGATTTCTTTGGCTGTGACTGCAGAGTCTATGCCTTTTCCCTTTGTGAACAAAGAGCAGCAAATCATCTTGTGGATCCAGCATTTACGAAAGAAACATGGAGATGAACCCAAATATACTAACGGGGCATAATATTTTAATGAGAAGGTCATTAAATTGCCAGTTGAGGGTAATGTAAGAAATTGGACAAAAGAAAATGGTAGTCTTCCTGAAAAAAAATGTGGGGGAGGGGCGTCGGTTGAACTCCTCTCTTGAGCTATTGTTGGTAGCTTAAAATCCGCACAAGATCGCTCTTCACAATTGGATGACTAGAAATTATCTTCTTCCCTTTCCGAAAACCGCTGTCGATTACCATTTGGGCTTTTCAATAATAATTGGCTGATTCATTGAGCAATCAGACACGTAAACAGTGGCTCATCGGGCTTTCCTGTTTGGTCCCTGAACAAATTTTAACAAACCTCCAAGGAACCGCATTTTTGCCATATTACTGGCTTTATTGCGAAGGCAGACTAAAGTTGTTAAATGGCAAAATCCTGGGTGTTTCGACAGTGGCTGCTAGTGACCATTGTTGGGATTTGGTGTAAAATGGTAACGCCTTAACCATAGAACAATCACTTGCTAAGTTCTGATTTGCACTGCAAAAAATGCATGCGATAAAAGATGAACAGATTCAAACGGAATGATGAAACTGGATTTATTACATGGATTTTCATGAGATATCCAATGGCCATGACATCGTATCCTTCCCCATCAAATGGGAAGTATACAGGATCTGGGAAATATTCTAGAGTGACGTCATTCCGCTCGGACCACGTGAGCAGCTCGGTTACACTGTCCATGATGAATCCGAAAGTTCCCGCGTTACATCTGTACGGCCGGATGTCTGGAGAAGGACATGTCAAACTCGTGTCCGAATTCCGTCGACATTGCTGGAAATTCATGAAAAAATACATGTAGTATTAATCAGATTTGACATTTGACATTCAACCAAAATTTGCATCTTGTGGCATTTTCAATAAAAGTACGACCATGGCTATAATTATTTCAATTTTATTTCTAAACGTTCACTTCACTAATTCAAATTCTGTAATTGAATTTGTAATGAAGAACCCGTTGTACGTTGCTTCCTGACACAAATCTTCAAAGGTAAAAAACTTATATAATTGCAAATTCCACTATCGAAATGCCAGAGTGTCTAACAATTTGGATTACATCTGTGTTAATACCTCTTCAAACTGTAACAGACTGTTATTGGCAGGACAGTAGACCACTATCTTTAGTGTTTGTATGATGTTAAAGTCTTTCCCAGTCACTGAAAGATTTCTTCCTCCTCTGTTCAGGAAAATGTAAGAACAATGTTAAGATCAACAATTTAAAAAATTTCAATTCTTCGTTCCTAATCGTCACCGGCTCACACATTAATAGATCACTTCATATTAGCAAGTATGATGCATGAATTATGTTATATCCCTGAATCTTATTTCTTTTAAAAGACACTTGGTGAAGTTTTGATCTGACAAGTATGTGTAGTGAACTTTCATGGCCAAAAAGCATTTACGCTTGAATGCTGGCTAGCGGTGAGACTTTTGTGATCTGGGGATTGGAGACGAAGGAAAACCGTGACGTTGAGGTTCTGTGGGCACCGTCAAAGCTCAGTCTCAGAACGTCGGCGTTTCCTGCCGTTGAGGGCGATGTTCTACACTGAAGGGAGTCGTCTTGGACGCTTGAAGTAAATACAAATGACAGTGTCGTGAACGAATCACCACATGCTTTAATATACCTTATTGTTTCTGCCCCACACTTCATGGACTTCATGAGCTATGTTATGTGCAGGTGGGTTAAATTAGCATGAGCCAAATTTTCTTGCAATTTTCGAAGATCGAGTGATTAGCCTCTCTTGTAATTCGACTGTATCGAAGTTCCATTCACTTCATTTAATACATCGCATTTTTCTTCAAATGAAGCTTTCTCATTTGGGATGATGTTTGCAAAGAAACGGATCCGCAAAGGATAGCGCTACATTAAGACTGATTTTAGACAGGATGATTCCTATAGTCGTGGCTCATGCTAAACTGAATAGCACTCTGCAGTATGTGGGACGATCGGCCGATAGGTTCTCCTGTGCTTGAAATTTACCTGACAATTACACACTGACTATTTCCAAAATATGCCTCGATCGTGTTTCCAGTTTGTAGATTAAACCCGCTTATTGTCACTACCGTTCCTCCTGCTTCTGGTCCAACGATTGGAACAAAGTTGGAAATTTGAGGGTCCTTGAAGAAAAACACAGAAAGGCGTTGATTAAATAACAAAAATAGCTCTAGATATCTATCCCTAATCTTTATCTCGATTATCTCAAAAAAGGAAAAGAAAAAAGTAACCTTTGCCGTGTATTTTACCACAGCAATATGCGATCACTGGTAAACCAGAATAACAACATAATTGAATCTCAGCAACTGAATGGTTCCCACAGTTTTCTTCCCTTGGATAACCTTCTCGGAGTCAAAAATGAAAAAAGAGAATGAAAAAGATTGAAGCACACGATTGGATAACCAACGAGCGCCAAACCAAAGCAGACGGACGATGTACGGAGATCTGAAGATGTTTCGGTACCACAGAGTTGAGACAGCCAACGTTTACCGTATAAGCGAAGGTCACAGTACCCATGGACGATTGCAATGTTCCATTGGCTCCCGTGATGGATAATGTGACGAGGGCAGGACCTTCTGATCCAGGCGGTGTTAGACAGGAAATGCTGAAGGATAAAAAAAAGTTCATCGGGAAAACCTGATTTTGATAATCCAAGCAAAGAATTAAAACCAAAAATCTGACAAATAAATGAAAGGGAGTTGGAGCCTGTGGTTTCTCTTTTGAAGTTATCTTTGTGAAACATTAAAACTTTTCCCCAATGTAAACCAGGCACTCTTGTCTCCACTGTCCTCATGATTTTCCTAGGCAAAGCTCAAGCTTTTCATGAAAATTCTAAAATTTACATGTGCATGCTAGAGTAAACACTACCTTCCTCCTGTTGAGTAAAGGCTTGCGAATCCTGCAACATCACATGGTTGATTCCCAACCATCACGGTATCAATATCTTCGAACCTTCGGCCTAAGTCTGTACCGAACACAGCGATGACTGTGTTACCTTCAATCGGTCCAGATCGTGGGTTGACCTTTTAGGCAACGGTAGAGTAAATAAAAACACAGATTTAAGAACCCATCGTTTGAAGTGTGTTCTTGTTTGAAATACCTGTTTGCCATAATCGCCCCAGTGATGTATCCAAAAATGTAATGTCTCCTTCATGCCATCTTGAGGTTTATCACTGAACAGGTCTCGGTAGGTGAAATGTCTCTTGAAAGATAACACCACAAGTCTAGACCTCCCACATTTTCTGGTATAGACGCATTACCCTAGTTTGTGCTTGAAACCTTCTGATGACCGGCATTCTGTGGTGGCGCTATTGTTTTCTTCCATAAGCAAAATCCTCATCACGGGGAACTTGTGCGGACTCGACTCTTCTTGCAATTTCTGAACAAATTCCATACTTAATTGAGTATTATTCCTACTTAATTGACACTTAATTCACTTGTTCGACTTATTTCCAGTGGAGTCACTTTAACGCGAAAGTTGTGGAGAGAATACAATACGATTAACAGAGATTCGGTTTTGATAACCAGACACTCCTGGTGGCAAAACTTCACAGGATCAGGGACCATAGGATCAGGGACTGGAAAACCAATCCGCCAGTGGTGTAGGCACTGGTGTAACTTTACTTTCCGTTTTACTTACTCCAGTAAGCACAGGGTCTGGGCAGTTGTGGCCATTATGTGGTAAAGTAATTTCTGCAGATAAATCACATTGGGCATCGAAGGTACAGGTGCTTCCACACCACAAACAGTAAAGTTCTGAATTTGCTGTGACGCAGCGACTACAGTCAGGACCAATGATGGAACAGTCGTAGAGTGTCACTAATTAATAGAAGAAAAATGCGCAATGCAAATCACCGGGGCAGAAGACAACTAAACGGGAAAGGGGCGAACATGGAATGGAAAATGCAGTTTTCTCAAAAAGGTTGGTGTTTAAGTGAATGAAGATATTAACAATGACATCGAAGTCAAGTTAATTAAGAAACTAACAGTTCATTTCATTTACTGCATGATCTGCTGAGCACTTGGACGGAAAGTTTGGACTTCACATCAGTCCAGCTTACTACCATGGAGAGTTAAGAAGCTGAATTATAAATATATCAAAGAAAAAATTCAACGATTCACATTTTAATCATTACGAGAGTTGTAACAGGCCTACCTATGTAACCATGAACATCATTCACAACGTGACGTTGATTCGACAAATCCACCCATTCTAAAACCAAGAAGGTGTCCACTTCGCGTTCTTCACCTGTGTATGAATACTTTGGTCGAAGAAAAGAAAACATTTGATTTAATGCAGAAGATTATTACGGGAGGTGAATTGCAATCCAGCATTAAGAAACTTCAAGGTACAGGAAGTTAGCTTTCACAAGGATAGGGAAGGGATAGGCCTATATGTGGGGCGTAGGCAGACTGAAGGCAGGATTCTAACCTTGGCATATTAATTTTACATAACCTCTTTTCCTTCATTTGAAGAATCGTTCTTATAAGGGGCAAGCATCACATCCATGATTTAAAGGTCTGTCATATGCTATATTTTTGACGTACATAACCCATATTTCGTAATTCCGGTAAAATTGATTTAAAAACAAGATTGGCTTGCACGGCTTACTGTTCTTTCTTCACAAGTTACGGTGTCGTTTAGCCGCCTTGCGTTAGCCACCATGTCCCCGCCCTCCACACGAAGACGGCATGCGTATGAAAAAATCTTGAGTGAGAGGATCAATAGCATGTCAGTCAACAATATGTCATGATTTGTAATGAATTTGCCAGGACTCGGACTTGTCAGCAGGATTATAGTGCCTGAATCTACGATGCACTTGCCGGGACATGGCATCCCGATAATTTTAACGAGTTCTAAGAATACGGCCGTTTCACAATAGTGCGCCACCAAGAGTTTGCAACGCGTTGGCCAATCAAAATGCGCGAAATTTGTCAACCCAGTGCGCGTTTGGAAAGGGTCGACAAATTGTGCGCGTTATGATTGGCCAACGCATTGCAAACTCTTGGTAGCGCACTATTGTGAATCGCCCGTATTGACTAACACACTCCTGAGCGGTATTAGCAGGAACCAAAGATCACCTTTTTGTAGTAACGAAACTTTTATATTACTTTCAAACTACCTGTGCTGGGTTCGGCAGATTTGCAGTTTGGAAGGTGATTGAACTTTTCACTCCTACTGGAATCAATACTTCCCCCTCCTGCGCCTGAAGCTGTGGACAAAAGCCTGGTCCTTTGGTAGATGACATACGAGGATTCTTTCGGCAAAATAAGGGGCAAAATGAAGGGATAAACATAAAGACATCCTGTTAGCAATTAGCCAAATTTGAAAGGAATGGTTTATATGTCCTATTTATTCCACCGCCGAATTTGGTCAATTTTGAAGTGTTGTCAAAAGTTCTGTTTTGTACGGTTGTCAAGAATTTATTTCGCCAGAATCACCACATCGGTAACACTGAGCAGTGCCAAGAACGTATCTATATTTACAATTCCAGAGTTATAGTGATCACACGCCCTGTTTGTGAAATTGGAGGACAACTTTTCCAATCACGGGCAATTTTGTGTAACTCTTCCATCGTTCCTCAACAAGAATAAAATAAGAGATACTTTGAAATTAGTTATCGGTAGTTTAAAGGGAAATTTTCCATTCCACTAGCATTGAGATAAATGCATTGCGAACTTACATTGTCGCCAGTTATAACAACTTCATCTGCTCGCATGCAGGAAGAGTTATCATGCGTGCATCTCTTTTCAAAAACACACCAATCACATGTCCAGTTGCTTCCTACACAAGACACGCAGCTATCGAAAGGAAAAAAAGAACACACAAGGACAATACAGCAGTAATGTTCAAACGCAGGAGAAGTGTAGTGTTGATCTTGAAAGACAACGGACAGAAGTTATGTCAATGCGTTCGTTCCTCTAAAAAATTTCAAACGTTTGAGAATTTCTGTCAGATTTTGCAGGTTTCGTTTCATTGCTCTTTCAAAGACAGTTGAGAACACGTAACGAAACGTAAACTCGTAGAATGCATTTTCGCAGACCGTTTTGAAACAGAAAAGAGAGCACCTTACGCAGTTAAATTGGGATCTCTTAAAAAGTGCTACGGGAATTAGCATCTTACGAAGTATGGCTGGAGCATTCATAGAAATGAAATGGCACATCCACAAAGTTGATGGCTGTTTCTGTAGAATAGATCGACAGCTGAACAGTTGTGGCATCTAAATTGAAATAACAAAATAGTTAGAGATATATCTAAATCAAGATAAAAAAGGAAAAAACGAAAAGAAAGAGTCAAATCAGAAACATTTCTATTTTTTCTATGATCGTAGATACACGAAAAGAGAATCTGAAATCGGTTTCAAAATAATCAGTTTTCCAGAAACGAGTTTCACAACGTACATTGACAAAAGGTAAATCAATCTCCCACTTCGGTTTTTAATTAAAGAGTTCAGAGCGACAAAAGGATACAATTTTGTTGTTTTGAGTCATTGCCAAAGGTGAGAAGTCATCCAACGCATTTTGTTTTAATGAAAACAACGCTATCCAACATTATTCCTCAATACAAGGAAAAGGAAACCAATAATGTACCTTCGTCCTGTTTGACAGAGGGTATCTCATCAACTGGGGGCGTTGTACATGCCAAGACGTTCCCGGTCTTCACTGCCATGCTTACGTAAGAACCAAAATGACACTCGTAGGATTGTCCTGGACAGAGGTCCGGTAGCTGTTGAACTATCAAGCTGATCTGGAGACAAAATAAAAGTGCTCACTGCTGTCTAAATAACTGATTTGAAATGATTAGTCGAAGCATTGGCGTTGGCCGACACCGCATTCGGTCTCGATTACAGAAAGGCCAACCCTACAAGAGATGATTTGTGTGAATCTTGCCTTATGTGAAGAAGAAAAACTACGTCAGCAGCCTGAACATAATATTAATATTTTCCGTACCATTTTCTATTGAATCTATCATCTGACTTACCTTCTTTTCTGTCATACTTAAGGGGAGGCTGTTTTCCACGTCGATTATCTCCAAACACTGCTCAGCGTCGTATGCGAGCCATCTCGTTGACAGGTCCGGTAGGTGACATGCGCTGTATCGTGTGCATCTTTGCAGCAAGAATACAAATATTTAACTCAAATATTTCTAGTTTTAGTTAATAAAGGAGCTTCAATTAGTTTATAATGACTCACTTCTTAGACTTACTCAGACTTACTTTCTTTCCAACGAGCACCAGCCACAGTAAGGGTCGCCATCTTGTCCTGCTGCAGTCCCAATGCAATCGTCACAAGTTGTATACTGGCTACAGTTCTCCACTCTGAGTTTTAGCAACTGCGATGTAAACAAATGCAATAAGTTTTTTTTTGTCTAGTGAGGATAAAGATGTTTACAATGTAAGGCTGGCAGCAATGTAAACACAAGTCCAAATCTCCGAACAAAAGCACATTATAATATTGGGACAATGCCTTGGTTTACGTTTATTGGAAAGTACTAAAGGGTTAAACATATTTTAAAACCAACGAAAATATAGAAGAAGGTACAGATTAAAACATTATATACCTCAAGTCAGAAAGAATGCATGTGTACTGATCGATATTTTTCATTTCTCCCTCCTAAATGCAATCTACTGTGTTGTAAATTTGAAAGATTAAAATTGCACAAGTGTAATTTGACAAAATAGTTTGTTTTTAAAAAAAATCTTTGCTCTTTTTCACCAGAATACAGAGTAAGACAACTATTTTAATATAACGTCGCCTATTTACTTTTTGTTCCGTGAGAAGATAGAGCTGATCTGTCTGATTGTCAAGTTTTATGTCTCGAAGAACAGGACTGGAATCCACGGCAACCCGTTCATAAACGCGACCCGTGACGTTGTTGTCCAAATGAACCTATGGAGAAATTCAAACCCAGTCAAAGATGTCAGTATTTTTGCCAGTGTTTACTACACGCATCTCTTAAACACAAACTGCTATAAAATACACCAACTTATATGCCTCTAGTTAGTAATACCTTGGTTTGTGCCAAGAAATATGCCCTTATCGATTTCATATATGCTAAGAAATATGTAAAATCGTAGAGTCTACGGTAAGCAATTCAGCCAAGACCACTGTTATACCTTGAGAAGATCACCACTCGATGTTCCGATAAAGGCAACCGTGTGGTTAAGTTCAATAGCAGTAACTATGGACGACATCCGATATCCTGGAAGTTGAAGCAGAGCAGTTGATGCGACAGGGGTAATACCCTTGGCGTATCGATACAACTGTGTTATTCCATCAGCCACGGTGTTGCAAAGATAGTTATCTGGTTGGATTCCCTATAACGATACCATGACTTTGAAGTCATCAACTTCAGAAACAAGTACAAAAAGTGAGATCTTAATTAGTAATACAAGGAAAATGCTTGTCAACCCCACAAGTTCTGAAGACGAACACTTTTATTGAATTCGGAGTAGAAACAAACGGTTAAAAGGTTTAAAACCTGCCCACGGTTAATCGGCAACCAGGTCCCTCACTGCATGATTATGACAAGAAGATAATATGCGCTACACCACACTTTTATCCACTTAAATAATGATATCTGATTTTCAAGTCTATGAGAAAGCCGAAGAAAAAGTCGTTTTTGTTATTTAAAAGATTCTAGGTGAAATATATATAAACTAGTTTTGTTAAATTTTTCTTCTAGAAAAAAGCATTGTTCTTGAAAACATGAAGAGGAAAATTTGTGAACGATTCACTGTAAAGGGAACAGATGAGAAAAGCGATACACATTCGTTCGAACGAAAACAGCGTTCATTCGAATGAACAAAAAACTTTGTTCGAACGATTTGTTTTGTTTAAACGAAGTTTTTTCGTGGAACAACTTTGTTGTCCTTTTTTCTCACCTATGTCCGTTTAAGAGCTCCGTAGACATTTCATGATGGGGAATATTTAAAAAAAATAAAACTTGAAAAACGGAAGATATTTAATAAGTATATTGCGACCAAACATTTGAATGCTCACATCTCACTGCCAAAACAGTCATATTTTTGTTTTTGATATATATAACAATTATAGCGTTGAAGTTATATGTATTCAGATCAATTTCCTCCACATAAAGTACCCTGTAACCAACAACAAATCTTTGATGTTGGATTACCAGCATATATTGAGGGTACTGCATAAAAACTCTAGATACAGTTGTGTGATAGACATTACTTTAACACAATTTAACGGAGCAACTACCGAATTGGAGTCCTTAGATATTTAGAGAACTTCAAACATTGTGCAAGGAACTGTTCTATACCCCTTTAAGGCATTACATATGACGTCAACCACAGTCCCCGACATCCTGTATTTGAATTGATCTGTCTTTAATTAAGATAATAAAAGCTATACAATATTTACTGACTTTTTGTGCTGTTGATATCCCGACCGCAATGGAATGGTCCTACACTTTGGTTACTGCTGACACGAACGCACCGTTCAGGCAAAATATTGAGGGAAGTCAATGTGTTCTTGACAGTTTCAATTCGAAGTTTTTTTTATAGTTTTAACATATAGTCTTTCTTTATAGCAACGGGTAACGGGTGACAAGCATGTTGAAGGGACATCCACTATTGTGTTATGTTAAAGAAGATACATATAAGAACAAGACAGTAAGCTCTCTAACGAAATAGGGAATTGAAAACCACGACGAAAATGCTACACTAGGATTTCTAGCATGTTGCTTAGTTTCTTGAAAACAAAATGTCACCAAAAGTCTGTTCCATATTAGCATCCCAACAAGAAATGCAGTAAATGTGAAACATTTCAATTGGAGCTGCTGTTTTTCAGTGCACTGGGAATTTCTTGTTTGTTTTTCGTTATTTTTGTATAGCATGTGCAATATCTTTGGTTTTTATATGTATAATTTTGTTTATTTTCCTAATCTTTTCTTGTAATAATACATATATTTTTAATCTGTTAAAAATCCCTGTAATTGGCGGCTTGCCGCTGTTGGGGATTTTTTTAAATAAATAAATAACATTATGGGGTCCGAGCGGGACCAAGAGAGGGTGCAATTTCCATAAGCAACGGAGGCTCCTTTGGTGGGAACTGCACACCGCTGGTTCAAGAACGACTGTGCAACGCAATCGCTGCAGTCGCATCGCTACCAACAAAATGAACACCCCCGCCAAGCACGGCTCTGGCTTTTCAGCCGATAAGATGGTGCCTCTGCTCAAGGCGGACCGCAGATCGACGGGGTCTAAATACACTGAGCCATTTTACTGGTCAAGACATCCGGCTGACGTCCGAGGGGTATAGGCCTAGGCCAAATCTGACGGCAGCACTGTTTTAAAAGTTAGTGTAAAAATGGCACACCTGATTGGAAATATTGTACACTTTCGAAAAGACTTTCAAAATAAAGTCATGTTCACTGGAAAATACTAACAAAGAATTTTTTAGTATTTTCTAGTTTCCGCATACACCTTATCTGTCACTTTGTCTCAAATAATTCTTGATAAAAAAAAGAGAAATTCGACAATTCAATAAAGGCCTTCACCTGAGAATCCCTATGACTTTTGAGGGAAAAAATCACAATATATTGCCTAGGAATGTAATCTCTAAAAGTAAAAATTCTGCGCTTCTTGTTTCTAAACAGGGTCGCCCTCATTTAATACACGTCAATTATTCAATTACAGGAACAGACCGAATCGATAATAATATCATGGCAGCCAGGGCGAAACTGGTATCCGACACGGTCTGTATGTAACCAAGTGTTTGTCAGATTAAATAGGGTTGTTTACAATGTTTAAAACACGGGAACCGGGAAAACATATTGGTACCAGATGTGAGTAACAGCGACTCTCTTCCAAATGCCATGCACGGTATGCGCCTCCTTCTTGTATGCATCCTCGCACTGCTTCTCTGAAGGCAGCCAAGACGTCAGTCATCCTGTACACACACATTGCTGAGTGATCAGTAGGTACATCGCCGGCTCCTCGGTTCTTAGCAAATACAGCATACAACACCTGCTCGTCTGCCTGGAGACCCCATGATGCTGCCAGATCAGGTCCTGCTGGTCCAAAGAAAGCTGCTTGCACCAAGCTGTACACACTACCATCTGATCCACTGCATTGTATGGTGATTTCAGTGTATGCATCAAGATCACGCGCTTCGTTGCATACACGACTTACTTTGGACACTGAAGTTCTGGCGTTGACGTCAACAGGTTGAAATGTGACAAAATATGTGAAACTATCCCATGAATAAATTGTAACATAGCTTACAGAAAAGTCCAGTGAAGCATAGTGAGAAAGCGTGATTGCACTTCCGTAGAAGTTGTATTCGAGGAAAGTGTTTCCCTCCAGATTTCTTCTACTTATTAGAGGGGCATTATAACGGTCAGGTGACTCTCCAACGATTAGATATCTTTCCCCACTGGTTATGATACCAACGGGAGAACTATTTCTCTCGGATACCACACCGGATCTAGAGCTGATCAAAACCTTGGCGATGTCATTAAAATTTCGGAGCTCGCATATCCCTCTTGCACTACCACAGATGATCAAGCCGCGGGCAGAATCGATTATCAACAGTTTCGTATAATACGAATCGCGCCTATCAGAAAACGAACGGTCACCGTATTCGTGAGTGATTATACCCTGCAACTGGTTGAAATCGCTGTCTAGCCTATAAGCGCGATTCACAGCGCCGATGTATACGTCGCGTGTACCCTGATTAATGGCTAACAAGTTGAACTTTGATTGGCGGGTATAAACGGTTTCTAACACCTCCGGATTTCTGAATGAAAGTTCTAGGTAGGCGGCCAGATCACCTTGCAACTCATTACTTGCCAACGGAGGAGCTGATAGTATGCTGACAAGGCACAATAACAGCAGTGCTAGAAGAACATCCATGATGGAACCACAACATCAACACAATATCGCGATTTAAACGCATAAGCACTCAGTCGGATGTTTAGACCAAGTAACATTTTCATGGAAGAATGAATACTTTGTTCAGAGCATGACCTTTTACAAGTAGTGAGAGGATGAATGAATTCGTCGACATGGGTGCCTAGTTTCCGGGTGTCAAAGTCCAGGTTAGTGAAGGGACACTAAAAACCAAAGATTTTCTTCCTCTCAAGAATTCGGACGTAGATCGTCTTTGGATAATGGGTTCAGAGCAAAATATCGCTCCCCTTGTGGCCAGGGGTTAGGCCACAAATGATTACTCGCCTTCCTAGCTTGTCGTATCAAACATAAACTTCAATGATGTTTTTTGGCAATTGAACAATTGAATGTAATTGAATGATTCTATATTGATTCGGGCAATTCCACATACAACAAGACAGACACAGCGGACCGCTCAGGAGAACATCCCCAAGTTATCAACTTAATATGTTTTCTTATACGGTTGTAAAGATTAAGACTCGTCGTGCATTGTTTTGGTGAATTTTGCGTCCCTACTTTATAATTGTGGCAAATACAAGGAAATAAGTGATCATCAAAATGTAGAGTAATATCTCCTTGCATTGAGAGTTGGTGATACATGTACCGGGAAAGTAGTTGTGCCACTTTCGCTTCCCAACAACTAATAACCTAAGTAATATTTCGTATATGTGTTTACGCGCGATCACCCTAGAGACAACAGCAACCCCTGTCCATCGCTTCGTCTTTTTTATTTATTTATTTATTTTTTTTGGTTGATTTTTGTTTTAATGACGCTTCAGCCACTCACGCTATTTGTGCCAATAACTATAAGTTCCTTCATAACCTTTATCAATCGGCATCACATTACGGAGTTAGGAAGAAGGTCCAGTTTTAGAGGAGGAAACCGGAGTACCGAGAGAAACCCTGCGAAAGCGATTATGAACTGGAAACCAAATGCACTTAAAGCCTGGGCCAAAGCGGGACTCGAGCCCGGGCCTCACTGGTGCAAAGTGAGGAAACAACCGCTAAGCTAACCAGCTAGCCCGCTAACCCGCCCCCGGACACCATTGCCTGTGGGAGATTTCAGCTTTAAGTGCTGTAGTCAGCGGCAAGCTGCCACAAACGGGTAGAATTTCCAACCCGGAAACTAAATTCGCAAACGACCCGGAAAGTAAATTCACAAACGACTTCTTGAAAACAAGCCTTTATATTGGAGTCTGGGTTAATTTAGTTCAGCCGCGCAGTCCTTTCAAAAACTTCGCGTCAGCCCTCGTGCAAACAGTCCTCGGCATTTTGACAAATACAGTTTGTTCCGGCGATGCACTTTTGAAATTCCTGTAGGCCTATGGTCGCACACAATATTCCCAACAGTTGAGTCACCATGGCTGCCTGTGTGATTTTGGTGGTTTTTAACCTTTCCGTGCCGTAGCACACTCTGGTAGCCAACTACCAGATAGCTTCTCTCTCGTATGAGAAAACCAAGAGATTATCTCGTGCATCATCACCGTAATCATCATTCCCCTTGACATTATATGTAGTCGTTGAGGGACCTTCGGTCAAAAGAAGCTGAGGTCCTTCTCTATGCTGGTCCATCTGCAGCTTGCATCAAGATACATGTATTTCGTGATATGCCCGTCCATGTTTTTTTTCACATTATCTCCTCCGCTCGTCCGCTGCCTCCCTCCTTGGCGTCCTCTCGAGACGGTGCTTGTATATTTTATTTATCATTTGTTTTTCAAATTCAAGCAGGTGCGTGTGACATTATTGAAAGGGGCGGAATTTTCTCGGTGCCATTCCCGCTTGTCTGCGGTAGTACGACGAAATCCCTTTCAAGTCTGGTTTATATTCCTTTCAACGTGTTTAAAAATCTAAAACACAAAATTCGACTATCTCAAAGATTTCAATGTTAAAATGGTTCGTTCTAAACTTTGTTCTCTTTTGTCCCCAAGCATTTTTATAACAGCAATTACAGGAGTGCCTCTTGATATTTTAGACTCTGTTTATTAGAATTGTATGAACTTTTTTCTCTCCTTCCCTGTCATTGCTTTGGTAGACAAGCTTGTTACAAAAGCATGTATATTTTTAGAAACACAAAAGGGGAACTGGTTCAATGAAATGATCAAGGAAATAACCTCAAAATAATAAATGTCACATGACGATGATCGAGACGGGTGAGTTAGCAATGCCCTCAGCGAAAATTAGGTGTGAATAAATATTGGGATTAATTTCATTAAAAGAAGAATTATTGTTAATCAGTAGGAAAAATCCTTACAACATAGACAGGTTCCCGTCTTACAAACGTCCTCTGAGCGAAGGGATAGGTAGCGGGTAATGGTTCCGGAGGAATCCTGTCGATTTTATGTTAATGAGGAAATTAGCACAAAACATTCCCAGAAAACAACACTGTCGCGTGATAAAACTTTGGAAGACTTTCTGAAATTGGTTAACACTCTCTCTACTGAGTCATTCCCCACGCAACACAACTTTCAGACGTATTTATCTGCTTTCTAGGGGTATATAGCCGCATAAAAACGGGGGGGGGGTCCTGGATCCACCCCTGGTAAAATAGCAAAAGCAATTGCGCATGTGCTGAGCTAAACCAGCACAGGCCCCAAACACCAGCTAGGTACCGGGTCCTATATAATATAGGGACGGGGACAAGTCCACAAAAAACAGTGCACAATATGAAAAGAAGACAAATTCAATTAAAGTCCGAAGCGGAATATCCAGGAAGAGAATCCAGGACGAAAACGTTTGAGATCATAACTTTGAGAAAAAGTGTAAAATCACTAAAATGAGACACTTGTTTATTAGAATAAATCAAATTATTTTTTTTCAGTCGGGATAGAGGGCATATACCCTTAAATGCGTTACATCAACGCCCTGTCAAATAAAAACCAAGTCCTGCTTGCATCCACAACGCTCACAACGCATCTGCGCACTGCCCCCATCAAGGCAAAGTCTGTTGTCTTTTTTATAGGATAGTTACCGAATATCGAATAGAAAACGAGGTTATGAACATACCGAATATGTGTTACACAAACTTCGTGCCAAATGCCACGCACGGTATGCATCTCCGTCCTGAATGCATCCTCGCACTGCTTCTCTGAAGCCAGCCAAGATGTCAGTCATCCTGTACACACACAATGCTGACGGCGCCATGGGTTCACCTCTAGGCTCTCTGGCAAACACAGCATACAGCGCCTGCTTGTCTGTATGGAGGCCCATAGTGGCCGCTAGATCTGGTCCTGCTGGTCCAAAGTGAGCCGCTTGCACCGAACTGTACACTCTACCATCAGATCCACTGCACTGTAAAGCAACTTCTGTGTACGAGTCTAAAGTAGAGCTGTTTGGGCAAACACGACTTATCTTAGATGTGAACTGGGCAAATTCAGATGTAACAAAGACAAAGTACGTGAAATGATCGAGAAAGATGTAGACGTAGTTTATCTGCGCATGACGAGTCGCTTTTGCAGAAAAATGAACGACTTCGTTGTTTCTTGGCATGAACGAATTTTGTTTTAGACTCAGCCTCCGCAGGGGAGGTTTACGTATATTGCTGGATTGCTCGAAATAAGTTTGCGATGCTCCAACATACAGGTAATTCCAGGTTTGAGATGGACCAGGGCCCAAAATGCCAATGGTTGTCGCTTCACCAGATGACGCTAAGTGGATTTCATGAACACCTGAACTTTTGGAAAGATCTGCTGGAGTACGGAACTGGCAAGCCCCGCCATTTTCACTGCCGCAAGTAATCAGAACGTTGGTAGAGGAGTCGGTTATCAAGAGCTTATTGAAGTTGGTGTCTGTCTCCGGAAGAGCAGTCGTGCTGACAGTCTGTGTAGGATACAGACTACTGTTCAATTTGTAGATCCAGTTCAGGGCACCGACATAGGCATGGTGTTGGTGGACAGCGAAATGGCTGAGTTGAGAGTTGGAGTTACCGCTTGGGTTTTGGTTTGTGAAGGAAGCCGTGATGTAGGCAGAGATAAGAGTGTGTCTCTCAGCTCCACATTCGTTGCAGAACTGGATAAGAAACAAAATCATCAGATAAATTAACTCCATGACGACTGCTAAAATGACCGCGCTGCTATAAACTTCAGTAGTTCTACCAATTGAGTTCCTTCTATTTGAGGGATTGACAAAGCCTTGCTTTCACAATTTAAATCTCACATACAATATACTGCTCAGTGGTATTGTTTTAGTGATGAACTTGAAGATAGCCAAATGAACAGATGGCCTTGAGGAAACATGCCGCGCCATAATAAATAATAAAATTCAGAAAGTGTTTATTTAAATTTGTTTTTATAATACATGTAATTAGTTCCTTTTTCAGCGTCCTTGCCTTTTGCTTTATGCCGGAAATCATCGCGTTTCCAACATATTACAACAGTTCCGTCAAATCATTAGGAACGCGAAGTGCATTTTTGGATCTTGATATCTTTTTATCAAAATACCTTGGATGGGTTTCACTTCTTAAGACAGCTAATGGAGTGGAATGAAACTGCACTGAAAAATATGTTTCTGATGTCTGTAGACTACTATAATTCCCCTTTAATCTCTGGGAAGTTGGGTTTGGCACATCGGATACCCCCCTCGTGTGACTTGATGCACGGTTCGACTCTCACGTGATAAGGCATTGGAGTTTCCAGTCCCAATGCAATTCTGTTAGTTTTCCAAAGAATATCTGTCTGTGATTGTTAGAAGCGCTCTCGCTTATGGAAGTTCGGAAGACCCGATTCCCTTCTTTTTGGGGGCGTCATATTATGGAGAAGGGGTTCTCTCCTGGCAAAAGGGGAAAACAAAACAGAAACGACGGAAATGAAAAAAAGGAATTGAAGGAGATGAAATCGTAAAATTGCTTTAGTTAAAACCTGGAATCTGACCCCCTCCACTGTTAATTATTTATCATTTCTTGGCTGATGAATGGTATGCCCGGAAATTCTTTTAAAGTTCTCATCTGTTAAAGTTTCCTCCCCTTTTAATTTCATTCACAATCATATTTACATAAAGAGGATTTTAGCCTGATTTTGGAGCACTTATATAATTTAGATCAGGGAGTTAATTAAGATACTTCTGTGTGTCTGCAATGGAGGGGCACATGGAAAAACAACTTGAGGAGTTAATTCATGGCGATATCACGATCCACGGGCTGTCTGACAAAATCCAGGAGTGGAGTGCTCGTCACTTTCACCGACATCCCGAGCTGCTAGCAAACAAGGTCATCCCATGGGAGCCTTCCAACGACAGGCCAAGACGACGGTCAAGGTCCTCGTGGAAAACACCAAAGTTGAACTTCAGGACTGAAGTAGACTGACCATCTGAATGGGTGACTGTTAACCACGTGTGCCACAAGCCCAGGTTGGACGCTGTCTTCATTTCATAACGACTTTAGTACGGTCAGCTAGTCCACCTGGGCTGGTGTGCCACGGTCATTATGCATCGTGCTCGTCTCAAGCCATGATTTCAGTCATCTAACCGACTGATATGCTGACTAAATCAAGATTGGGAAATTTAAATCTGCGAAATATTTCCCTTGCCCTTCTAAAACAGCGTCAGAGACTCGTACACGTCCGCGCACCCAGTGAATTTTACTCAAGTTTTGTTTGTCTTCTAGATATTTTTTTAGCGCTCAGCTCGATGTGTTGTCACCTAGCGTGTCAACAGAGGGCGCTTTATTAATTCTTCACGTGATGTGATGTCAGACGAATCGGATGGGATGTGGCTTTGACCTTAGCTCTAGTAAACATGGCAGCTCAAGCCAAGCAAGGTTGGGATTTCGACAAATTCGACGACGGCTCTTTAAGTAAGTGATCAAATTTCAGACATTTGGTACTGCCAGAGAGTTGATGGTGCATTCATTAAGTTTTTGTTGCAACTTGACTGTCGGGCTTAAGGCTTTCCACTTTGTTCAGACATGTCAGATTCGGATGCGTTTGCAATTGCATGGCTTATGCCATTAGGCCCATTTTTGGAATGCGACCGTACTTCAATCATATTATTGAATGTGTGTGTTTAGCGCAATCTTGAACCTTGTGCAAATGTACTGTACTCCATCCTCAGTTGATCTGTTGATTTGCCTTTGAATAACATCTATTCACAGGATTGAAAAAATGTTGCATCTTGACTCCCGACTCCACTTCAGCAGTTGTGTACAAAGTCTATGGGGAGTGTCAGTGAAGAGAATTTTCCAAGTATTTCCAAACAACATTGGTAAATGTTTCTCTGTCCAGAATTTGTGTCTTTCCAGCATTTCTGTAATGACTGACTTTTATTGAGGTGATATGTGATGAGAAAAGTGGAGTCAGGATGCAACATTTTTTTCCCATAGGATAATCAACTCAGAACGGAGTACAATAAATTTATGCAAGGTTGAAGATTGCGCTTGACGGACTAATAATGTCTTTTGCCCGGTTTTGGCAATTTTCTAGACCTTTACTTCGTACATCATGTTCGTACATGTTGCACTTGGGTCATAACACTGTGTGGGTAATTCCAGAAATTAGGGGTCCAAAAGTTTGACATTGTTGTGTCCCGGTTACATCTGACCTTTGTTATGGGGCAGCGCGGACATCCAGGAGTTTCACAAAAAATTGGGGTAGCAACCACACCGCGGCCGATGAAAACAACTGCAACAGGCACACGCACGCCTACGTACAGATCAAAGAAAAGATTGTATAACCCGATCCTCAGACTGGCTGGTGCGTGCGTACGTCACCAAGATTGCTGTTTTCACCGGTGCAGTACCTCTCATTTTGTGAGAATTCGGATGTCCGCGCTGCCCCATATGAGATGGAAATATCACCGGAATTGATTCCGAACTATTACTAATTTGTTGGCAGATAATTTGTATTAATTCATCACTCTTGGAAATTAGAAAATGTGTTCTGAACTTACAAAATCATATGTCAGATGTGACAGGGACACACACAAAAATGGATCCCTAATGTCTGGAATTCCCATGTGTTAATTGAATCCAACCAGTGGGGTAAATACATGTAACTAGTGACTCAATTGAAAAGAGTTTCATAAGCAGACATCACTTGACACCCTGCACACACACCCCTCGTGAGACTAGTCTGGAAAATTCAAAGTGTTCTCTAAGTAGATGTTTCAGCATTTTCACAGCTAAAATTGACTTATTAGGGTATGCTATCATTTTCTGATGGCTATTAACTAGGCCTACTGGCTGAAAGGGGAAATTAGTGATGTCCGTATATGAAACTTTTACACGTCTTACTGCACAAATTACTCTTGTTTAGTAAATATTCCCATGAGAGCCATTGTGTGGTACATATTGCTTCTGAAAGTTTCATTAAAGTGGTTTTATACCATCAGCACGAGACCGACCATTTTTTGAAAAATCAGAGTTTTGCTCACAAGTCTATCATTCTCCACCGAGTTACAATCACACCGTACTTTGTGTGCATCACATCGCATGTGCTAACTCTGCATGTTGGCTCGATCATATTCGAGGGGAGATGACATCTTTTTACCTTGTCACATACACGGTACGGTGCATTTCGCGCCTCTCAATCCCCCATCTCAGTCCAGGCACACAGTAAGGACAGTCGTTGGACCCAAAACAAGATTCCGACCCCTCATCTCCAGAAATGAAAACCAGGGTGTGTTCAAGTTTCTGATAAGTGGTACTTGTACATGTACGTCTTACATTTGCATGACGAAAGGGGTACCACAATGACCCACAGGTTGTTCAAAAGAAGCTCTGACCCCCTTTTGCTGAAAACCTTTCCGTCATTTTTTTTACTCATACAGAAATTGTTGGGGAGGTTCAACTGAAGAAGTATGGAAAATTCCTGGAGGACTACGCCACTCAACTCAAGGGCATCGAAGATGCCTTGGATAGCTCCATTGGAGACACCTGGGATTTCACCCTTGACCCCATATCATTGCAGGTAGGAAACACCCCTCGCAAATTGATCAACTCTAACCTTCAAGCATCTTTCAAAATCTATCCAAAGGTTTTGAAGGATTCTGCAGGTTTGAGGAAGGTACAACTTACTGATCCATAGATCCTGTAACAAGAACTGAAATAAGTTTAACTAATCAAAATTTCTCATACAGCAAAATTTGCTTACCTTGGACGAGATAGTACTGCCAACATACCTCCAAAAAAGTTCCAATCGATATAAAACATCTTGTTTAAATTTTGCAGAATCAGATTTTTAAGATTAAAAAAAATGGATTTAAAAGAAAATAGCTAAGATCTCTAACAATGTCAATAATTGTGGCTTCTAGCTGTATGTAAAAAATATGCATCTGTACATACATGTATTGCCCTTTTGAAAGTTAAAATTTTCAGCCAATATATTTTCCAAGAGTGATTGAAAGCTGAAATTCCTGTATAATGTACATGTATGTACATGTATACGTGTTGTCAACTGAGATGGGTCATAGGATTACCTGTGAAACGTTAGCTTCATTCATTACATGTGCACCTAATGTATAATATATTGCCCTTTGCAATTTCGAAGCCCACATGGTATCCATGGTATGACACATGTTTATTCACCCAGGAAGAGGCAATAAAGATATCCATCGACAGCATGTAAGGTTTTAATGATAAGCAGAGAATTGGGTTTGTTGGTGTCTCTGAAGCACTCAAAGATTTTGAAGTTGAGGTTGAAGTATTCGCATGGCAAAATTAGATGTACCTGTAGGGACACGTTTTTTATCCAAAAATGGGAGTATAACGGCAATTTTCTTTGATGAGGGACAGAGGTGGATTATTTACAAATCTGGGGCCTACATGTACATAAGCTAGGATACTGGGAAGGGTTTTGCAGAAAAAAGGGTCATTATTTCAGGAAAACTCCACACAGGATTTGGGACGGGGAACAGGGGTTTTCCCCAATACTGAAGTTATCCACCGGCAGTTTGATTTCCAAGTAGATGTACATAAACTTACCTGTACATGTACAGTACACATCTACATATCTTAATCAAATGTATTTGAGTTGTGATTAAGTTGCGAGTCCTGTTTAGGACCAATACAAGTGTCATTTTAGCAAAGTCAGCCTACAACATAGACTTCCCAACCTTAATAGATCAACATTTATCACAGCACTTTGGTCTCTTAACAAGAAGGGAAGGGAATAGCGTGGAGAAAGTCATCGTGCAGGGGAAAGTCAAAGGGAAACACAGATTGGGACACACATATGCTGAAGTGCCCACATCAAATGAAGACATTCACTGATATGCCAATCAATGTTGCTGGCGGAGAAACCCTGCGTCAACTCTATTGTGTGCACCACCAAGCATCAGCCACGATGAGATCAACTGCAGCCCATCTCTGCCGAGTCAGAATTTGTCATTCATGTTTTTGCTCAGAGATGCAGCATAAAAGTGTTCATGATTGCATGTGGCTATTTTGGAAATTTAGTCATCAACTTTTTTTGTCTCTCTCTTACATAGTTCCTGCCCTATGAACAGACGAACATCCTGGAACTCATCAAGACAGATAATAAGGTCAGACTTCCACTTTTCATGATTTTGACTTTTGACTGTTTTGAATTTTTGTCTTTGTTTGTTGTCTTTGATTATCTGCTCGCTGATTTGTTAGTTGGTGCCAGAGTTAACAATAATTCTGTATTTCATTGGCTGTTTTTAATTTTTTTATTTACATTTGTTACTTCCTCCTTCAATTGATTTTTGACTTTGTCCAATATTTGCCAAGGCATTTCTTGTAAATATTTCATCTGTTCGTCTGAAAAATGGAATTCTTCTTTTGCGGCGGCTTTGCATTTCATTTTCTTACTTTTAAGCAGTGAAAAATTGAAATTGTTGATTTACATTTTATCTGTAGATCTTCAACAAGGTGATAACAGTTTTTGCCAGCCTGTGCTGTGAGATGAACACGCTGAAACATGAGGTAGGTTTGTGTTTACGTATTGGCCTTTGCTCTAATCGGGATATTTGTGAAGGATTATCCTCTGAACTGAAATGAAATGCAAAACATGAGATGTTTCTCATATAACAAGCTTGACAAGGCCAAAGGCTCGGTGGTGTGTTTACCCTCGCAAAAAACATGCGCCCCCCTCGTAGACCTGTAATAAAAAGAGATGTACATTGGGAGTCATGTGCCTAAGAAAGACCCTGCAGAGTTGCAGAATTGCGTGCCTGTGACGTTGTTGCAAGCTGAAAATCTTCCTTTTTCCATTTTCTGAAAGCACAAAAACCCCAAGAAAATTACTAATGTACATGTATCCTTGTTTGACATGGATTGTATGAATTGCACTTGATTTATGAGGACGTTACTCTGTCCCCACAATGTTTTCAGTCCTCACAACATCAGTGTTATGACAAATGTGTGTCTCCACAACCACGGAACGAGTACATGTATGTGTGAGCAGGCCTTCACTTAGTTAAAGGGACTACATCCATATCTTGTGCTAGGCGAATTAGGAACAAGTTGTGAGGATACTTCTCACTCCCTGCAACGTGTTTGGTCCTCACAAAATTGGTGTAATGACAAGTGTTTGTCCCCACAACTATGGAACAAGTACATACATGTTTTAACTTTTTTACAGGTGCATTTCACTTTGAGAAATTCTTAGTAAGCCAATTGTGATGCATTCTTTGATGTTACAGGAGTTCTTGCCAGTTTTGTCTGTCACCCTGTTGGTGGCCGTAGGTGTTATTGCCTCATCCTTTGTAGCAGAAACTTCACTTCCCTTTTAACCTTTTGGTGTCTCGTTTGTAATTTCATAGGCTGAAATCAAGTTCTACCCCGGTGTCATGTTCTATGGGGAAGGAGGTAAGAGAGTGTCCTTTCACAAGTATGAATTTGCTTTTGGGTGTGGAAAAATTTTCATTTATTTATTACCATCGGGGAAATACTGCCGACGTGACAGTCCAATTTCTGTGTTTGGTTTCTTTTATAGTGTACATTAGAATAATTTGTTTATGATGATTGACGATTACATAGAGATAGTGGGACCAGTGCAGGTCCTCGGAACATGAAGCACATATACACGCTACAACAGAAATGATCATGTACACAAGGACGATGTATGCATGACAAAAATGACATGCATGACAGGTGCAGTGGGATGACAACCAACAACTTTGGGTTAACAATTGATGATTCTCATACCAATTGTTCCAGAGCCTGAGACTGGTCTTGAGGAAGGCGAAGCACAGGTGCAGATGGGTCGTATGATGCCGTTCATGCAGGTATGAAAGCAAGGTTCAGCACTTCCGTTTTGAATCTGTTTTAGTCTAAAAAAAACTTCATATATGCATCTGAATATACAGACTAGTAAAAAGAACTAGAGCTTGACTGGACAGCATTTCTGTCGTCCAGTTACATTTCCCCAAATATGGGAATGAAAACAGAAATATACTCTAGCTGCACTGAGAAAGATCTTGCTGGGATCCAGAAACACACCCCGTCAAATTATTAGAAAGGGTTTGTTTTCATGTTACATCACTTTAGTAAGCAGCACATCTGATCCCATAGCTTTCTGTGTTGTAATCAAATGTGAGCTAAGTTTGCACCTGCAGTAAGGAACATTTAGAAAAAGTATTTTGATTTTGTGGTTGTGAAGGTTGAGTCACCGGAGACCTGATTGATTCAGCAGTTCTGCCTCCTTTCAAGTCTTTCTTTAATTCTTGTCTTGCAGAACTTAAAGTTGTTTTTCCGCCCATTTTTCTAGGAACTGTCCTGTTTCATCAACCGTTGTTATGAAGTCGTCAGGAGCACAGTCCACCAGCTTGCCTCGTTGTACAACAACTCAAAGTAAGTAGCAAAGCTCGCTCTTCATTTTCACACCTGGATCACTTCTGTCTGAAACATCAGGATTTGAAAGACGAATTGCCGTCAACATATGAACAGTTCTCCCAAATTTCTTACAGACATGTAATAATAAGTTAAATTTCTGAAAATTTATAGGATTGTAGTTGTTTCATGAGCACCATGCCAAACAGTGCCTTTTAACTTTGCCAGGAAAAAAAAAGAGAGAATGGCTAATTTGGCCTTTTGAGTGACATGAATTGTTTGGCGTTAGAAAAGTGGAGTTTTGCATAAGCCTTTCCAACTACTTCCAGTTCACAAACGATGATAAAACGTGTACTTTATGAATGCTGAATGAACAGTATGATATAGAAGACCCCTTCTGATAATGGACATTGTTCTGTGTATTCTTCATGTGGGGCACAAGACTTTTAAAATTTGAGTAATCTTGGAGGTTAGAATAAATCCAATAAATCAAGTGACCATTTCAAAGTGGTAATACAGGCTTTTATCTCAGAACAATGCCCCAGAACTGCTAGTCTATTCCAATTGGAAGCATGTTTTCTTCAAATGGAACTTTCCAAATGGAAGGTGTAATTTCTGGGATACCCAAACAATGGAAGAAAATTCACTACCGCCCCCTACAATAGAGGTTGTAAAGTGTGAGGCCCCTTATTCCTAAGCATTCTATCTTCATGAATAATACTCCCTTTTTTAAGTGCAACACAATGTTTTGATTTGGTCATGGGCGTTTCCTTTCAGAACGGCACCAAAGATTATTGACGTTACCCATGTGCATTTTCAGGTAAGTCTGGCAATGATGAAACTAGAATAGCTAGTTTGAATCCTGACATTTATCTGCTTGAATTTATGTTAAATTCTTCAGTCGGAGATGATAAACCAGCATTGTAGACGCACTAGGAATATAGACTTTATTCCCTGTCTTAAGTTGGCATATTTTGTTGGGCCTGTGCTAACATTAAAGGAAGAAAAATGGCTAATAATTCAGAAATTGTGCAAAGGTTTGATTGTTTCTCTTGAAAAGAGTGCAGTTGTCTCTGAGTTGAAAGTCCTGAACCAACAGGAGCAGTTTCTGTTTCTGTAAAGTGCAGATCAGAAAGAACGTGCTAAGCTGTTCAGGTTCATGCATCACTCAGTATGCGGATTGTGGAAGGTTTTCACTATTTTCCCAATATCGCTTCATCATGTAAAACCCATCCAACTAAGTTATGGCAGTCTGGTTTGGATTCTGAACTCTTTTCAACTTGTTTTTCTCCCAATTTGATCCTACTTATGACAGACTGTCTACGAACATCTTGGAGATATACTGCGTGTGCTTATCACTCTTGATGAGATTGTCGCTAACCAGTCGACTCTCAAAGACCATTGGACGCTCTACAAGAGGTGTGTACAGCCATCCCTCCAATGAGATAAAAGACTGCCAACAAATTTGGGCACTCCTATAAACTCAGATGGTGTAACTAACAGTTCAGTTCTAATGTGACCAAATTTGTTGTAATAGTATTTTGCTGTCAGATGGGGACTGAGTTTACTCGTATCGATATATTTCTTCAATCATACTGTCGACCAACAATTCTTCAAATCACCTCAAATCTCAGTGTTTGCCTCATGAAACCAGACATTTAATTTTTGTTGTTTGAGGCACTTATCAATAAAGAAACATTTATTGTGTTTAGAGAAAGGCATCAAGTGTTATTTAAAATAAGTGTGAAATTCTGTACAAAATAACTTTTACAATCTGACTAATGCCAGTAGTTTACCTATATCCTGAAGTTTTGTAAGCTGCAAAAAAGCTTGGTGCTATTTGAATTTTACTTAAGGTTTTAAATACAGAATCCCTTTGATTTGTTCTGAGGAAGCAGCACATTGATTCTTTATCCACAAAATTTTTGTAGAATGCTGAAATCTGTTCACCACAACCCCACCCGTTTTGGAGTGGAGGAATCCAAACTCCGCCCCTTTGAGAGGCTCCTGATGGGCCTGCAAGGCCAACTTCTGGACGGCATGATATTTCAGGTGGGTGTGGGTAAATGGTTATTTGGAAGCCTGCAGCTTTTTCTTCTAAGTTGAAGGTTCTTTACACCTATGGGAATAATAAAGTCTATAATATTTGCAGAAATAGCACATCTTATTGCATTCATGAATATACATGTGTGTGCACTTAGCATTTTCCTTATTGGTGCAGTAAATCATTTTCAATTTGAAGAATATGTGTTATATATGTACATGTAAATGGTTAAGCTATATATGAAGAAGGTCTTCAAAGATTGATGCCCCATCTCAGTTTTTTTTTCTCATTTTGTGATGATTCAATGTGCCTTTTGATGTGCTTTTTTCAGAATTGCGTGGAGCAAGGCTTCGACAACAATAGTGTTCTTGTTTCCAAGAACTCCTTCTTTGCTGAGGAATTTGCCTTCAACATTCGCAACATGTTCACCCAGGTGGATCCAAAGATTGGTAAGTCAACTGACTGATGCTGAACAATGTCATGAGATCAGTCACAAGACCAGACACATGACCACTCGCAAGACCAGACACAAGACTAGACACAAAACCAGTCATAAGACCGGACATGAGGCCAGACACAAGACCAGTCACAAGACCAGACACAAGACCGGTCGCAAGGCCAGACACAAGACCAGTCACATTACCAGTTGCAAGACCAGTCATAAGACCGGACATGAGGTCAGACACAAGACCAGTCACAAGACCAGACACAAGACCAGACACAAGACCAGTTACAAGACCAGTCACAAGACCAGACACAAGACCGGTCACAAAGCCAGACACAAGACCAGTCACCAGAAACAGGGTGGACAATGACAAAGGAATGCTTTTGTTACAGTTCATTCGAATAGCTTGTGACTTGAATTCAGTGTGTTGGGCTCAGGATGGTCTTGTGGGATCTTAATGGCTTGAAGGGATCTGGACTACAACACTGAGGCTATGTACTAGAAACAAACTCATTTCAAGGAGGCGGGAGGAATAAACTGTATGTCTTGAGAAAACTGCAATCTCCTGTAATGATATTAGACGGTGACCAGACTGTCCAATCTTGTCACCGTTGTGTATGGGTGAGATTACAGCCATACATCCCACATGCTTCAATCACTCACTTTATTTGTGTGAATACAGGTGGATTTGCTATGGCTAACTGTGTGAAAATTATGTGCAGGCAGGACATCATGACCAGCTTTTAACCTGCCATTTATCAAAGTCACCTGAGTTGTCATCGGCAAAAGCTTCAGCCGCTTTTGTTAAAACAAATGTTATGTGACATAGTTGGAATATGTAGAATGAAGAAAATCAATGATAATCGTTTTCATTTGCTTATAAAATTAAGTTAATCATGCACACCAGAAATGTATTTAAAGAACTTGAGTTTTCGTGCCCAAGCTCTTGTGACCTTGACACACTGCATATAGCAGGTCAAACACTGACGATTTCTAAATGGAAGTGGAACTGTCAACATTTCTGCACAGGAGAGATTAATGAAATCAACCAGCGGCTTCAGTATGTTGGCATCTGCGGCCTGTATGTGCTTCACTTCCAGATCTTCCGTGTCATTGACAAGAAGATGTTCAAGTCACTCTGGGATGTCTACCGCAGGGTAAGACACTGCTTCAAGGCATACCACAGACTCCATAGGCTCTGGTCATGCCAACCTGAGCCGTTTTGACAAACAGTGGTGTTTTCATGTAAACAGGAGTCACTTTGAGCTCCAGCTATGTTTTGACCATAACCTTTGCAACGCAGTCCTGTTCAGACAATTTGTCAAGCCATTGTTAACTAAGGAGTACTTGAACCAACAATTTTAAATTGCTTCACAGGTTTTCATTTAACAATAGAGTGACTGATATGCTCATATTCCCTTCATAAAAATATTCAGAAATGTCTTTGATGAGTGACATTTCAAGAAAATTTTGCCTGCAGCCCTTAATTTTTTCTTCTTCGTGTGTAGTGGGTTTTCACAGCTCCCAGAAAATTGTCACAAGTAATTTGCAAACCACTCCACAAACAGATTTTGTCAGATTGAAATTAAAATTGAACATAACATTTTTCAGAGAGCACGGCTTATGATTCATAGCAACAAAAAAGAACAATAGCAATTCTGCCTCCCTTAAATTGCTGAAAAAATGGAGGTTTGAATACAGAGGATTGTTTCTTCTGTTCAGAGCTCATTCATATAATTATTTTCCCATGGAGTCTTCAGATATTTAATTTGTCATGAATCTAACAGCTGAGAGAAGCACATAGTTAGGACTCATTGAAAATCTGGCGGCACTCTCACCAGCACGTACATGTACACTTGAGCTTCATCAACCGCCACGCCTTTCTCAAAACTTGTCGGTGTTCAACCTGAGCGTACGTCAGCAATATGGTCCCCAGAAACATTTGGCCGAGTGCCAGTATAACAAGAAATCCAATGAGAGAATTGAAGGCTATCGTGTTGGGCTGAAGAAACACAGTCACATGGAGGACCACAGCCACCGGCAGCCAAGCGATCACAAATGCGAGGAAGTTAACGATGAAGTAAATTGTTAATTTGTGGTGCGACCTTGCAGGCTGCAGCCTGACTGGACTAGCCGAGTTGTTTTCCATCGGGGGACGGATGGAACGAAGGTGGACCAGTAATTGCCTCTCCTGGTTAATTTTTCGCTGTTGCCGTCGGGCAATTCTAATAAGAGCGACCATCAGGCATACAATGGCAGTGATGCATGGAATAGCTACAATGTTCATGATGAAAATGGTTGAATATGACACCTTGGAGTTACCATCAAAGAAAATTTTGACTGAAGTGCTTTCATCATCGGTAAAGATCATCACTGATGTGTAAATGACCAAGCCGATGATTGCAGATACCGACCATAACACAGCAATGGCAAATGCACACCTTTTGGGTGATGCCAAGCGAATGTATTTCAGTGGTTGGGAGACCTTTAAGTAACGGTCCGTTGCTATGGCAACTGAATTGATGATAAAGCTGCAGATAGCAAAATACATGTAGGCGCCAAAGGCCCCAAGGAGCTGCTTGGGTCGTTCTACAGAGAGAGGGGAGAGCATGAATCCTGCCCAGATGCATTGGATGCTGACTAAGAACTCCGAGATGCAGAGGCTTGCCAGCAGAACGTTGGACACGCTGTGGAGCTGTCTGCAGAGGACTACAGAGGCTACTATCCACAGGTTGATTATCGTGGTGATGGAGCCTATGATACCAGACACTAATATAATAAATATAGGCCACAGGCTCCACATAACGTCACGAGTTTGGTTGGAAGATAGTAATGCAGTCTCTGGTTCTGTCAAGTTCGTCATTAAGTGGCTTTTCAGTGAAGGACTGAAGGGTTCAAACACGAAGAAATAAGGATTGTTTAGCACTCACTGTTGTTCCAAACCAGTGTGTCAGTTCTCAGAATGTTCAAATCTGTAGGATGTCAGTTCTTGAGTCTTTGAAAATCTGTGACAAAATTGGTCCAACAGCTCTCCGTAGAAGCTAGAATGAACCAAGCTAAACAAACTTTCCTTTGCGGAGGATCACGGGCCGTGTCTTCACAACCTCCATGTTAAGCGACACATTTATAAGTTCTGTCAGCTTTTCTTTGCCCCTGAAGAATGCTTCTTGTACGAAACATATCCTACCAGCTGCAACCTGCTGCCTGTGTAAGGAGAGAGAACATTCAATGTTACGATGCTGTGCAACAGGTGTCTGGGCTGGATGAGTGGTTTGTCTTGTTGAGAGACACCCCTTTTTCACTATAAAATGTTCATTATAAAATGCATCTAGTCATGAGGTAAATTTTGATGGCGTAATTAGTGGGGCCGCTCTCAGTAGTCAAATTAATTGGTTTCACTTCCTCCTAAAAGCTTCTTTGATTGCATCCTGTTCTTGAAAGTACTTTAGCTGGTTGGTGTGCCACTGGCAATTTGGCTCCTACAGATCAGGAATTTATGTCTTTGGAACAGTCCAATGTGAGTTGTCTGATGTCAGGCAATTGCAAATGAACCTGGTTAATAGCTTTTGTGCATGTTTGTAATAATTACAGTATTGATGAATGCGAAGTTGGCTGAAGTGATGTGACATCCAGCATTGGATGTATACGACATTATTCATATTCTAGAGATTCTACTTGCATGTAGGTTACTTTATAAAGAAATATACATGTACATTCTCGTTAGGGCAGCAGATAAGACATAGAATTTGGAATGCCTGATGCGTAGAGACGTTGATGGAAGTCCAGCTTTTAAAGAGATTTCAAAAAAGAATATCAAATAAGAAAATTTGCAAACAAAAAGCACCGAGCAAACAGCTTTTCACAACTGTGGGATTTACCCTGCTGGAAACTAGCCATTGACTAAATATTTTGGTTTGGGAGATGTTGATTTGTTACACTGGGATTTACCCTGCTGAGGTCCCCTCTCTGACATCAAGTAAAGTCATATCTCCATTAGTAAAGCAAGAGATCATAGATTGGAGTCTCATCACTGAAGCATACAAGTTATTACTCTGAGCTGTAAGACAGCAGCGAGTATAAGTACTAAAATGAAAACATAGTTAAAGAGCAAAGTTAACAAACAATCATCCCAGTAGCATTGTGGCTAAGTTGTAGGGAATGATATTTGGAGCAGAAGTCTCCATCAAATTCTTCACTGATTCCGCATGTACCGCTGCTTCATAAAAAAAAGTGCACTTGATAGAGAGTTTGAATACTCTCAGCCCATACATGTATCAATTCAAAATCAAAATTTAGCCTTTAGTTGTTAAATTGGACAAGGTTTGTATGCTTGTAAGTGCGCCATGTCCCCGCACATCTAAGTTTGGATATTTCAAGAGGCTCCCCAGTTTTCTGAAAGGTTTTGAATTATTACGGGTAGCATAAAACTGACATACGTGTACACAGACTTTTGAGCATAGCAATTTAAACAACTGATGCAGGTGGGTGTTGATGAAAGTCAAGCAGTACAACAAAAAGGGAATAGCAGACAAAAGTCAAATAGGAAAAATAACAAAAGATAGAACACTAATTAAAAAAAAACTATCACAAATGAGGAAACCCCACCACAGATTCCACCAGGTCAGTGCAGGTTGAAATATAAATTGGACAGAACATTTGGATTTTTCAGACAGTAGGGCCTACAGCTTATAATTCTTGGCAACGAAAAAGGAACAAGAAGAATTTTGTCCTCCTTGAATGTCTGCAAAATTGTCAAATTTCCTAAGATTTTGAATAAGCAGGATGTGTTCTTTCATCCACTTGGTACTCAATCATATGCTCATTTTCCATAGGTTCTTCAGACGTTAATTTTGTTATGAATCTAACCGCTGAGAGGAGCACATGGTTAGGACTCATTAAAAACTTGCCTGAGACTCTCACTTGCAAGAATACCTGAGCTTCATCAACCGCCACGCCTTCCTCACAACTTGTCGGTGTTCAGTCTGAGTATATGTCAGCAATATGGTCCCCAGAAACATTTGGCCGAGCACCAGAATTACAAAGACTCTTATGAGGGAATCGAAAGCTATCGTGTCTGGCTGAAGAAACACAGCAACGTGGATGACTACAGCCACCGGCAGCCAAGCGATTAGAAACACTAGGAAGTTAACGATGAAGTAAACTGTAATTTTGTGGTGTGACCTTGCAGGCTGCAGCCTGACTGGACTGGCCGAGTTGTTTTCCATCGGGGGACGGATGAAGCGAAGGTGGACCAGCAATTGCCTCTCCTGATTAATTTTTTGCTGTTGCCGCCGGGCAATTCTAATAAGAGCGACCATCAGGCATACAATGGCAGTGATGCATGGGAAAGCTACAATATTCATGATATAAATTGATAAACGCGACACCTGGGAGTCATTGTCAAAGAAAATTTTCATGGAGGTGGTTTCACCATCGATAAAGATCATCACTGATGTGTACATGACCAAGCCGATAATTGCAGATACAGACCACAACACAGCAATGACAAATGCGCATCTTCTTGGTAATGCCAAATGAATGTATTTCAATGGACGGGAGACTTTTACGTAACGGTCAGTCCCTATGGCAACTAAATTAAAGACAAAACTGCAGGTAACAAAATAAACGTAGGCAATAAAGGCTCCAACGACGTGCTTGCTTTGTTCCGTGGAGGGAATCGAGTACATGAATCCAGCCCAGATGCATTTGATGCCAGCCAGGAATTCAGAGATGCAGAGGCTTGCCAAAAGAATGTTGGACACGCTGTGGAGTTGTTTACTGAGAACTATGGAGGCCACTATCCACAGGTTGATTATGCTGGTGATGGAGCCTATGATACCAAATGCTGTGAAAGTAAATATGGGCCACAGTCCCCACAAGTCTTCTTGAGTCTGGTTGGCAGATGGTGTAGCGTTTTCCAAGATTGTCAAATTCATTGTTAAGCAGTTTTTTTTGTGAGCAAAAATAGACAAGGTCAGACACAAGAAATAGAGACTCTTCAGCCGTCACTGTTGTTCCAAAGCACAGTGTCAGTTCGCAGAATGTTCAGATCTGCAGGAGGTCAGCTCAGGAGCCTTTTAAAAGTTTGTGACCAAATTGGTCAGCCAACTATCAGCAGAAGCTAAACTTAACCAAGCTGAACAAGTCACATCACAGAATGTATCATTGGCCCTGTGTCCACAGACATACAGTGTACATGTGCGGCAGAGCAACACATTTATAAACAAATACATCTTTGTCACTGCAGAATAGTGCTGTGTGGAAGATATCTTACCAGCTCCGACCTTCTGCCTGCGTAAGGAGAGAGGATATTCAGTGTTATGATGCAGAACAACAGGCTAATCCATTGACCATGCGTCTTGTCTTGATGAGAGTCACCCCCTTTCACTATGAAATGCATTTAATCAGGGGATGAATTTTATAGTGAATTATGTGGGGTCACTCTCCGAAATCCACTTACATGTAATTGGTTTCACTTCCTCCTAAAAGCTCCTATGATAGCATCCTGTTTTTGAAGGTTAGCCCTTCGTGTCACCAGCGATTTGGGTGAGGACTTTATTTCCTGAGGTCAGTTGGAAGTACATCACCTGATGTGACATACAGGTGCTTACACATGAAACCCTGTTAATGGTTTTGGTGCATGTTTGAATAATTACAGCATTGATGAATGCAGGGTTGGCTGAACCAGTGTGAAATCTAGCACTCCAGCATGCATCTAGATGTACATGTAGACTATGCATACTACATAATGCGGATTCTACATGCATGTGGTTTACTCCATGAAGAAGTGTGTCAAATATCAATGAAATATTGTTTGTCTATAGATCATTTAAAACTATGGTGATTTACACGCTCATGGACTGGACATTCAAACATTCATAAATATTTCATAGAGTGGCGTGTCAAGAAGCTTTGCAGTTTTTTTATTTTTCATGCATTCAAAGGAATCTATTTCATTGGCTGGGAGGCTTTTAGGTTACGTTACTATGGTGACAGAATAACTTGTTAATAAATTAATGCCCCAAAGACAGTAAATTTTTCTGCCATCAGTGTTGTTCCTAAGCAGTACGTCAGCAGTGAGATGTGCTCAGATCTGCAGAGAGTCAAATTATAGAAATAATTCAGTAGCTCTAAACAAAAACTTCAAACTCTTGAAAACTGTTAGTGGAAATTGGCAAATGGGATTGAGCCAAGCTTTATGTACTCAGAGTATCACCGACATCCTAATATGGCCACACCTACACAGACACACTGGTGGTAAGTGGCTTTGTAGCTGGCATGTACTAATACGGAAACATACCCTCCCACCTTCCACCTGCTGCCACTGTGCCGGTGGGTGGGGCGAATGCTTCCCATGATGAAATTGAGCAGTAGATGCATACACTTGATTCAAGGAAACCTTCACAATCAGTGGATGAATTGTTGTTGAGTGGTGCGATGCGCACTCCCTCTTGAAAAAAGAAATCCATTTCGCTTTCTTGATTGTCCTTGATTGGGCCCTTTCCTCAAATGGCTGTGGGTGGTTCACCAATAGTTACACGATGGTTCGTGTACAAATCAATCACTGGATCTCTTGTGAGTGGGATGAGAGTGGGATGTCTCGGTAATTGATAGGAGCACGGTTAATGGTTTTGATGCAGGTTTTCAATTATCGTCGCATTATGGCAAGGTTGTAGGAAATGATGTTATGAGCTGAGCTGTCCATCACATTGTTTATTGATTCCACGTGTACTTCATACAGGAGAGTGTACTTGATGCAGGGTTGGAATATTCCCAGTTCTTATGAATCGATTAAAGATCAAAGTTAAGTTTTAAGTCTCAAAGTTGATGAAAGTTGGTGTGCTTGTTACTTTTGTAAACGTACCCTGTCCCTGGGTCTGTAGGTTTGACATTGCAAGATAATCCACAGTTTTCTGAAAGTTCTGAACAAATTTGGATGGCAGATAACAAGATGCACAGAATTTTGAATATCTTAATTCAGTCAACAACTGAAGCAGATACTAGTAGATGTTGATGGAAATCAAAATTCAAAGAACAAAGAACAAAAATCCAATGAAAAAATACTGAAACAAAAAGCACTTAAAAAAACTCTCACAGATGTAGATCAGAGTATATCAGTGATTCCAGCCCCTGATAACATGCTTTTGTTGGGGAGATGTTACTTTTTGGATAGGGACTCACTGTGCGGATGAAATCCGCACAGTGAGTGAGAAAGCCCCCTGTGCATCAAATTAAGTCAGAGATTTCTCTGCTAGAAAATCTCAAGGTCGTGGATTTGCGTTCCATCGCAGAAGCATGCTTATTATTGTGGCAAGTTTTCAAACGTTACTAAGTGTACATGAAAGTGAAGTACAAAATTTAGTATTTGAACAATTATGGCAGTTCACGTTCATCTTCCTCAAGCAACCCATTGAATTGACTCGTCCAGATGGCCCCGGGATGGGACTCTACAGTGGATTACCCTCTTCACTTTCTTTAGGGACTTGTTTGTTCGAGGACAGTTTTGTTTTAGGTTTTTTTGTCCTGTGCAGGTGGCACCAAGGATGTAAACAAGCCTGGGTGGTTTCCAGCCATTCTAGATTCTGTGGTTGGATGTGATCGAGTTCACTTTGATTTCAGTAGTCATAACTGGCTCTGTACATGTATTTAGACCTTTATTGGGGGAGATCTTTTGTAGATTCTGTCACCTCCTTCAAATTTCTGGTAGACATGCACGTGTATACATTTAATAAATTGTTACATACAGGGCAGTATTTTCTGTCTGCAGTTTGAATTGTTTTTTCTATGTTCGGTGGTGTTCCTAATTGGGTGCTCTTACAAAATGAAACTTTGGTTTGCTGAAATTGGTTTAATTCTTGCAGTTGATCGTCAGATTTGCTCAACTCTTTCTTTTTCTGTCTGTTTTCTTTTTTTGGTTGTCCTTCACATAGGTACCGGCCATCACCCTGACGGCCAACATTGTCTGGTCAGCCAATCAGTTCCTCCTCAGGAGTCTGTCTCCCCATATCGCCAGGTTGCTGGACAAGAAGTCACAGCAGTCGGTGATGCAGACCACGCAGGCGTTCCTGCAACAGAAGAGCCAGAGCCTGGTCAGGTGAGGCTGATACTAGACCAGTCCGACTCTGGAACTGTGCAGAGTGTTGGATTATTATTCATGAGCCATCTCTAACCATTAATTATGCGTGGCCTCAGCTCAGGCACGTGCATTGTAAGGTCACAGGTTGGACCTGAGCCCACAGGCTGTAAAATGGCTCACATCTTGGGGTGGGTGATTTCAACCTTGAAACCACGGTACATCACTCCACCTTCAGAGGTCCACAGTTTGCAGTGTTTTCGAGATCTCTCCTTCCTAATGTAAATCTGACCTCTGACCTGTCCACTCAGGGAGGTCCAGGTGTACTACATGCAGGTGTGTTCATGGATGATCAAGATGGAATCCAGCCTGACGTCAGCCAACACAGTTATGGAAGATCTGACCCACAAGTGCAACCTTTTTATTCATGTAAGTGTACAGATCCCAGGTGTGACATCATTTTAGACTTTTGCACTGAAAGTCTAGACATAATGTCTTTTCATCTCTACTCGGCGTTTCTAGAGTTGTAGTTCACTCCCCTTGGTTGTGGTGAAGCTGAATAATACAGACGTTGGACAGAAAGTACAATGTACTTACCAAAAGAAAATCCAGAGTTTGGACAATCCGAATCTTGTACAAATGCAGACTTTCAGAAGAACATGTCTGGAATGTACTCGCTGAGTTTCCAAAATCTCCAAGTTATTGTTTCCTTCCATCAGTAAGTTCATTGTATTCAGCTGTCATATATATCTCTCTTGCTGTGTTTGCAATGAACAGCTCGGTTTCTGGTGGTGGAAAAGTACTCCAAAGTACTCGACTTTGGCACAGGTACTAGTCCCAAGAGTGCTTAGAAAGCATGTGAAAGAGTTCAAAGTACAGCAGACACAAAGATGTATGATACCTTGGCTTCCGTTTCTCCTTTTTTCCTTTTAGGGTCTACTGTTTGCCTACAATATTAGTAACTTGGTGCGTACCGTCATGAACCTCCATGCTCACATGAATAAGCCCATGACCAAAACAGCGGTCTTGGCTCTCTGCCGACTCATTGAAATGCTCAAGGTAAAGTTTGTTTATTCCAAACGTCCTGCAAATGAAAAGCTACATCAAAAATGTCCTCAAAAAACAAATGTGGTTTTTTGAACGTAGGTTAATTGGAAGAGATGCCATGATTATGTTAGCACCACACACACACCGATATATATGCATATTGCACCTGTTATTAACTAATCCCTGCCGGGGATGCTGGATCCGGACATGTATGCTTTATATGCCTGGCAGGGGTCTCTGAACTTGGACAAAGGGAACAGGGCCTTATAACAAAAGACCATACTCGGAATAAAAGACCAGGCTGCTGGGAATTACCGACATTTTTTCACCCTCAAAAGTGGAGATAATCCAGCCTTGTTTTGAAACAGTATACCACGGTTTGGGGCATTTAGAGCGAGCGGATTACCACCGGGGACAAAAGCAGTCCACCACCGCAGCGATGAGCCACACAGCACCGCTGCATGCTAATCTGGCCCCTATTGAAAAGAGGTCAAAAGAAAGTTATATAACACCGCACAATCTGGGCTCTTTTCACAAGGCTGCAGGCCTGGCTGAAATACTCAGGCATCAATAGATTTTGTCTGTCAAGCTAGAGTGGACACTAGACAGTCCTTCACGTGTTTGTAAGTGTCCAGTAAATGAAGATAGGAATTGTAAAAGAATTTTGAAAACAGAAAAAAATGATAAATATCCCGGCCCAGCATCATCAACACGGATAACTGCCCCGGCAGCAAGTTGCTAATCGATAGTGGTGGCTCCTTTTTTGATCACCAGATTAAATCATTTTGCAGCATATAAACACTAAAAACCCAGTAGAATTTTGCTTTGGACTGGCACTTCTATAAATATGTAGCAGAGTATGACACCCTGTCTCATTTGTGCATTGCAGTCTATTGAGCATACCTTCCATCGGAGAACCATGCTGGTAGCTGAGTCTATCACTCACATTATCCAGTACCTGCAGTTCACATCGTTAGCTCTGGTCAATGGGGCAAAGGTGAGATATTGGAAACCATTTCCTCCAGAGTTAGGATCAACCCAGCTCATGTACATGTATGCAACGAATCTTGTACAATTTCCTTTACTCTTCAACCTTTCAAGATCTTTCCAAATCCACTTGGAAGTTGTGGAAGATTTTGCAGGATGAAGGAAGGTCCGACCCTGGCACTGTGCTTGTTTGTAGGACTGTGATAGCGTTGAACCATAAAAAGGTTTTTTATTCTTTTTTGACCATCTCACAGCTTGTGGATTCCAGCCCCCCAGGCAAGATATCGATTGTCTAGTGTTCAATGTGTTTGAGTTTTGGCATACATGTAAAGACATTCGTGATAAGTACATCTGTGAAGGTTTCATTGAGAGAGGTCAGTGTTAAAACAGCATGTGCCCTAACAGAAGCACGTCCAAGGCTATTCAGTGACCAGCAGCGCACGTGCGACGATTTTTTTCCAATTGCCACAGCTGTACACCAACTCATGCTCATTATACTTTGTTCTTGAATGAAACTGGCTCGTTGAATCTGACACAGGATTTTGTTCATGTCATTTATAGCTGACAGTCTTTTTTGTATATATGTATATACATTCATGTGCGTCAAGCACATTTCAGGCTGATCAGTCATGGAAAAGTCAGCCTTTAGCAAGAGCAGTGTGCCCAATTTTCATAAAATTGGAATCTAAATGATTGTAAGACATTACTGGAAAACTTCACAAAGGCACAAACAAAAACTGTGTCGTTGACTTTCCTGTATCAAAGAGAGTTTGGAGGATCAGGGAAGATCCAAGATTGCTATGACAACTGAACAGGGAGTTTCAAATGGATACCAAAGGGGGAACAGTCAAGACACATCTTGCATGTGCGGTTGTTGAGATTGATTTTCCTTTGGCTTTTTTGGTTTTTCTTTTGTAGAAGCGTATCATCTCAGACAAGAAGTACAGTGAGAAGAGATTGGTGAGTAGCTCTTGTAAAAAATGTCAGGGTGAAAGTATATACAAATTGCAGTAAAGTGGACTTGGATTGTGCTGTGAACTTCATTTAAATGCTGTTTGTTATTCATCCTGGGCTTATTGTTTTTTTTAATACAGGATGCCCTGTCGGCACTGGTTCTCGTGGAGAATGCACTCAGTGGAACAGGTGAGTTAGCTAACCATTACCATAAGGGGAGTTAACTGGTATACTTCAACTGTCTAGCCATTGCCATGATGGGAGTTGACTGGTATTCTTCAACTGTCTAGCCATTGCCATGATGGGAGTTGACTGGTATTCTTCAACTGTCTAGCCATTGCAATGATGGGATTTAACCGGTACTCTTCAACTATCTAACCATTGCCATGATGGGAGTTAACTGGTATTCTTCAACTGTCTAGCCATTGCCATGATGGGATTTAACCGGTACTCTTCAACTATCTAACCATTGCCATGATGGGAGTTAACTGGTATACTTCAACTGTCTAGCCATTGCCATGATGGGAGTTGACTGGTATTCTTCAACTGTCTAGCCATTGCCATGATGGGATTTAACCGGTACTCTTCAACTATCTAACCATTGCCATGATGGGAGTTAACTGGTATTCTTCAACTGTCTAGCCATTACCATACCCTGAGTCCAAACCTCAAGTGTCACTTTTTTTATACTAATTTAAAACTTTCCTTTTCCCTTCCAGCCACAAAAGAGAGGAAGCTGATTGCAAATCTGGCGCTGCACGTTGGCACTCAAATGGTGAGGTTACAACTTCTCCATCACTTTGGCATTGAACTCTTGCCAATTTTTGTATATGTTTGGGATGTTATCTGCGATAACAGTTAGCTCGGTTCATCCTCAGTATAGGTTTTGGGTGTTAAAGCCAATGTAATGACCAAAGTGTAGGAAAGTTTCTTATCTGCTTAACCAACTTATCTTTCTAGATGAAATGAATTTAATACCTCATACCCCATCCCTTGTTCAAAGCTTCAAGTCATTCTTCATTGCTGTCAATTCTTAGACGTACTGTAGTGGACTGGATTTCAAGTAACCCCAAAATATTGTCTGCATATTATGCTCTCAGAAAGCCTTCAAGGAAGATGAGCTGGCCTCATACCGTACCACAATGAACAAGCTCTTTCTCATCAGCGACCTCAGGGAAAAGTAAGTGATTTTTCTGTCACCATCTTCATGCAAAGAAATTTTTTTTTAATAAAAGGAAAAAATTAAAAAGAAAGTCAGCCCAGCATTGTTTAAAGAGAGACATTGAAATGAAGGTCATTTTTAACTTCACGGTGTGATTTCTGTCAATGTGGACCATTGTAATTGTTTTTAAGTCATTAAATGTCTCCTGAGTGGTTCAGACATCCACACTAGTAAGCAGGGGTTCGTTAGTTTAAATTTAACCTCGCAAGTTTGTGGCTTTTTATCGTTAGCTCCCCGACAACACTGACTTTAAAGTTCTTATATAATTTGTCGTAAAAGAGCGCTCCTGAATTCCATCACTTTGACCCATCATTGCAGCATGATTTTAAAACTCGCATTAACTTCAGAGGGAAGTATTTCAACAAGCTCTTCATAATAATTCAAGTTTTGGATGTCTCTCGAAAAAATTCTTCTTGCATTTCAAAAGGTTTTTCCTAAATAACATAGAACTCAAACTCAAAAGCGTTACTGAACTGAACTGGATTAAGACTTGTGCAGTTCAATTTAATACTACTCTCCATTCAACACTTAGTACATGGAACAGTGATTGGTTATTTGCCACATTGAAATAATATCCTAAATTTACAAGTTTACGACCAAACATGTCATAGGCTTGATAGAAACTACTAGAGATAGAATATTGCTACTTTAATTCACACATGAAAAGCATTTGAAGGTAAAGCCATATCAGCAAATAGTCATACATATCAGTAAATATTCAGCATAATGGGCTGTACCCTTGGCAGAACCATGAGAGAACATAGTTCTTCCCAGAATCCTTTGGTATGAGATTTAAACTGATACAAAAAATTCAAAGAACTCTGTCACAACGTCAAAACATTGTCACAATTTGATAATTTCCTTCTTCTCTTATCCACTTTATGTTTAATCTTCGTCTGTAACTTTGAGACTAAAGGTAGACTCAAACTTCTGGAGGCGGATGGGATATGTCTGGTTAATCAACCTCAAATGTACATAATTACCGGCATGTACATCTCAACCAGAATATCAAGTGTACATGATTATGAGCGGACATTCTTGTCAGATCTATGAACCGTAATCAGTCGTGCCAGTGAAATGTATTTCTTTATATGGCAGTTCAAAAATTCTTACTGTTGTTTAGTTACTACTCTGTGTCAATCACATACAGTTGAACCTTGTTAATAAGAGGCCCCTTGGATTTTTTTTAGATTACTTTATTATAACAAGAACGTTGTATTATCTGGAATGAAAACAATGAAGAACAAAGGATTGGGACCTAAAAATGTCCTTATTTGTTGAAACTTTACAATATCATTAAACAGTGCACACAATTGTATGCGTCGAACAGTTCTGGTTTTCAAATTGAAGATACGAAGCTCATTATGTGGTTCCCCATAGCAGAAAAGTGATTGCCAACTAATAAGGCAAAACATATTGAAAGAACTTTATTGCAGTGTGAAAACATTGTCACTTTTTCTTCTTTCTTAACCTAACCCCCTAGGCCTTTTTACTAGGAACCATCCTCAGTCCTCCAAAATCTTCCGATTTTCGACATGAAAAAATTGCATTTAACCTCAATCCTCCAAAATCCACCAAAATTTCTTGAAAATTTTTTTTGGAGATCTGCCTACTGCCTCAATCCTTCAAAATCCTCTGGCAATTCCTGCCATTACATTGAGGCAGTGCAAAGGGCATTTTTGAGTAGTGCGGTCGATTCAAAAGAAATATTGTGCTAAATTCATGCATGACTGAGCAAAAACAACACAAGGTCTAACCCACGACCCACGACCTTCATGCATAGCATCCTTTGCAATCAGCCACGCACTTTTACCGTTCACCCTCATGATCTGATTATAGCAAGTGTAAAATCACAAACTGTAAGTAAAGCTTCAATATTAAGCATATCAGAGCGTGATGAGATTCAAATCTCCATTTTGCACATAAAGTAAAACTGCATCAGACAGTAGCTATCATACCATTTACCCATGCTCTCCATGAGAACGCAGTATTCTTTGACATGGGGGGGACTTGGTTCCGTTTCATACCATTTCCGAAAAGCACTGCTACTGCCGTCCTCCTAGACAAAGCTCCTGTCATGATTCTTGTCAATTAAACCAATCAAGAACCTCTGAAAACTAGCAACTTGTGCATAATCCAGGAGGAACTGGTTCTCCTCTTCACTGGCAACCGATGTCAAGTGAGCAGGCCTCCCAAGAACAGAGAACTCCTTGCAGTAGGCCTCAGCATTGTCAAAAGATAACTCTTTTTTGACGTAGAGATAGCAGTGGTTGTCATGTCGCAGCCATGGTGGTTCACATCCAGCCCTTAAACCACTGTTAGCATTTTGTGTGGCTATACAGCTGCCGTCTGCTTTGATTTGTTCAACAATAAGTACAAAGAGAATTGCATAGAAACCAGCCCGTTGTTTGCTTGTGAACGCCATGTCAGTCATCATGCCTCTTGAGTCTTCTGATGGCACCGTTTCTCTTGAAAAACGATTAAGTATTGAGACAGTTTGAAGATTAGGAATGCCTAAGATGAAAGTGGCAGTCTGCCTTGCATGTAGGCATCCTCAGATCTGACTTATACCTGCCATTATAAGGCCAAGTTATTTGGCTGTAACTTGAAATCATGCCCTAGACAGTGGTTGTGACTGCAGCTACTTCCTATAGAGTCACGTGTGACTTCAAAAGCCACAGCCAAGTAATGTGGACATGGCATAAGATTACAACAGGTGCTGGTGACCATGGCAACAATGCGGCCAACTCATTAACTTCTAATGTCTTCAATAAGCTACGTACTTGTAACATACATGAAACCTACTGTACTGCCAAGGAAAGATATTGCCCTAGATAATGTGTAACTCTACATGTTGAACACAGGTTTTATTGCTTTGCTAGAGCATTTTCGAAACGAGTGGATTCAGCTTGGACTTAGGTTTCGTTTTGAAGCAGCATTGGAAACCACATGTTCAAGTTCTGACTGGAACCAGCGAAACCAAAGTCTAAGCCAAATCCACTCGTTTTAAAAATGCTCCTAGTGATACTAGTGAGATGGGGCATCTGTTTGCTGAGAAGTCTGAAAATTGTCTTGCTTTGTTTGCTGAAAAGTCTGAAAAGTTTCTGGCTTTGTGTGAAGGTACAGTATAGTTTTTCTCTTTGCTTTCTGTACAATATGAAGTCAGAACCAAGCTCTGAGAGGTCTGTAACTTTAAGACAACTCAGTTAAAACATTTTGTTTTTAGGTTACGATGTGTCTAGATTTAGCACAGCTTGCTGTGTGTTCATTTCCCAGTAAGAACCTCATATTTAAATGTTATAATTATACAAACTTCACTGATAAATACCCTCTAAACTTCATGTACATGTAATTAAAATAATATTAACTGTACAAATTTCTTCACATTGCCACTGCAAGGTCAAATTTCCTATTTTATCCCAAAATTATTAGTCTAAAGAAAATTAGAGAGTTACTAGCACTGCCATTGTGCATAATGGTTTTAAGTAAATCCTCATTTTACAAAATTCATTTTTTTTGGGGAGGGGGGTGAGATTTGCAACAAGCCAGTTTGGTATTTCAAGAAGCCAATGGTTTTCAGGAACAAAGCATGTGCGTGAGTCAGCGTATGGCTGCGCTGATAGGACATGACGCTGATGTGGATGTACATGTAGCTGTTCCTGAATGGCCTTGTTTATGCACTGTTACAATTCCAACTAGCTCATTATCATTTTAAAGATAACGGAAGTAACACTATCGGCAAATTCACAAAAATGGGACTGCTAAATAATCCTTGACTATCTTCCTTAAAAGAAAGTAGATGACAGCTGGTCAGTCTGTAAAATATTTCGGCTCAGAATGCAACTGATTTTGAGAAAACAGAAGTTTCACTCTCTTTGCTAACAGTAGTCGGTTGACCATTAGTTGAAAGAGTGTTTCATTTTACACACCACATCCATTAATGGGTACCAGTTTTAATGGGTACCAGTTTCTGTGTGTGGTCTGCACAGATGTAGGAATCTGAATACATGGGCAATACCAAAAGCAGCTAGATCACCAAAAACATTATGATAAAGTGAGAATGTGGATCAGTTTGAAGTTAAATTTTTGTTTATGAACACAGAATTTCTTGACCCAAACATATTGCTATCTCACTGTTACTCTAAAGCAAAGTGGTATACTATAGTCTAGTCTGTTGACTGTGCATGCTTGGTTGACATGGCTGCTGAGCTGCGTGCTTTGTAAGAGGCTTAATTGTGTCAACAAAAGCTATGATTTCCAGACGTTAAACCTTCCGTGTTTCCAGCTGTAATTTTCTCTGTGCCCATAACTATTAGTTAGGCGACTGAGAATAGGTTTTAGACTTGCAATTGACGACATGTAAACTGATGTGAAAATGTGGTCATGATGTGGCGATGATTACACATGCACATGTATATGAAAGTATTCACATGTACATGTATGTGAACACTCAAGTCGACTGCAGTAACATCACTGCTCAATGAAGTCTTTTTGAATCCACAATGCTACATTGTCCAAGAATCACATTACTCCAAGGTACATTTACTGATTACACGTCCCCGCTCACCTGCAGACCCTCCCCTTGTGCATTGTTCGCGCGCTAAGAATACCCTGTAGTCCATGGATTGTTGCAAGACATAGCAAGATTATTTGACCATTAAAAAGGCATTGTGGCTTTCACAATTTTTTTTCTGCACAGTGAACTCAAAACGTGAAACAAATCAGTGGAATGAGTCTGAGCAGCAGTAAACTCTGTACCTGCAATATTGGCCAGTCTTGTAAATTTTGAAGTAAAAAAAGCCGTTGTTTTCCCCCTTTACTTTTATGCCCAGATGCATAAAAGGTCAGGTTGTTCACATCATCAAATAATTGATAAATCAACTCATTTCGTTTCCTGTGCCAGGATACTTACAATCTACCGCTAGTTTTTAGACATTTCACTTCAAAACTTGAATGGT